TGAAGGTACCGTTCCTATATTCATATTTTATAGCACGTTGCGTTTACCTCTCTGTTGTTAGGCGAACAGGACGAGTTATAAAAATTCCATCTTGGGAAAGTTTGCATTTTTCAACCAATGTAGGGAAATCAGACATTTCAACGGGTGTTTAATGTCAGAGTTTAGCTTTGGCTGATTACAATTTGGTTTTATGTTAGCTTCAAGCTATAACGCATTCATACGTTCGCTGCAGATGGCCACTCTTGCAACATATTTTGGGATTGGAAAGCAGGCACATAGGTAACTCTGCTAATTGATGGAATATATGCTATGTTTTATTGTAAGCCGACTATAATAATTTTTGTTTTTGCTTAATTTTTCTGCAACAAATGTTCAGGAGCTTAGATGATGTTCGCATGAATCTGGAAGTAATCAAAAACTGCGCAGCTGTTCTGTTCTTGGTAAAATTCTACTTGAAAGAATTTCATTATGTGCCATTACTTGTTCTAGGACAATGAGCGATAAGCCATCGGCCCATTTATATACTAACGCTCTATCCAATCTGGAAGTTAAAAAAATCCTACCATTTTAGCCGATCTCTTTAAATCGTGGGATCTGACTCTACTCTACACTGCTTCCATTCATGCAGGAATCAAACCTTATAGAGGTATTCAATGTGAATCCAAATGCTGCTACAGGGAGTCGTGGAGATGAAAAATGAGATGGGGGCTCATCATCAGTTATGAAAACAAAAACATTTATTATTATCATCAGTTTCGAATCAATGCAAGGAGGGAAAAGATTCAACATCATCTCCTATTGCAATGTGATGCTCAAAAGGCTCTGAATCAAACATGCTAGACACCTTGTTATGATATGGTTGTGTCGTGTTTTCCTCATTTGGGTTATTTGCAATTGATGATACAACATCATTTAGTAGTATTGCACTCATTGATAGCTTCAATGTCAAATTTCTAGATAGAGCTAGTAACATGGATAATCTTGATCATATGGGTTGAAAAAAAAATGGGTTGTGTTAGGTTCAATTTTTTTTCATATGAGTTACAAAATCTTAACATTCTTGATGGGTTAAGTTGATCAATTTACCAATCAATTTATTTATTTTTATGATTTTTTTAAAAAAGTTATATTTGAATGAGAAGTTCTATTATGATTTTTTATAAAATTTAAAAAAAAATTCACATCATAAGTATATGAGATTGATTAATTTTATCATGATTCTTTCTAAAATTTGTTTGTCATGTGGGGTAGACTAGAAAAAAGTCTATTTTTATACAGTTCAATATTTTTTTAATCTCGACGCAATTCTTGTAACAGTCTTTTTTACCCAATTTATATAATTTGATTCATATTCTTGATTCTAATATAATATTATTATAAAGGAAAAGTATTACTTTAATCTTTAAATATTTTTAATTATTAATTTAGTCTTGAAATTTTGGCCTGGAACTAGCTTAGTTGATCCCATTGAGATTATAGTTTCTTGATTACTCAGCATAAAAAATGTAAGGCATATTTTAAAAAATTAAATATTAAAAAATATAAGATATTTTTTAGTTTTTCAAGGTTTTTTCCCTAAAAGTATTCTTATTGAATAAATTATTTTAATTATATTTATTTTAGAATTAATTTAAAAACAATTAAGTACTTTATTTGACAGAAAATAAATAGGGATAAATATAAAAAAATAAAATTAATTTAAAAATAAATAACTACTTTATTGGGGGTGAGATTCAATAAAAATTCCTTACATTTTTGCGTGAATGAAGTATTTATTTAATTCATTGGCTCACCAAACAATAAAAATTAAAGTGTAAATCTCTATGACTGGCCTCATTCATACAAGTGACATATAAAAAAGAAGTTACCGTAACACTTTTTCTTTTTCTCAAAAAAGATGTCACCCACATTACAATACGTGATTTTATTTGTATAAAAAAATAAGTAAAAAATGATAGTTTCTCTATGGAGGGAGTATTTGATAAGTATATCATTTAAAATATTCTTATTTTAATATCAGAAGGATAACTCCCTCTCGAGGAACGAGGGGGTGAAAACTGAAAAGGTTAACGGAGAATTACCGCCTGACTATAAAATTTGTCATAAACCATTTGAAGAGTCCAAACCTTTGCTTCAAGATCTTTATGAGAGCTAAAGTGTAAACTTCTAATGAATCTCCTTGATACAAGTGTCTTACAAAAAAGTTGTTACAACATTTTTTTTAAAAAAAATTGATCACCCCTTCATTAAACACAGAGGGTAAATGCTAGTTGATATTTAATTAGCTAGTATATCAATTAAAATATACTTATTTTAATTTTAGATAAATAACCCTCTAGCCCCCTGAATCGACCGAGGGGTAAAAATTAAAAAGGCTAATGAGGGATTACCCTCTTACGATAAAAATTAAAAAGGAATTTATTCTCTATCTTACACAACATGCGCCTGCAGAAGGAGCTATGGTGTTTATTAAGGTATGGTTTTAAGTAGCTAGATTTATATAATATATTATTAGTGATGATACTGAAAAAGATTATTTTGGCTCAAGATTCGTATGTTGGGATATAGACAAAGTCTAATCAAGGTGGCTCCAATTCTCCAGACAAACAGCCATGAAATCTCATTGGAAATCATAATTAAGCTGAATAATACATTACATTTTAAGTAAATTATTAGTTGTTGGAAATATATAACAATACTAGTAATAAATCAATCCAAACACACATATAAATACATTTTTGTTTTGTTCCTGACTTCATGTAAATACATACATACATACATACATATAGATACACACGCGGCTATGATGAGAAGGCAAAGGACGTCATTGTGACACCGAAACCAAGAAAACGCCTTTTGATTCCCGTTTCGGCCATTAAAATGAATAATATTTTAACGAAGCATCTTCATCATGTCCTGGCCAAATTGAGCCTGTTTGTGCACGAAGAAGACCAACATTACAAAAAGCAATCCATTTATTTTTCTCAAAAAAAAAAAAAAATACCGAAGTACGTCGATCTTGTATAAGTACCGAAGCTACCATCGTTCTATGATCACGGTTCTGCAATCTGCATTCATCTCTTATATCAGATCCTATTTATTCCTTTTCGCAGATGGATCGCACTGAAGATCTATCCAAAACTTTAGATGAAATAGACAGAGAATCAATTCAACGACAACGGAAGTCCCCTTTAGCCAATGCGTCTAAGGCTAGCAGTAGCAGCAGTACTGCTTTCGTAGTCCTGAAGGCCGATGAAATATTTGTCTCTGGTCTCACTGCATCTCTTGTTCCACTGTATCGTGGAAGTGAAAGTATCCAACTGTTGCACAAGGGTGTCCCCTTTCTAGTTTCTTGTGCTAATCTTAAAATTCGGTTCGCAATAAACGGCAAGTTTCATGATTAAGTGGACCGACCGAAGTTGAGTTTCGTGGTTGATCCGCCACAAAGCTTATGTGAGTTTCTTGAAGCTCGTGACAGGGTTGCGAAGAGGTCATGTTTGGAGTCTGGTACTGTGATTCTGATTGGAGAGCCGTTGTTGCTTGAAAAGATGGCTTCTACAACAACCCCACAGTGCGATTGCAATGAGTTTAGTTTATTTATATCGTCACGTTAACCTTAGAATATTGATTTACAAGTTAAGTAATTTCTGTGAATGTGGACATAATAAATTGCACGATTCCTACGGCAGAACGTGGGAATGTGGCGATATATGCGGCAGGAATATACAGGAAAGAATCATCCGGCACGGTTCAAATGCTGCGTTTCAGTCGGTTCGATGTTACAGAGATGGCTTCCTTGTTTCTGCCAGGCACGTTTGTTGATGCAGTCTTCTCCTTAGAGCCTTATGACTATCTGCAGAGTGCAGGGATTAGATTGGTTGCCAAAAAGTTGATCATTCATGGCGGCTAATTGCACGGTCAGGTTGCCAGAGTAAAAGGGTTTAATCATTGGAGTGGCATGCTGATGTGTTACGTTGTAGTTTATAATTTTCGTATTATGTTTCTAAGTTTAGGGGTTGTAAAATTACTTACTTTTATTAAATAGTATGGTACTATGTGGTTAATCTTAATTTTTTCCCAATAAAATTAACTATTACGCATAAATAAAAAACACGTGTATCTAAAAAAAATGTAATTGTTTTATACCCTATCATCGTTTAATACTTTAATTAAAATATTAAATGTTTATGTTAATAATATACTTACTGTACCTCATTACCGTTACTTTTTAAAATAAATCAAGATCATCGATATTATCCTTAATCCTTCTATGAAATAAAAGATAATTTTATGTTGTCAAAATAATACACAATAAATAAACCAATTGGAGATCCCTCCTCTTATTTTTTTATTATAATATATACTTCTTTCATTTTTAAATATAAGCAAAACTTTCATAAACATTTTTAAGAAACATCTATGACATTTTTACCTTAATTTTCCTTCATTAAATAATAGTATCATTAAATTAGAAATTAAAAACATGAAGAATAATTGTAAGGATATTTTAATCTAAATTTTTAATTTTAGACATGATTATTAGGATTAGTTAACTTTTTAAAACTCTATAAGTTGAATAAAATTTATTTATATTTTAAAAAATGTAGTATAATATAACAATAATTGCTTTATAGATATACATATATATTAAACATATGAGGGTTAAGAGGTATCTTTTAAAATAAAACAATTTAACTAGGTAATCTGTTTCCACTCCACCATCAACTCTTGGAATAGAGAAGTGCAGGCTATGTTATGGACAATTGGACCTGGCAACTACGCTTCCATGCTTTTAAGTTTTAACATCCCATCTCCTGTCTAAACTTATTAATTTGTATAAAAAATGGATTATCCTCACATAGCAAAAGAAAGAAATAAAAAAGGGGAAAGATTGTGGTGGCAGAGTGATGCATTTCTTTTTCTTTTGCTGTCTCTTTCCACCTTCTTTATATCCTTTCAGACTTCTAATCTTCATTTCGAAAACTTTAACGCATGATGATCATCACTCTCACTCTGGGCCAACATCCAAAAACAAGTTGCCATTTCCCTAACCCACATAGCTAAGCAAGTTCCGACGTGTTCAATTTACAGAAGCCTCCTAACCAAGTTTCCTTCACTACCCGTTTTAATTTAAAGCCTCCACCATTACAGACTCCGTTTCTACCGTGTTGTACTGTCAGGCATCTTTCATTTTTCCACCCTTTAAGCTCTGATCTTGACTTTATCATCGTTGTCGTCTAGGATGGATCGCACTCAAGATCGATCCGAGGTTGTGTTTTTTGACGTTGAAACCATTTACGCCACTCCCGTCATTGTGGAGTTCGGAGCCATCTTGGTTTGCCCCGAGACGCTAACGGAGCGCCACAACTACTCCACACTGGTCAGACCCGCCGACCCTTCCATCATCCCTCCCGTGTTCGAACGCAGAAACGGCATTACTCGAGATGCTCTCGCCGGTGCTCCTACTTTCGACGACATCGCTGACAGGGTTTATGAGCTTCTTCATGGTTTGTTCCTTTGCTCTGTAACTGGGGAAATAGAGAAAAGAAACCTAACCCAAGGTGGCAAATCGCAATAATAATAATAATAATTACTATTCTGATGTTTCTTCCCCGTTTTTGTGAATTTTGTGCAGATCGGATTTGGGCCGGCCATAATATCTTAGAGCATGACTGCCTTTGCATCAGAGAGGCATTTAGTGAGATTAATCGGCCACCACCAGAACCCAAGGCTACTATTGACTCTTTGCCTCTGTTGACTCGAACGTTTGGAAGGAGAGCTGGTGACATGAAGGTATTAACTATCTCATAGTTTGGCTTTGGGCTAAATACAAGCGGATTTTACGGAAGCTTCAAGTTATAAAGCATTCCTACGTTTGAGCCCATGGGGCAACTTTTTATTTTGGCAGCACCCGGTATCTTAGGCAACTTGAACTTCGGTTGAGCTCTGGGACAACTATTGCTATTTGATTGAAGTGCTCATGATTTAGCAACTTATTTAGTCTTGTAGTTTTTGAAATTCACATTTAAACAAAAAAAAAGGAGATACTTTTCATAATTTTTTTTATGCCCAACTCTTTTAAACCTATTAAAAGTTGGCCGACTCGCGCTATTCCTTAAGCTATTATAATTTCTTTTTTAGTTAGCATGTGAATGTTAGTGCTTACACTTTTTTGTCAACTTGTGAGTCACTTTTATTCAACTTATTTATTTAGTCTGTATTAATATAATTAGAAATTTAAATTAAAAAACAAAAGTTAGGTAATAATCTTAACCTATTCTAAACCTTGTCAATGAGAGTCGGGCTTTCTAATTTAAACAATACAATCAACTTAAAATATATGGACTTATAGATTTAAGTCTTTTAGACTCAGATCCGTTCTTATTGACAACTTTATTCACCGTAGATGGCAAGTCTTGCAACATATTTTGGGCTTGGACAACAGATACATAGGTAACTGTGATTTCTTTTCTTTTGTTTTTGATTTTTTGCTAATTAATTAGGTAACTATGATAGCCGATAGAACACGGTGAGATGATTTCTCGTGAGCCCGCTCTAGTAATTTCTTTTGGCATAATTTTTTCCGCAATCAATGTTCAGGAGCCTAGATGACATTCGAGTGAATCTGGAAGTTATCAAACGCTGTGCAGCTGTCATGTTCTTGGTAAAATTTTACTTCCAAGCATTTTAGCCCAACAGCCCATTTCTTTCTTTTTTTCTTTTTTAACTGCTTATAGTTATCCTTCCATCTTCGAGTTACAATTGAACATTTAAAGTCTACTCCTCTTCGAATAAGAATTTGAACATTTATTCAACATATTGTAAGCAATTGGTGCATTTCACTAGATTCAACCCTTGTTGGTCCAATAACCCATTTTTGTCACTAAACATTTATTATATTTTTTTAATACTATATTATAACTTTAGAACTATCACACATCAAATTGATCTCAGTTTACAAGAATCTTAATAATTGGCTAGAAATTCTAAGATGTCTATATAACATGTACCCGTATTTAATATTTTACCACCATTAAATATTTAATTAGAGGTAGATTTTGGAAGATATAAAAAATATTTACTCACAATAATAAAAACTTCCTTAGTTTCGTGATTTTGGCAACAAGGTATTATATCTAGAGACACAGGGAGTAAGTTTTAGCAGGTGTCCCGTATCTAGAGACACATGATGCCCCGTTATGATATTGTATTTTTTTTTCATTTGAGTTATTTGGCAATTGATAACATAACAATTTACCGCCATGGCCATGATCTGATGAAAAATTATATTGTGGTATTGATATTCCTAATGTGATAGTTATATATATATATTGATTCACAAATTGAAATTTGACGCATGAAATCCAAAGTTTTGAATCCACTTTTTGATCTTCCATCCATACAGGAATCAAGTTTTCCAGATGTATTCACAGTGAATAGTGGGGTCTCTACAAACACTCCCAGAAAAAGTTGTGGTCATGGAAAATCATTACCAAAAGGAGGTTCGTCAGATATGAAAACGGAATCTATATTATTATCACCAATTACAGATCAATGTAAGGAGGGAAAACGCCCAAGATCTCTTATTACAAATGTGCAGTGAAATAAGTCTTCCACAAACGGACCAGAAGATGATAGGAACGGCAGCCAGACGCGCCTTCACATCCTGAAATCTTCCTCCCGCACGGCCGAGGCAGGGGACCGGACTTGGGGATCCGGCATGTCGAGAGGCGGTGAACACAGGGGGCCACCACGTGGTGATGACGGAGGACGGCGGAAGTGTAGATTTGAGATGTGAAGAGTGACGGCAAAGAGAAAAAGAAAACCCACTTATCGTGTTTTTGAAGGAAAAGAAAAAAAAAAGTCTAATATCACGAAAGAAGTCACGAAAAACTGGAGAAAATGCCGTATCTCTTAGTCTGAACAACTTAACCTAATAATGCTTAATTAATACAAAAATATTTCATAATGAATATAGAAATATATGGAAATTAAATCAATAGAGAATAAATTATAATTAATGATAGGTTGTAACATGCAGGCACTGAATTGGACACAATAGTTGCTGATGGAGTTGATCATCAACCTCAACCACAAATGTCTTCTTCTACTGCTTTGTCTGAGGCTAGCAGCAACAATTTTGCCGTTTTGAAGCCCCATGAAATTCTCATCTCTAGCCTCACCGCATCTCTTGTTCAGTCGTATCATGGCACTCCGAGGATACAACTGTTACACGATAATTTCCCTTTCCAGCTTTCTTGTGCTGATCTCAAAATCCGGTTTGGAATAAGCGATCTGATGTATTATGATGATGCAGGCCGACCAAAGTTGGATTTTGTGGTTGATGCATCACAAAGCTTTTGTGAGGTTCTTGAAGCTTGTGACGCTATTGCACAGAGGTTTTCTTTCGGTTCTGGCAGTAGCTCTGATTGGAGGCCACTTGTTGTTACCAGAAAAGAGGGCTTCGTCCATTATCGTACTGTCAAGTTACGGTAAGTTTCACATCCCACACCTATAAAATACTTGCATGCATATATAAATATATATTTTTTTAGATTAGTAGTCACCATGCCTTCACTTCAAAATGGATAATGAATAACTAAATTATCTTGGGCTGTGTTTTCAGTCTTCCACATGACTTGCCAAAGTTGTTTGTAATGTAATTCCGAGATCAATTAATCCAAAACTTTCGCTCTTTAGGAGCAGTTCTTAAGTTTATTGAATTTACGAACTTGTTTGTGTTGGCAAATTATTTGGTTGATCACGGTTGGTGTTTAATCATGATTAGTAGGTTAACTTAAGCCTATCTGTGAAGATTAAAGGTGAGGCATTTAGGCAGGGAAATTGAATGTAATCCCTCAAGGCTGGTCCTCATTGTTTGGGGTTTGTTTAAGGGTTGATTTGATTTATAATCCTTTAAGTGAAGGTGTTGTTTTACAATCATTGTTTTTGTTTAATAAAAGGTTTTCATAATATTCTTCTCTCTTGGATTTTCTTAATAGTTTGATAAAAAATCAGCATCTAGAAATGCTTGTGGTGACACCATAGAATCCTACAAATTGAGGGGTGAGAATAGGCCAAGCCTCTGATGGGCCCTATAACTTGGTTTACTTCAGATCCAACCTAGCATATTTACTAAATAAACTTAGGTTAGGCTCAAGCTTTTAATTAGGCCTATTTAATTAAATAAGTCAAGCTTATTTTTTTTAAGATTTAGCCTATTGGCCCAACAGGCTAGCCTATTTATATTGACACACACACATTATGCAATATATCATAAACACATTAATTTCACCATTTGACTTTTAATCAATCTATTCTTTTTTTATTTTTTAGTTATATTTTCAATCATATTGAATTTAAATATTAATTTTAATGTAGTTAATTTATTGTTATATTATATTATAGTTAGTAAGTCCTTTCAATTATTATATATTATAATTAATAGATCAAGTTATATATTGTATACTATAATAGTCCTAGTATATTTAAGATATTTAAAACTAAAATACGAGCTCATTTAAAAGGCTTACTTTTAAGTAGGCTTTTTAAACAGGCTTTCAAACCAGATTAGGTTTTAAAGGCTCAGGTTTGAGTCATAAAAAAAACTTTATATAGATTTCAAGTCAAGTTTAGATATCTGATTTATTTTACAAGCTCGAGCTTATTTGGTCAAAGCCTAGTTCGACTTAATTTATTTTCATTCCTACCACAAACAGAGAACTTTATAGCAAATTTTCCTGCTTGACAATTTTAGTAATTTTTGTGAATATTGACATTACAGGATTCCTATATCAGAATGTGGGGACGTTGTCAGATTTGCAAATAAAGTATACAAGAAAGAACCATCAGGCACTGTTCAAAAGCTGCGCTTCAATTAGTCTGATACTACAGAGCTGAGTTGCTTGTTGAAGCCAGGGACTCTTGTTGATGCAGTGATCTCCTTAGATCCATATGACTATCGACAGAAAGCAGGGATTAAATTGGTTGCTCAAAAATTGACCATACATGAGTAGAGGGAATATATATACCTGTGTTGGCTAGGTGACAATCACATGCCAACAAATAGCAAACAATAATAGATTATTATCGAATGTATGAAATGAATATTAGTTGCTGTAAAGTTATTTAACTCCAATGATGCTAGCTTCATTCAGTGTCGGAATATTCATTAATAAGCTGGCATATTTGACGGACACCCCTATATCTTATTCTGCGGGGAGACGATTACAAGAAAAATCCGTCCCCGTCAGGGCTGCTTCTGTGAGGCCATCTTTGTGGATCATTTCTTTTTTCCGAATCAAAATTGGTTGAAGTGAGATCCCCATGCTCAGTAACTTAGTATTAGCCTGTTTCTCCCTCATCAGAGATTGTTGTTTAGACATTATACACGATTTTAATGCTTTTTGGTGGATTGGGAATAATTTGGAATTTTCTCATATCAATCTAATAATATGATGAACGTATTTTTTTTTTTGTTGGTTTGAAATAAATGGCAAGTTTCATGATTTTGCGGACCTACTGAAGTTGAGATTCGTGGTTGATCCACCACAAAGCTTATGTGAGGTTCTTGAAGCTTGTGACAGGATTGCGAAGAGGTCATGTTTGGAGTCTCGTAGTGTGATTCTGATTGGAGAGCCGTTGTTGCTAGAAAAGATGGCTCCTACAATAACCCCACAGTGCGATTGCAGTGAATTTAATTTATATATATCGTCACGTTAACATTAGAATATTGATTTACAAGTTTACTAAGATCTGTGAATGTGGACATAATACATTGCAGGATTCCTATGGCAGAACGTGGGAATGTGGCAATGCACGCGGCAGGAATATACAGGAAAGAATTTAATTTAATTGTTAAATTAAACACGTGTATGTAAAAAAGAATTTAATTTAATTGCTTTATATGCTATTATTGTTTAATACTTTAATTAAAATATTAAATTTTGATTTATGTTAATAATCTACTTACTATATCTCATTATTTGTCTTTTTAGAGGGTTAGAGGATAAAAATGTGCTAATTTTTTTTTTTTTTGAAAAAGCATAGGCACCCTTACCTTTTAGTTGGATTTTGTACAATAACTTTAGAAAATAGAGTAATTTTGTCTTGCCATTAGTGAGCCCATAAATTTGACTGTAACTTTGACTTCTTTTGCTAGGTGGCTTAAAAAAGAAAAAACAAATCACTCACCTCTTTCCTTTCTTTCTACTCTCGTCCGCCCCAAAACCCTTTGTACCACAGTTTTATATTCAAAAGGAGGTTGTAGGTCTTTCCATTGCAACCTCTAGTGACTCAAAATTAAGACAGCAATTGAAAAGATTTCCCACCTTCAAATTCATTCCCTTCTATTGAGCATGCTCCGGTTGCTTCTTTGCCTAAATCGAATATCGACTATTGCCATACATAGAATGGTCATAAAGTGATATCCCATTTCTTTCTTTTTCCAATTGCTTCTTTGCCTAGAGTTAATTTATCTATTTATCTATTGAGTTTAATTGCCAGGTAAGGAGAGCCTTTTTTGGATTTAATTTGTTGTTTGGTCTCAAGTCTATAACTTATGGATTGTGTTTTTAACAAAGTAATGGTCAAACTAACGGCAAGGCAAAATTGCTCACAAAAGTTCTAAGACAAAATTGCTCCAAGTAAAATGTAAGGATATTCAATGCTTTTTTCAGAAAATTTTAGGACATTTTTGTCTTTTACCCCTTTTTAAAATAAATCAACATAATTGATATTATATCCTTATATGAAATAAAAGATAATTTTATGTTGTCAAAACAATACATGATAAATACATTAATTGGAGATCCCTCCTCTTTTTTTTATTATAATATATACTTCCTTTTTTTTAAATATAAGAAAAATTTTCATATGTTTTCTTTTTTTTAGTAATGAAATAACAATTTTCTAGAAGCATCTATGACATCTTTATCTAAAATTTCCACGATAGTATCATTAAATTAGAAGTTAAAAACATGAAGGATTAATCACAAAAGACATTTTAATCTAAATTTTTAATTTCAGATATGATTATTAGGATTAATTAACTTTTTAAAACAGTGTAAATTAGTTAAAATTTGTTTATATTTATAACCAAACGGAGTATAATAATAATAATAATAATAATAATAATAATAATAATAATAATAAATTTTATATATACAGTCCTGGACTAGAGGGGAAATTTTATTGAAATATATATTAATAATTGAAAAAGTTAATTATTAATTAATAATTACATCCTTTATAAATTTTCTCTATAATAGTTTTCATGTTATGGACTGATTGAACATTGAGCTCATTTTTGTTTAAGACTCAAATAGGATTAAAATTTAAAATATCAAGATGTGGGGATGCAAAATATAAGAAAGAAGGGGTGCAAAATATAAGAATTTGTTCATTAATATATATATATATATATATTTTTTTTTTTTCCAGTTAGTTACATGTGTCTCAGCTACTCTCTGTGTGTGCGTGTGTATGACAGTTAAGAGGCATCTTTTCCCAACTCGTGTATGTGTGTATATAACAATTTGACTAGGCAACCATGCATGTTTTTCTTCTCCACTCTCAACTCTTAGAATAGAAGTGCAAGTTATATAATAGACAATTTGACCAGGCAACCATGTTTCCATCCTATTAACATCCCATCTACCCCTTATATTAAGAGGTATGAAGTCAGCAACACACTCATCAGCATCATAAGAGTGATTATGAATAGCTAAGTGAACAAACTTCCCCCAGCATTTGTTTGAGTGAAGGTTCTTGTTTCTTCTTTATGTCAGGAAATTTATCGATATCACAATCATATTTAGATTTGCGAACGTGTATGCATAAAGAGTATTCATTCTTCAACAGTTTCCAGCAGAGTTTGATTGCCACGACAAGAGGTTGCCCTTGTGGCCTTGCTACGTGAGTTATGCCAAAAACAGTTAATTCTCTCAATCTCGCGTGCGTTTTTTATTTCTCCAAGCATGCATGTCTAGTACAAGTTTCTTTCATCTATCAACAAACTGTTAATCAATTTTATTCTTTTTTTTTATTTCTCACATGTGTCATTGTATTAAAAGCAATCATATTTGAGTCATATTTGAGTATCGAATATGAACGCTTCTTTTAACAAAAATTTGAACATTATAATAATTTGTCACGTTATAAAGGATTAACACTTTTAAATAGATCCAAAACTAAGTGGTTATTAATTTCATTATCTTGTTAACTTATAAATTTACAAACTAGCTACTTCCACAGTACTTTTATTTTATTTTGTTTTGATCCCCCTCCATTAAATACAAAGGGTAAATGCTGGTTATATTAAATAAATGAGCATATAAACTAATGTATCCTTATTTTAATTTTAAATAAATAAATCCCTTGCCCCATCAAGGAATTGGTGAGGGATGAAAGGGTTAACGGTGAGAGATTACAGCCTGGCTAGCTACAAAGTAATTTATGCAAAACACACAACACAAGCTTCCATGCATACAGAGCTAAAGGCAAAACTTCCACAGCACAGCCTGTTTATCCTTTTGATTTTTTCAATTCTACCCTTAAAAGCTCGGAGCTTTGAATTGTCGTCGACTTAGATGGGTCACGCCCAAGGTCCATCCGAGATTGTATTCTTCGACGTTGAGACCACTTCCCCCACCCGACACGGCCAGGCTTATGCCATTCTGGAGTTCGCAGCCATCTTCGTCTGCCCCAAGAAGCTGACGGAGCTCCACAACTACTCAACCTTGGTCCGACCCGCCGACCCTTCCCTCATCTCCCCCTCGTCCGTCCGCTGCAACAGCATTACTCACGAAGCTGTTGCCGACGCTCCTACTTTTGCCGACATCGCCGATAAGGTTTATGAACTTCTTCATGGTTTGTCCCTTCTCTTTTTTCCTCGCGTTTTTTGACTTGTTCATGGCTTGTCCCTTTTGTAATTGGCACGAAAGACAAGGCTGCAAATCGCAATTATATAATGCTTTTCTTTGTTCCCGTTTACTTGTAGAACGGATTTGGGCGGGTCATAACATCTTAACATTTGACTGTGTTCGCATCAGAGAGGCATTTAGTGAGATTAATCGGCCACCACCAGAACCCAAGGCTACTATTGACTCTTTGCCTCTGTTAACTCGAACGTTTGGGAGGAGAGCTGGCGACATGAAGGTATTATATTGTTCATGTGTAAAGAATAAACTTCTATATCAGATACTATCATATAGTTTGGCTTTGGGCTAATTACAAGGTGATTTAATGGTAGCCAGGGATGAATCCAGAAACCATAGCAGGGGGCTATAACTGAAATTTTATCTAAATGTGGGGGCTAACATTACATTTTTACATTTTTCTCAAATAAAATTAACCTATTTTTTTGAAAAAAAAAATTGAAGCATTCAAGTTATAAAGCATTCATGTGTTCACGGCCAGAGCTGCTGATACGGTTGAGCCCATGGGGCAAACTTATTTAGTCATTGTAATTTTAGAAAGTCAAACTTAAAAATTTGAGAGATTTTTCAATAAAGGATTTTTAACCCCGACTTTTATAAACCTGTTAAAAGTTGGCTTGGCTCGAGCTAGTCCTTAAAACTGTATAATTTCTTTTAATTAGCATGTGGATGTCAATGCTTGCACTTCTTGTCAATCTGTCAGTCACTTGCTTTTGATTTATTTCTTTAGCTTGTAGGGTTGAAATGTAAAAGAGCATGTTAGAAATTATTTGGTTTATTTAATTTTACTTTTGTGAATTAATATATGAAAGTGATCCAATTTATTAATTTGTGTATTAGTATAATTATAAATTTAAATTAAAAATATAAAAGTTATGTGGGCACGCTTGTTTAAAAAATAAGATCATTTTAACATGTACAGGCTTATGGGTTTAAACCTTTAAAGCACAGATGGGCTCTTATTAACACCTTTATTCATTGTAGATGGCAAGTCTTGCAGCATATTTTGGACTTGGACAACAGATACATAGGTAACTGTGATTTCTTTTTTTAATAATTAGCTAGGTAACTATAATAGTCAATGGAATATGATGAGATATGCTTTCTTGTAAGCAACCTTTAGTAATGTCTTTTTGCATAATTTTTTCTGCAATAAATGTTTAGGAGCCTAGCTGATATTCGAATGAATCTGGAAGTTATCAAATACTGCGCAGCTGTCATGTTCTTGGTAAAATTTTACTTCGAAGAATTTCATTGTATTTGGCCCAATAGCCCATTTTTATATATCCCAATCATTTCATTATATTCAGCCTAAGTTTTGACTCTACTTTGTAATCCCTCCATCCATACAGGAATCAAGTTTTCCAGATGTATTCACAGTGAATAGTGGGGTTTCTCCAAACACTCCTAGAAAAAGTTGTAGTCGTGGAAAATCATTACCAAAGGGTGGCTCGCCAGATATGAAAATGGAATCCATATTATTATCACCAATAACGGATCAATGTCAGAAGGGAAAACGTCCAAGATCTCCTATTACAATGAGCAGTGAAATAAGTCTTCCAGAAACGGAGCAGAAGATGGTAGAGAAGCCGGCGGGACGTGGCCTCACGTGCCGCTTGAATCGGCTGTTCTGGAAATCTTCCGTCCGCACGTGGAAGCGCGTGCGGCGACGGCATGGGACCAGAATTGAGGAACCAGAATGTCAGGAGACTGTGAACACAGCAGGCCAGCGCGTGGTGACGACAGAGGACAGCGGGAACGTAGATTTGAGATGTGAGGAGTGACGGCAAGGAGAAAAAGAAAACCGACTTCTTGTGGAAAGAGATAAAAAATAATGACTCTAATATAATGGAATAAGTCGCAGAAAATTGGAGAAAATGCAGTATCTATTAGTCTGAACAACTTACAAAATATATCTACTAGCAATAGGCTAACCTAATAATGCTCACTCAATGCAAAACATTCCATGATGAATATAGAAATATATACATATAAATAATTAATGATAGATTATATTGTAACATGCAGGCACTGAATTAGATACAATAGTCGCTGATGGAGTTCATCATCAACCACAAATGTCTTCTCCGACTGCTTTGTTTGAGGCTACTAGCGGCAACATTTTTGCAGTTTTGAAGCCCCATGATATTTTTACCTCTAACCTCACTGCATCTCTTGTTCAATCGTATCATGGCACTCCAAGGATACAACTATTGCATGATAATTTCCCTTTTCAGCTTTCTTGTGCTGATCTCAAAATCCGGTTTGGAATAAGGGATCCTATGTATCATGATGATGCAGGCCGACCAAAGTTGGATTTTGTGGTTGATGCACCACAAAGCTTGTGTGAGGTTCTTGAAGCTTGTGACGCTATTGCATCGATGTTATCTTTGGATTCTGGCAGTAGCTCTGATTGGAGGCCACTCGTTTTTACCAGAAAAGAGGGCTTCTTCAGTTATCGCACTGTCAAGTTAAAGTAAGTTTCACATCCCACACCTATAAAATACTTGCATCATTGCATGCATGCATGTATAAATATATTTTTTTAATTAATAGTCATCATGTCTTCACTTCAAAATGGACAATGAATAACTAAATCTTGGACTGTGTTCTCAATCTTCCACATGACTTGCCAAGTTGTTTGGAATGTGATTCTAAGATCAATTAATCAAAACTGTTGCTCTTTTGGAACAGTTCTTTAATTTTAAATTTGCAAACTTGTTTGCGTTGGAAAATATTATTTGGTTAATCATGATTAGTGGATTAACCTAAGCCTATAAATAAAAGTTAAAGGTGAGGCATTTAGGTAGGGAAATTGAATGTGTAATCCCTCAAATTTAGTCTCAGTTGTTTGGGTATTTGTTTATCATCAGCCAGCTTAAGGGTTGATTTAATTTATAATTCGTTAAGCGAAGGAATGTTGTATTGTTTTGTAATCATTGTTATTGTTTAATGAAGGTTTTCATTAATATTATTTTCTCTTGGATTTTTTTTTTGATAGTTTGATAAAAAAGTGGCACCTAGAAATGCTAGCGGTGACTTATACCACGCCATATAGAATTCTACAAATGTATCAGAGAACTTAACAACAAATTTCCCTGCTTGACAATTTTAATAATTTCTGTGAATGTTGACACTACAGGATTCCTATAACAGAATGTGGGAACGTTGTCAGATTTGCAAGTAAAGTATACAAGAAAGAATCATCAGGCACTGTTCAAAAGCTGCGCTTCAATAAGTCTGATACTACAGAGCTGGGTTGCTTGTTGAAGCCAGGGACTCCTGTTGATGCAGTGATCTCATTAGATCCATTTGACTATCGACAGAAAGCAGGGATTAAATTGGTTGCTCAAAAATTGATAATTCATGAGTAGAAGAAATATATATGCATGTGTTGGCTAGGTGACAATCACATGCCAACAAATAGCAAACGAATAATAAATTATTATCAAATGTATGAAATGAATACTAGTTGTTGTAAAGTTATTTAATTATATTCCAGCGATGATAGCTTCATTCGGTGTCGGACAATATTCATTAATTATCAGGCATATTAGACGGACATCTCTATCTTCTTCTTCGTGGAGACGATTACAAGAAAAATCTGTCCCTGTCAGAGCTACTTCTGTGAGGCCATGTTTGTGGGTCATTTCTTTTTCAGAACCGAAATTGGTTCAATTGAGATCCTTGTACTCTATCACTTGGTATTAGCCTGTTTCTCCCTTATCAGAGATTGTGTTTTAGACATTATACAAGGTTTGAAGAAAGCCTCTTTGGATGATTACATGATTATAATGCTTTTAAACACTTGTTGGTGGATTGGGAATAATTTGGGGTTTTCTCAAATCAATTCAATAATATGATGTATTAAAAAAAAATTGCAGTAAAAAATTTCATGAACTGCCAACAATTTTTTACGTAGCCTACTGGCATAAAAACTTTTTAACTAAATATGGGAGGTCATAATAGATTTAATCCCGTATGGCGTTAAGTTGTTAGTCCATACACACTATTTTTTTGAAAAAAAAATAACATACTCATCCAATAAAAAACCTTCATGAACTCGCAAATATTTTAAAATTTTTACGTAATCCAATGTAAACATTTGGCATGGCTGGTGCGCATAAGCCGTTAAAAAAAATTACGACAGCAATATTTCTTTATTATTCACATTTTAATTTGATCTCCTTCACAAGGGGTGTAAATGCTAGTTAATATTTAAATTAATATGTTCTTATTTTAATTTAATACAAATAAGACACACCCTACCCCTCAAGAAATCGAGGGGTTGAGACTTGAGAGTGGTTAGGGATTAGACCGAACTGAAAAAAAAAATTTAATTTATTATAGGAAAACAAGCTAAGGCAAAATGGAATAGTCAATGTTTCCTATATGCTATATATGGTTTTAAGTGGATTATTTCAACATCATGTTTGTCTCTTGAGGCTTCAATTAAAGACCAACATTAAGCCAATTCAATACACATATATCGGTAAAACTTAAAAGTCGTGTAATGTAATTAAAAAATCAAAAGAGGGAATTTAGTTTATCAATTTAAACAAAAAGTTATCCCTTAATAACGTGTAATAATTAAATCTTTGAAAGAGGGCATATCATCCCGCATGGACCAAATTGAGCCTGTTTGAACCCCAAAAGAAATTAAGATAACTTTACAATTATACAACCAATCTCAATGCATGTTTTTTAATATAATTATCGTACCACTACCGTTAGATCACATTATTAGATTATTAAATTCTATTGAGGTATCAATAATCTAACACTTATGTACAATAGTACCCTTGATATGTATATTGTTGTGTAATTATGGCGGAACTTACAGAGATCGAGAAATGTGCTTGTGAGGACCTAGTAAGCACGAGCTGGCCAAAACAAAGTGATGTATTTCTTTTCCTCTTTTAGACTTATAATCTTCTTCTCAAAAAAGTTTAACACGTGCTTTTGTTAGGATATCCACATGTGAGTGGACTTGAGCTGATTTTGAAAATCTACATTATATAAAGTTCAGTTTAATAATTAATATAAAATAAATAAAAATGATACATAAATTTGAGCCTGAAGGATTTTTTGGTTTTCGAAAGTACATATCTATATAGCTGGCAGCATGAAACTAATTCTTTGAGAAATCTAAACATACTATTCAAAGAGTGATTTCTTTGATGCAAGATTTTGAGTTGAGGTAAGTGATATCTTTCCATTATTCTAAATTTCTCCTCTCTCATGTTTCTGGTGGTAACTGTCATTCCTAACTTCTATGTTATGGTATACTCCTTCCATTTTAAATTACAAGATACTTTTAGATAAAATATTACATATTAATACAGCTTATTAAATATAAACTTTTAAAAATATCCTTCATTTAATACTTCATTGATGAAACAATATTGGAGAGAATATATAAAAAGGATAATATTGAAAAAATATCATTAATAAAACTTTATTTTTATCAAAATGTCTTATATTTTAATATGTTAAATTTTTTTTAAAAGTGTCTTATAATTTGAGATGGGGAGAATACTATCTATTAAGAATTATTATTTTCTGAGATTTATTTTATTAAAATTTAAGAAACATTTTCTTTCATTAATTATTGTTAGAGTGGTTTACATTAAGATTTGAATCAAGACCGCGTTTTTCAAATATCCTTTCCCTCTTTTGTGACTGGATCGTTGCCGTCTAAGGGACTAAATATCAATGTCATAAGAGCATCAATAAAGACGGCCATGATTAGAAGGCAAAGGACGTCAATGCTGACATGCATTCGCCGAAGCTAAGAAAACGCCTTTGATTCCGGTTTCGGCCGTTGAAATGAACAATTTTTCAATTACACAAAGCCTGTCTGGGACCACAAAGAAAATCAACGTTACAAAGCAATCTATGAACCCTAACCCTTTCCTTACGTAGAATCACTCACTCTCACACCTCTAATAGCAGATTCTTCCACTCTGTGTTCTGCCTTGCTTCTTTCATTATTCCACCCTTGTAAGCTTAGAGCTCGAATTTATCGTCGTTGACTTGGATGGATCGATCTGAGATTGTGTTTTTCGACGTTGAAACCACCATCGAGAATAATGCCATTTTGCAGTTCGGAGCCATTTTGGTTTGCCCCGAAAGGTTCACGGAGCTCCACAAGTACTCCACCTTGGTCCGACCAGCCGACCTTTCCCTCTTCTCCCCCGAGGCCATTGTTGCCTCAGCTCCTAATTTTGCTGACATCGCCGACACAGTTTATGAACTCCTTCATGGTTTGTCTTGCAAAATCCTATATTTCAATTCGTAAAATTGGAGAGCAACGAGATATACAAGGCGGCAATTACAGAACTAATTATAATTCGATTTTCTTTTTGTTGCAGAACGGATTTGGGCTGGTTATAACATGTTAAGATTTGGCAGTGTTCTCATCAGAGAAGCATTTGCAGAGATTAATCGGCCGCCACTGAAACCCAAGGGTACTATTGACTTGTTACTTTTGTTGACTGAAAAGTTTGGAAGGAGAGCTGGTGACATGAAGGTGCTGTTCCAGTATACTTATATTTTATGGCAGGTTATTGTATTTACCCATGTTAGACGAAAGGGAAAGACTTATAACTAGCTGGTTTTGTTATATATATATATATATATATATGTTAACTATAGAATGATCTGTTTTGAAGAATAGTAATCCTTTATATGAGATATACTATCCCAGAATTTGGCTTTGGTTAATTGCTTTCATGTTAATTAGCTTCAAGTTACTATAACGCATTCATGCATACGTTGACTGCAGATGGGCACTTTGGTAAAATATTTTGGGCTCGAACCAGGGAGGTTTAGGTGACTGCGCGCTGATCGATGGAATTTTAAGCGATGTATTCAATTCTTTATTTTTGCTTGCTTTCTTTCCAACAAATCTTCAGGAGCTTGGATAATGCTAGAAAGATTTTGGAAATGCTCAAATCATGTGCCACTGTTCTGTTCTTGGTAAAATCCACAAGCCATAAGCCGTTAACCCATTTATGGGCTAATTTATGATGTTTGGAGAGATCTCTTTTTAATTAAGGCAGATAAAGTCACTACAACATTTTTTTCTTCAAGCAACATTTTTATTTATAACAATTCTAAAAGTTTTGCCTAATAAGGTCATAAGCAACAATTTTTGAATGCTGCTATTGACTCCCTACTTTAAACAACACATTTTTGGCAACATTTAAAAAATGTTTCCTAAAGTAGAATAGGCAACTATTTTTAAGTTTTGAAATAAAATTTGAATAGGCAACATAAAAATTTTTTACTCATAAAAGTTCTTTAATGAAACATTTCAAAACTGTTCCATATTCTAATAATCAACAAGAATATAAATGTTACCTATATATCTTATTTCTAGCAACATTTAAGAACTATTGCTTGCTATTTTTCTATACATAAAAATTTATTTTTAATTTATTTGTATATTTTTTATACACTTTTATTTATTCTCTTAATTTTTCAATTTATTATTTGAATCGATTAAAAAATTAATTTAACAATTATATACATATAAATATAAAATATTTTGTATTATAATATCAATAAATCAAGTTAGAAGAGTGATTAAAGTCACTTCTTCCTCTTAATAGATTCAAGGTTTGAGTCTTAGGTAGGGAAAGAAAATATTAATTTTTGGCATTTCAAAACTGTTGCAATAAATCTCCAAAAAATTGTTGCTAATTCTCATAGTTTTTAAGTAATAGTTTTCCAAACAGTGTAGTTAAAAAAAAAAAACAGTTACCTAAAATAATGGGCAACACTTAAGTTAGGAACACTCAAAAACTATTGCTTATATCTTTATGTAAAAATTTTCAATCATATAGAACACTTTTGAACTATTGTGAGATAATAAAAATGTTGTAGTGCGTTCAACGATGGTTCAAGATGTCGGATAATCATATAAAAAAGTGTTTTTGTTTTGGATTATGACTAAATAAGAACCGACCCTCATATATCAAATCAATGACGCGGTTCTTGATTATTTCTAGCCCTACTTTACAATCCCTTTATATAGGAATCGAGTCTTCCAGATATATTCACCGAGAAAAGCGGGGTTTCTTCATATGCTACTACAAATCGCAGTAATGGAAAATCATTACTAGATGGGAGCTCATCAAATTCGAAAATGAAATCCATGTTATCATCACCTGTTAAGAATCAACGTGAAGAAGAAAAAAAGTGGCCAACATCTCCCATTCCTATGTTCAGCTCAAGCGGCTCTAAATCAAACATTGTAGATGCTGATCATATAATTCAACAACAAACTTGTGGCTTTAGTCCTCTTCGTGACGAAATAAACAGAGTTATTCAACCTGCACAATCTTCATCTTCTTCAGCCAATGCGTCTAAGGCTTACGGCAGTACTGATCTTGTTTCCTTAAAGCCCGATGAAATATTTGTCTCTTGTCTCACTGCAAGTCTTGTTCCATTATATCGTGGCAGTCCAAGGATACAACTTTTGCACCAAGGTGTCCCCTTTCAACTTCGCTGTGCTGATCTTGAAATACGATTCGGAATAAACGGCAAGTTTCTTGATAGCGCTGGTCGACCAAAGTTGAGTTTTGTGGTTGCTCCATCGCAAAGTTTATGTGAGGTTCTTGACGCCTGTGACAAGATTGCACAGAACTCATGTTTGGAGTCTGGTAGTGACTCTGATTGGATTGCAGCTCTTATCAGAAAAGATGGCTTCTTCAATGACCCCATCGTGCGATTGCAGTAAGTTGATATATATATATATAAACCATACACATTTAACATATATACACTCACTGCTTACAACCTTTTGGTTTCTGAAGTGGGAAACATACAATTGAAATACTGAGTTGAATTCGTAAATATTGACGTTGCAGCATTCCTAGGGCAGAAAGCGGGAATGTGGCCATATATGCAGCTGAGATATATAAGAAAGAATCATCAGGCACTGTTCAGAGGCTGCGATTCAATGAGTTTGATATAGTGGAGCTGGGTTCCTTGTTTTTGCCGGGGACGTATGTTGATGCAGTCTTCTCCTTAGATCCTTTTGACCATCTGCAGAAAGCAGGGATTAGATTGGTTGCCAAGAAATTGACCATTCATTGTGTGTAATGGGAATCTGCTTTATTTGTTTCGCTATATTTTTTTTTTTTTGATTGAGCGAATTGGTTTCACTATATATTGTGATTTTTATTGCTCCATCGAAAAATTTCCTTTTCGGAAATTACAAAAATTTATATTATAAGTTATCAATGCTCCTGCTATTTTTAGAATATTTCTAACATTCAATATAATCCATGTTATATCATAGTATTAGTTGGACTTAGATAGAGAATTTAATTTAAGTAATTTTAAATGTTAAAAAAAACTGTTACCGTAGTTATTCTCCTATTAAAAATAATTCTATTCAAGGCAACTTCCACTTGGTGGAAGTTCCAAATTGAGAAGTATGAATTGTTATAGTGAGTATGAATTAAGAAGTTTTTTTTGATATGTGTGTATATATATATATATATATAATTGTATTTAATATGTTGATTTCAACTCATTTATCATCAACCCATGACGATGATCTGTCATGTAAGCTATATGCGCGGGCAACTTTAAAAATGATATTATTTTAATGGTGTGTTTGTATTAATAAAGGTTTGAATTTGAATCAAATTCCTTATTTTGATATATAAAAATTTATAAATTTAGATTTAATTTAAATTTAAATTTATTTATAATTTTAAATTCTTTCTATATCCTAATCATTTAAAATTCTAATTACTTCATACATCTTGTTATTTTTGTATTTTTATTATTAATATTCTTGATTCTCATATCTTTTCTCATCTCTTGTCTATTAAAAAAAATAAACTCTTGTCATTTTTAATTTTTTTATTTAAAATGTAAGATTTTAAATTTAAATCTATTAATTCAAACGTTCCCTTAAGTTATTTCAAAATATATTTTCATTAAATTAAAAAAATTGTCTGTTAATTGTTATCCATTAGAAAAAAGAACGAATTCAAGTTCTTACTTTATGATGCCATTGCAAGATCTTATTACACACACACACTTATACTTTTGCTAACAACAAGAATTATATTGTATCGTTTTTAAATATTGAAGGATAATATAAAATTAAAAATAAGTATAAGTATACACTTATATTTGTTAACAACAAGAATCAATTTATTCTTTGGCTAAAATATATATTTAATTCTTTATTTTTACATAAAATTTTATTTTAGTTCCTTAATCTTATAAGGTATTTTTTAGTCTTTTAATTTTGACACTGTTAGTTTTATCCTAACAAATTTTTATTTTTTAAAAAATATTTTTAAATGTTAACATAATTATTGACACAGAAAATAATCATTTGAAAGTAATAATATTAGGATTAAAAAACTAAAAAAATACTTTACAAAATTAAAAAACTAATAAAAAATTTATATAAAGTTAGAAAACTAAAAATATACTTTAGCATTTGCTCTTTTAATTTATCCTATATTTTATACACAATATCTTCTTTAAAAACATAATAAAAAATTAACTTTCAATATATATGAACACGAAGAGCTAAATTCCAAAAAAATTCCATGCGTTTTTTTTAACATTTTGCATGGATAAAATTAACGAGGGAAATAGAAAAGCTGCCTTTAATTTCCGTGGTGAGTTATGGTGTCCCGTACGTGTAAGGCACGGGAATTTTCATCTAGTTTGTATTTAAGTCATTTTCTAGATTATTTTTTATGTTTTTATCAAAAATCCATCTTATAAAAATTTATGAAGCGATTAATATATCCTTTTTCTAACCTTGATATGGATATTGTTGTGCAATTACGGTGAAAAGAGGGACTGAGGATAATTGTGATGACCTAGTAAGCACGAGCTGGCCAAAACAGAGTGATACATTTCTTTTGCTATTTCTTCCCATGTTTTCATATTATAATCTTCATCTGGAAAAAGTTGGACACAAGTTTTCCTCTTGCATGATCATCACTCTCATTGAGAATTTTTCATCTACTTGGAATGGATAAAAGTAAAATGTTTAAAGGGAACATGGAGTCTTATCATCATTTTTTTTTTATTCACCTAATCATAACATGCAATTGACGTCATTGTATTAAATGAATATGTTTTGATTGTAGATTTTATAAAGGGTTATAATTATTAGGGAAGTAGAGAGAAAAGAGTGATCGGAAACGGGAAGGAAATGGGAAAGGTTTCATTTCCTTCTGAAAGAGTAAATCAAATCACTTTAAGGTCAATAATAATTAAGAACATGGATGAAATATTATCACATGTTTATCTTTTATTTACATTGCATCCGTAAGATTTAATTATTCCTTGTCGTGAACACGGCCCTGGTCAGAAGGCAAAGGACGTCAAAGATGACATGCATTCACCGATCGAAACCAAGAAAACGCCTTTGATTCCGTTGAAATGAACAATTTTTCAACGAATTACACAGGGCCTGTCTGGGACCACAAAGAAAATAAACCTTACAAACCAATCTAGCTATATCCTAACCTTTCCATACGTAGAATCACTCACATAACAGATCCTGTTTCTCCATTCTGTGTTCTGTCTCACTCCTTTCTTTATTCCACCCTTGTAAGCTCAGAGCTTGAATTTATTGTTGTTGACCTGGATGGATCGCTCGGAAGATCGATCTGAAATTGTGTTTTTTGACGTTGAAACTATCTACTCCACTTCTGTCATCGTGGAGTTCGGAGCCATCTTGGTTTGCCCCAAGACGCTGACGGAGCTCCGACAACCCTTCTCCACACTGGTCCGACCCGTCAACCCTTCCCTCATCCCCGCCGTGTTCAACCGTAGCAATGGCATTACTCGAGATGCTCTTGCCGGTGCTCCTACTTTCACCGCGGTTTATGAGCTTCTTCATGGTTCGTTCCTCCTTCTCCCGTTTCACTTTCTCTTCTCTCCGTTAATTCCGTTTTGTTTTCTGGTGCAGAACGGGTTTGGGCGGGTCATAACATCTTAAGATTCGACTGTGTTCACATCAGAGAGGCATTTAGTGAGATCAATCGGCCGCCACCTGAGCCCAGAGCTACTATTGACTCCTTGCCTTTGTTGACTCAGACTTTTGGAAGGAGGGCTGGTGACATGAAGGCATGCATCCTTCCTATATTTATATTTTATGGATACCCAAATATATTTTGGAAAAGTTTTGCCTATATTTTGTCTTATATGGTCAATCTGATTTTTTTGGAAAAAAAAATATGTTTCAAATCTATCTTTATAGGTGTTGAGTTTGGGTACTTGACGTGTCATAGCGATTAAATTCTTAGTAGATTGATGTATGTCGTTAAAGAAGAGTCCATAAACTGCCAATCGGGTTAATCTAGATTAAAAATTTATGACACCGGAGTGAAAGGGAAAAAAAAATGCACTCTAATATTAACATTCATGTGAAGAAATACATGAGAATATGACATTCAAGTTCTCAAAAGTTTGATTTCATATATAATTATAAGTTAAATCCCAAAAAAGATTGCTGAAAATAAGTTACAAATTTAGATTCAAAAAGTTTATAACTAAGAGCAGTGTTAATTACAAATCATATATATATATATATATATATATTTAAATCACATAGGTTACGTTGCACTCAATAATGTCCAATATTTAAAATTGTCTGAATAAAAATATTTATAACTCATATTTTAGTAAAATTTTTAGGACACATGATTATCATAAAGTAAATTGATCTTTTAATTTGCAAACGATGGTCATTCCCCCGCTAAACAGATACTATTCGATGCATAGCTCGGCTTCAAGCTATAACGCATTCATATATGTTGATTGCAGATGGCCAGTCTTGCAACATATTTTGGGCTTGGACAACAGAGACATAGGTAAGTGTGGTAATCGATGGAATATATATTTGATGTGATGCTTTCTTGTAAGCCAGCTCTTGTTATTTGTTTTTGCTTAATATTTTTCTGCAACAAATTTTCAGGAGCTTAGATGACGTTCGGATGAATCTGGAAGTTATCAAATATTGCGCAACTATAATGTTCTTGGTAAATTTTTTACTGTCCAAGCATTTCATGTTTGTACCATTATACTTGTGATCTCGGGCAATAAGCCACAGGCCATTGATAATTGGCCAAAAAAATTATACCATTTTGATTAGCAAGCGTCTTGACATGATTTAATTATGATATGGCTGTGTTTTTCTCATTTGAGTTATTTGATAAGTGGTAAAACATCACAATTCACAGCTAGGACTAGACACTATTAGAAAAAAATAATTTAGCAAGCAATAAATGGCATTTATCCATCACTAAATGGGAATTATGAGTTTTGATTAGCAAGCGTCTTGACATGATTTAATTTGCTAATTTAGCAAGTGATTAGTGAGGCATGTATGTAGTTAAAAATGATCACCTAATGCTATAATACTTTATCACCTCATGTTTTGTCACCTATTATGTGTATGTCAGCTCATGCCATGTTACATGTTTATTATGTTTATATCAAGACTAAGATTTGAAGCCTTGATTTTTCACCTTCTAAGCTTTATCCCTTCTTTTAAGATTTGAAGTGAAATGTAGCTACAATTATTATATAAGAAATTAAATATATTTTATTTAACTACGCATATATATCAAATAATGTATTTTGAAAAAGACACATGAATATTGTATTTTATTTTCAATTATTAATGTGATAAAATATTTATATTCATATTTATATGACACTTTATATTATGTTTTTAATAAAATATTATTTTTATTAAGGAAATAAATTTAAAATGAAGCAAACATTTAATATTAAATATTTTTTATGAATATTTTAGTTAATTTTTAAATGTGAATTTTATTTTTAAAATAAAATAATTAGTATATAATTAAAAATTATTGCCAAAAGTCAATTTTTTGTAGTACTTAGTTAGGGATAAAATTACTTACCAAATCCATTGCTAATTTTTTTATTTTAGAGAGGTATAAAAATGCCATTTTTTTTGTTAATTATTTTATTTTAAAGAGAAATTGACAATTCTTAATTATTTTAAGTTGAATTATGAAACTAACTCTCCTCATTAAATTTCACCCTGACATTTTAAAGAGGGATAAATGGTGGTTCACCAATTAGCATTTTTTAATAGTGAGATGATATGGCAAGTGGCTAGTCTATATTGTTTTACTTCAACTAGTTAAGATAGTTCTCTGTAGTTGATTCATTAAGTAACAAATTGAAATCTGACTCGTCGAATCCTAATTAGTTTTGACTCTATATGATTCCTATATCCACGCAGGAATCAAGTTTTCCAGATATACTTAAAATGAATAGTTGGGTTTCTGCAAACACTACTGCAAGAAATGGTAGTAATGGAATATCATTACCAGACAGAGGCTTGTCAGATATGAAAATGAAATCCATACTATTACCACCTGTTCCAGATCAATGTATGGAGGGAAAACGTCCAATATATCAAATTGCAATGTGCGGCTCAAAAGTCTCTGAATCAAATGCGGTATATGCTAATGTATTACAACACATTCCTTGTTATAATATGTTTGTGTTACTTTTTCTCATTTAGGTTAATTATCTGGTAATTATTAATATAACATCATTTTAATTGTAGCTAACGCTTGTTGCTAATGATAACCGGCTATTTTGTTACTCGGACTAGTTAAATGTGATTATTTATTCTTTTTCTTGGTTCAATTCTCAAAAACCTCTTCAATACTCCATATATACAGGAATCATGTCTTCCAGATGTATTCATAGTGGATGGCTGGGTTTCTCCAAGCGTTGCTACAACAAGTCGCAGTATGGGAAAATCTTTACGAGATGCGGGCTTACCAGATATGATATCACCCGTTGCAGATCAGTGTAATGAGGAAAACCCTCCAACATCTCCCAATATTGCAGTGTGCAACTCCGAAGACTCCGATGAATTAGAAATAGTGGATGCTAATCTTGTCCAACAGCAAATTTTTGGCTTTCCTCTTGGTGAAGAAATAATAAAGAGAGAATTGACTAAACCACCAATGTCTTCTCCAGCTACTTTATTTGAGGCTAGCAGCAGCGCGACTTTTGTCGTTTTGAAGCCCCATGAAATTCCTATCTCTAGCCTCACAGCATCTCTTGTTCAATCGTATCATGGCACTCTAAGGATACAACTATTGCACAATAATTTTCCTTCCCAGCTTTCTTGTGCCGATCTCAAAATCCGGTTTGGAAAAAATTGCGTGTATAATAATGCAGGCCGACCGAAGTTGAGCTTTGGGGTTTATCTATCGGAAACCTTATGCGAGGTTCTTGAAGCTTGTGATGCTGTTGCTCTCAGTTTATTTTTGGAGTCTGGAAGTAGCTCTGGTTGGAGACCACTTGTTACCAGAAAGGAGGGCTTCTTCAATTATCCCACTGTGAGGTTACATTAAGTTTCATATCCTACACCTATAAATTAAAATAATTGCATGCACGCATGCATATATAGTAATATGTTCTTCCTGGGCTAGCAGAGATATCTAAAAGATTGCTCATAATTGCTTTTTGCGTCCTGTATCGAGAAACAGACGAAGCATTGCGGTAGGAATAATGAAGCCTTAATTCAAATTGTGCTTGAGGAATTGAAGTAATTTTTGTGAACATTGACATTACAGGATTCCTATATCAGAATGTGGGAATGTTGCTGCATTTGCAACTACAATATACAAGAAAGAGTCGCCAGGCACGGTTCAAAGGTTAAGGTTCAATAAGCTTACACGACGGAGCTCGGTTCATTGTTGAAGCCTGGGACTCTTGTTGACGCAATCTTCTCCTTAGATCAATATAAATATCAACAGAGTGTAGGCATTAGATTGGTTGCTCAAAAATTGATCATTCATAAGTAGAAGGAATGTGAGCATGCCAAAATAAATTATGATCAACTCATTCAATTAAGGATGTATAAAATTACTGAGTTATTATTGTATAGTTATTAATTCCACTGATGCCTTCAATGTAAAACCCTTGGAGTTTCCAGATAAGACAGAATATTTCAAAAATAAATTTGAGGGCTAAATGTCAAAGTGCTGGTGCTTGCATATTAAGTAAATGTCACGTCCTACAATTTTAACATAATTGACATGAAATATATGTATAAATTCACATTCCTAAAGCTTCGATTAAGAAAAGTTTTAAATTAATGTATCAAGTTTTACTCTTCACATAAATCAAAACATCAAACCTTTTTATAAAATTTCTACAGCACCTCCCCTAAAGGTAGGGTCCACTGGAATCTCTTCAATAGAAAATTTACAACATATATCCAACAATATAAAACTTTGCTTTTCAGCAGCAAATAATTAATATAACAAAAAGAGGCAAGATCCTAACTACAGTTAATGTGGAGCTCTCTAAATTGGACTTTCAAAAGATATTATATAGCTTTTTGAATTTTACATGAATAAGATGATATTCTTAAAAATAATCTTATAGTCAATTCAACAATGAGCCCATTAGAGATCAACAGGGAGTGCAAAAGGCTTTGGTATCTGAGACCAAATAAATTATTTTTCAGTGAATAACGTCCCAACAATAAATAATTAAACATGATTAAAAAGGAAAGTTTGAAATAATTACGTAAGTCAAATAGACAACAATTTTCATAAAAATTTAATAAACTTCAAAATAAAATGATTCTATAAAATTTTTAAATAAAATCTTAAACCATTGAAATATTATAACAAATATTTTTATCACTTGATTTTCAAAAAGCACATAAATGAAATAAATGGTTGCAAATAATTTACTAGATAAAAATCAATGAAATATAAAATCACCAAATAGTTAAATTTACAAATTTTTTAAGGACTTATTAGAACAATAAACAAATGTGACACACAGTCCACGAAGATAAATAATCGAATACGACTTATGCCACGAATACAAATATGGACACACAATCCACAAAGATAAGTAACCAAATGTAGCTGAAACCATGAAACAAACATGGACACAATTCATGAGGATAATGTTAATAAAATATGGCTTGAAGCCACGAAACTAACGTAAGTACGATGCTCACAAATAACCATCCCTCTGTTCCACATGCGTTGGCCATCATACAGGGCTAGCACCTCCTATAAATACCCTGCTAGCTAAGTGTACTATGGTGCACCAAGGGCTAATGAAAACTGCAGTTAGCAATCAGTGTTCTATATAAAGTTCCTTTTTAAAATTATTTTCAAACACGCGAGAAAATCATCATTTCAAGATACAGTTCTCATTCTTAAAATCAAATTCGCATGAATACTTTCAAGCATTAAAACTTACCAGAATCAAATTTCATATCCAATGCTCATGCTTGCATTTATTAATAGTCAAAAATTACCAATGCTAATGAAAAGAAATTTTAATAATCTTGAAACGATATCTCATAAGGGGTAAAACATTCATATGTTATGATGAATCATTTTTCACCACCATCTTAAAACTTAAAAATGAAGAAATTTAATTAACAAAGCATCCACTAATCAACATAATTATTATTAAAATAATCAATGTAAAGAAATAAATTTTAATAAGAAAAATTAATTGATAAATTAGTTGGGACGTTATCCATTTACCTGACATGTTCTCAAACGTAATACTTACTCCTACTTGACACTCTTGCATCAATGCTTGATCTCTAAGTTCTTAATATCCAATTAATATCATTATCATTTTCTTATACATGCCTCATCATTCAAAATCTTTAGTCTAAAAATGATTAAAAATAAAAGATAAAACCTTCAACTTCAAACTTTCTCAGACATCACACCAAACACTTCACAATATTTCAAAGATGCATATATATAAATAATTTGTCTTGAATTACCAATAAAGTCTCTTTTCCTAAAATCTCCAATTTCAAATCTTCCATTGTAGAAAATAAGTGTCTTCTATATTTATAACTTTTTATCGAAACACTAAATGCACATAAATTCCAAATCCCTCTATAAGGCTTTTCAACATTCAAATGTTTTATTTGACAATTTCTTAACAATCATATCTGCATTATATTTATGAGAAAATTTCTATAGAATACCAAACTCAATTCACAAGTTAATAGCATCCAACCCACTTAGATCTCTCAAGGAATTCAATAAAATTTTATAAAATACACAATCAAGTAAATCCATCTCACTAGCATTTTATCAAGCATCTTATGGGCACCATTCTACAAGCTTCAAGTCTAAGTTCTTTTATCCAAATCTCATCTTAACCAATTCTTTAATATCAACCAATCCAACAAACTAATTTAACTCAAAAAATTATAACCTATACTTATCATAATTTTGCTCTCAGCATATAAGTTTTGGCTTAAACTCTTCTCTCTCTCTTCTTTTTTTTTCTCTCAACAGTCACGGAGAGCAGCAGTAGAAATTCAAGAGAAAATTGACAACTTCAACTCTATCACATCTTACACTTACACGCACGGATTATTCAAAGACAAGGAGGAGAGATATAAGCTTCTAACATTAGTTGAATTAACACACACGAATAGGGGAGGAAGAAAAAATTTCATGTGCACAGGGAAATAAAGGTTGCTGCTGAGCACAATAAGATGAGTAGATGGATGACTGATGTAATAACCATAAATAAATTAAAAATAAATATATATATATACATATATAGGTTAACTTGCTTTAAGTGTGTTTATATTAGTTTTTGGAATAAATATAACAAGTTAGAGACTTAGTCCAGTGGCAGCTGAGGAGGATTTCATATGTCAAGTCTCTAGTTCGAATCCGAAAAGAGACCAAATGAAGAATTAAATTTTTCCTTCTTTTTGCTATGTGAAATTACCAGATTGTCCTTATCCCATTGTGATATAATTCCTTCTCTTTTCCTTTCTCCAGCAGATTTGTGCGTGAGTCAAGAGAGCTGTAGACTTCACCAGAAACTTCGAACCCTTTTCGTTCAGCCCTTCACCCATTATCATCATCCCTGTCGTTAAACTACTCGACGGTGACCTTGGGAGCGAAAAAATCCACCATGGGAGACGTTCAGTGACTGGTTGTTCTCCCCTGTTTTCGCTTCATTCTTCCTTATCTTGTTGTCCATGAACTGTGCGAACGTTCCAAGCTTCCTTGTCGTTTGTCTTTCGTCCATCTCAAGTGCTGTGAGTTCGCCGGAAGTCTTTTGCTCTTCTCACGTTGGAGTCGTGCAGCGAACCTTCTCTCTTCTTCTTCTTCCTTTCAGTTCGTTATACAGAGCTGTGACTCATCTTGCTTCCTTGTTCGGTCTCAGTTGAGCAAGGTACAGATTATGGGATTTTTTTTCTTTTTCTTTCTGTTGCTACTGTCAAGTTTCTCAGCTATGTTTTTAATTTGTTATGCTTCCTTCTACTCGATTCTGGCTGTTGCTCTGTTCTTGTAAAATATGTCCACGCGTTGCTAATGGTTGGAAGGAATCAGGTCGTCGGAATTGGTAGTGCTGGTCATGAGCTAAAATTAACGCTGATTCTGGTCTTTTTCTTTTCTTTTGAGCAGTGTTTTGTCTTCCTCTATTCCTTGCATCAGCTGGAGAATTCCATTTTCTCTCCCTGTTCTGCTGTAGGTTCTGTCTTCTTCGTTACCTTTGCTGTTATTGTTGTTTCAGGTGAGAATTCTTCAGTTTTCTTCCTTGACGAACTTGCGTGAGAGGAAGTGTGAGTTAATACTGAAATTACAGAAATTTTTGAGAGTATTTTGCTACTGTTGCTCGTGCTGTTGTGGGAGCTAGAAAGTGATTTTCAAAGCTTCATAACGATATATATATGGGTCTGGATTCTAATCTAAATTAAGTTTTGTTAGATTGGTTGATATTGAGAATTTGATTAGGATGAAGTTGAAAGAGAAGAATAAAATTGAAAAAAAAAATTGGTGCAAAGTATAAAAAGAAAATTTTCACCTCAGGGAAATAGAATGGCATGACTAAAGTTTTATGGAGAAAGTCATAAGGGTAAATAATAATACTTGGAGTAACTTTAAATTATAGATTTAATTTTTAAATTTTAGATAATGATAGTGTGGATTCAATTCTCAATTGGAAATAACTGGATATTGGTAAAAGGTGGAATTGGGAAGGAAGCCTTTGTAAATTAAAAGATGATTTATTAAATTTTGGCTACTAATATCTTTATAGGACGCGTGGAGGAAGAGGATCCCGATAGAAATTAAATAAATAATATTTTGGAGATTTGAAATCACAACAGGTAAGTGAATAGCATTCCTTATGAGTATTTATTGAAAATCTTTTATTAAAATATTTCATTTTTATGAATTATGTTAGTTTTAGAAATTTTGAAATAATGATGAAGAATAGTCATATTATGATTTGTGTATTTTCTCAAGAAATATATATTTTTTATATTGATGAAGGCACCTTTGCCTATTGAATTTCAAAATTTCTTGATTACATGATTAACGCAAGTTTGTACATTCGTTATGGTGTATCGATTTGACAAGTTTCATATATTTAAAGCAACTCATGCGAGTTTGATCTTGAGAATGAAAATTTGACTTCACAAGTAATTATTTCTCTCGCATGTTTGAAACGGGCTTTCTAAGAGAACTCTATACAGAACACTGCTACTAACGGCAGTTCCGTTAGTCCGTAGCGCGCTGTGGTTAAATACTAGCTAGTTTGTTTCGTGAGTTTTATTCTCACGTTTGGTATTCGTGGGCTTCGTACCCGCGTTTGATTTCGTGGTATAAGCCGCGTTTGGTTACTTACCCTCGTGGGCTATGTGTCCACGTTTGTTTCGTAGCTTCGGCTGCGTTTGGTTACTTACCCTTGTGGGCTGGTGTGTCCATGTTTGTTTTCGTGGCATAAGCCGCGTTTGGTTATTTACCCTCGTGGACTATATGTCCACGTTTGTAACCTGTTCTGTTGAGTTCTCAAAATTTTAAATGTTGATTAATATATGTTTTCGAAGTTTACCCAATTTTTTTTAGTAAATTGTATCACTTCGAGTTTTATGAGAGCAGATTGTTTCTTTAAACATGATAATATAAAATGTTTTCAACTTATTCTTATTTTATAAATATGATTATGCCTCACGTACATTATAAATCTTGGTAGAATTACTTCCAACCATCTGACACCCTTATTATAAATTGTCAATTGAAATTTTAAGAATTTTTCCATGGGAATGCTATTCACTGGAAAAATTATTTGGTCTCAGATTGGTTAGCTGACGCCAATTTCATCAACGACCTCAAAAAGGGCAACTAACTACAGTAGGTGGACATTTTTATTGGTATTGTTGCTTTAATATAAATACATAAATTGTATGTCTTTTTGATTTGAAAGAAATAGCAGATGCTCCACATAGATTGTTGATAAATTTTATTTTTGGTTTGTATATTGGTTGTTGGCTGGAAGGAGCTACGCTCCTGATTTATACTGATATTTGTAAAATTTTTATTGTAGAATTTTCAGGAGATCCTAGTTACAGGAGAGGTTCTGCCGAAATTTCTACAAAAACGTTGACACTTTCTTATGACAATGAATTTAAAGAAGTTATTTTAATTTTTATATGATTTGATTGAATTTTATTCTTCTCTTGAAAAATGAAATAAATATTCATTTGGAGGCTTACAGAAAGGTGAGAATGGTTCACACCCGTGCCGGTCACCCTCCATTTTGGGGCGTGACAACTGATAAAGGAAATAAAGAAAGCAAGCCATTTAACTCACCCATATACTCGTACTAACAATGAAGAAACACAGCCTCGTCGATCTGAAATAGAGGAGCAGAAGAGAAACAGAAGCCACGAGTGTGACAGACCAGCAGCGGACGGAGCTACAGAAAAACGCTAGCGATGTGGATATACAGTAGATGAGCGACTGAGCCATGACCCACAGTAGTGAGAGATTGGCGATGCAAAGCAAAGGAAAATAAAGAAAGAACAACGCAAATAGAAGAGGAAGATTAGAGAATCTAGTGATCCAACCTATTGTCACCGACGAAAATGAATGGAGAGGAGAATGGCGAATGAACTGACGGTGATGGGAGGAAGAAAGTGTGACAGGGAAGAGGAAAAGAGCAGTGAAGAAAATTCGCGATCCTTCCCCAATCTGCTCTATTCAATCTGCCGAATGAAAGAGAAAAGGAGCTGAAAAAAATAAATAAAGCTTATGGCAAAAATTACTGTTAAATACCCCATCAAGTTTTTTATTATTATTATTATTATTATTATAACAATAGGCAATGACACATTCAGTAATTCCCCCCATATAAAATAAAACTAACATATTTGACTTAAATAAAATTTAAACTCTAAACTTTTATATAAGTAACCAATATGAATTCAACCAAGTCACTACACCCTCATTTGTCAAAAATTATAATAATTAAATTAAATATTAATTGAGATAAATTTATTTAAGTTAAAATTTAAGATTATTATACTCTTACTAGACTAACATTGCTTCATGATAAAATATTTTTAAAATTAATACAAATACAATTAAAATTTATTATTATTTTTAAATTTTTACTTAAAATTTCTGAATTATTACAGTAAAGGTATTTAGTAATTTGGTACTTACAGTCAAACCCTCATCATCATTCATGAACTTTTGGTTTTTTATTGGTCAGCAGTCACATGGCTTGATTGATTGATCATAAAAAGTTGACGTGTTACTGGGGTTAGTGAATTTTATGAGAACAAGGGGCTTTCCTTTTCCTTTCCCTTCTTATCATTCATATCATTTTATTAAATAATTTTTTAATTATAAAATTAATGAATGAAAAAGAATAAGGAAGTGGAAGATAAAGGAGGGTGGAAATCCTCTCTAGTTTTATGTTGGTCTGAAGTCATACATCTTCCATTTATTTAGAGTTCGCTTCTCCTCATTTTCTACTCTCTCCACTTTCTTTTCATTTCTCATATCAAATATCAAATCTTTTTTTAATGGTTGATATTTAATATTTCATAAAATTAATTTTTTATTTTTTAATTATAATCTTAAATCTTGAATTGTAGTTTAGATCAAATTAATTTATATCTTAAATTTATTTATTTTTTTTCATAAATTTAATGTTTTAATAATAATTAAAAAATAAATAATTAATTTTATAAAACATTACATGATCCAAAAATGGATTTAATGGTTGAGATGAGAAAAGGAGATAAGCCAACTTCAATTTGTTTCTGAAAAGAAAATTATTTAATATGTCACCATGAAGACGTTATTTATAGATAATCTATATAGAAATACATTACTATAGATGTGAAGACTTTATTTATGAATAAATTGTAAATATTTTTATAAGTGAATAATATGCATTCATTTTGAAACTGGTTTCCCTCCTCATTTCAAGGATAAGCTTATCCTTGGAATGAAATTTGGATCATTCAAATTTTAATTTGAACGGTCCAAATTTAAAGTATTATTATATATTTTTATATGTATTTATTAAAATAAAAATTTATAAAAATTATTAATAATTTTTTATTTTAAATTTGGTCTAGATTTAATTTAAAAGATCCAACTTAATATTAAAATTTTTATAATTGGACCTTCTAAATTAAATCTATACCGGATTAAAAATAAAAAAATTATTAAAATTATTCATAATTTTTATAATTTTTTATTTTAATAAATATAATATAAAATAATAATTTAAATTTGGACCGTTCAGATTAAAATTTGGATGATCTAGATATTATTTCAAGACTAAGCACATGGTAACGATCCCATTGATTTTGATGTGCTCCTGAAATTCAACTTTGATAAACTTATTTGTATAAAGAAACAAATATCCTCACGTAGCAAAAGAAAGAAATAAAAGTGGGAAAGGCGGAGGCTTGACAAGCACTAGCTGGCCAAAGCAGAGTGATGTATTTCTTTTGCTTTCTCTTTGCATCTTTCTTTGTATCCTCTCAGACTTATAATCTTCATACGGAAAAGGAATAAAAACTTTAAGGCAAGTTTTGGTTTCCACCAACATGATGATCATTACTCTCAGTGAGGCCATTGCCCAAAAGCAAGTTGCCATTCCCAAATCCATATGGCTAAGCAAAGTTCCGACGTGTTTAATTTACAGAAGCTTCCTCACCAAGTTTCTTTCACCCCCCTATGAAAGCCTCCACCATTAAAGACTGTGTTTCCACCGGGTTGTACTATCTGGCATCTTTCATTTTTCCACCTTCTAAGCTCTGATCTTGACTTTATTATCGTTGTTGTCTAGGATGGATCGCACTCAAGATCGATCCGAGATTGTGTTTTTTGACGTTGAAACCATTTACGCCACTTCCGTCATTGTGGAGTTCGGAGCCATCTTGGTTTGCCCCGAGACGCTAACGGAGCGCCACAACTACTCCACACTGGTCAGACCCTCCGACCCTTCCATCATCCCTCCCGTGTTCGAACGCAGAAACGGCATTACTCGAGATGCTCTCGCCGGTGCTCCTACTTTCGACGACATCGCCGACACGGTTTATGAGCTTCTTCATGGTTTGTTCTTTTGCTCTGTAACTGGGAAAATGGAGAAAAGAAACCCAACACAAGGTGGCAAATTGCAATAATTGTTATTATTATTCTGATGTTTCTTCCCCGATTTTGTGAATTTTGTGTAGATCGGATTTGGGCCGGCCATAATATCTTAGAACATGACTGTCTTTGCATCAGCGAGGCATTTGCTGAGATTAATCGGCCACCACCGGAGCCCAAGGGTTTCATTGACTCGTTAGTTTCGTTAACTGAAAAGTTTGGAAGCAGAGCTGGTAACATGAAGGTACTCTCCCTGTATTTTTATTTTATTTTTTATGGCAGGTTGCGGTTTACCTACCTTTGTTAGACGTATTGCTTGTCTTCTACTATAATAAAAACCCCATTTTGGAACAGTTTAGAGAATGTATTGTTGTCATTTAACTACGATTTTCTAGATGTATGTGCCTATAGATGATCTCTTTGTTTTTCTTTTTGTTTTTTTTTTGGTATGATATGTTTTTAACAAGAGTGCTCTATATCGTAACATTCATATGAAGAAGTAACAAGCCTTTATCATAGTACCATCCCATTGTTTGAGTTTGGCTCATCACAAGTTGATTTTCTGTTAGCTTCAAGTTTTAACGCATTCATAGTTCACGACAGATGGCCACTCTTGCGGCATACTTTGGGCTTGGAGAACAGACACATAGGTAATTGTGATAGTCGATGAGATTTTATGTTTTGCTTCCTTGTAATCCACATATTGCTTAATTTTTCTGCAACAAATCTCCAGGAGCTTAGATGATGTCCGGATGAATTTGGATGTTCTCAAACACTGTGCAGCGGTTCTATTCTTGGTAAAATTTTACCTCCAAGCATTTCATTGTCTACTATATTACTAGTACTTGTTATGGGGCTAAATATGAATTAAGAGCCATCATATGATCAGATGTCAAATCGATGTCATCTTAATTGGCTAAAAAATCCTCATCGTTTTAGCAAGTATCTTAACACACGATGCCTTGTTATGGATATATATGATCGAATTCTTCTCATGTAAATTACCTACTAGCTAGGTGGTACTTATGTTATGCTTGGGAAGAGAAAAAAGTAAAAAAAATAGAAAGTGTGAAAGAAAAGTGAGGGAAAATGACATTTTTTTTATGTGGTTATGCAGCGAGAAGTGTAGAAAAGAAAAAAATGAGAGAAAAATAATATGTAAGACTCACATGTTTTTAATTCCAATTTTTCTTTTCAAATATGGAGAGGTTTTGAAAAGAAAATTCTATTTCCACATTTACTGACCAATTTCTATATCTTATATTTAAAACGTGATTACATTTTAATTGTGGAGTTTTGTTAAACAAATAATATATCTAATTTTTAGATTAATTAGATAAATGTTAATTCTAGATTTTCAGTTAATTTTCTTATATTTTGTTGTAGTTTCCAAATTGTAAGATTATTATATATTTAATAATTTAATAAATAAAATTATAAAGAAGATAAAATTATTTTTTGTTAGTATTGGATAAAATAATTTGTAATTATGTTTTTATTCAATCAATAATATATGATAAAATTATTACATATACATAATATGTTAAAATATTAAATTTTATTATATAGAAAAAAATTTATAAATAATAAGGTTATTATTATCCATACAAATTAACAACTTTTGTCCTTTTTCTATTTTTTCTCACTCATCCAAGTACAATGATAAAAAATTGTATCTCTTCACTTTTGTCTCTCTCTTTATTTTCTTTCTTTTCTATTTTTCTATGCAAGTCAAGCACAACCATAATTATACATATAACATCATTTTCCACCTAGTGCTAATTAATTGCTAATAATAATCGGCCACTATTGTTTCACTTCCACCATTTAAATGTGATGATTCTCTTTCATCGTTTAATTCACCGAGTAATTATTAATTGAAAGTTGACTCTTCAAACTCTGGATTCTGACTCTACTCTATAATCCCTCCATCCATGTAGGAATCAAGTCTTCGGGATACATCCACAGTGAATAGTCGGATTTCTCCAGATGCTACTACAAGTCATAGTAAAGAAAAATCTTTACCAGATGGGAGCTCATCAGATGCAGTTCAACAGCATTATTTTGCCTTTGGTCCTTTTCATGATGAAACAAACAAAGAATCGATTCGATCACAAATGTTTTCTTCAGCTGCCGTATCTGAGGCTTGCAACGGCATATTTACTGTTTTGAAGCTCGAAGAAATATCTATCTCTTGCCTCACTCCACGTCTTGTTCAATTAGATGGTGGCGACCTAAAGATTCAGCTGTTGCACAAAGGTTTGCCTTTTCAGCTTTTCTGTGTTAATCTCAAAATACGATACGGTGTAAACGCCAAGTTTCGCGATCACGTGGGAAGACCAAAGTTGAATTTTGTAGTTGATGCATCACAAAGGTTACGTGAGGTTCTTGAAGCTTGTGACAATATGGCAGAGAGGTTATCTTTTGAGTCCGGTGGCAGCTCTTGGAGATGGATTGTTACCTGGGAAGATGGCTTCAATTATCCATTTGTGCGATTGCAGTAAGTTCACGTCCTTCAAATGTAAAATACATGCACACATTTACAAGTTTATTCCCCGAATCAATAAAGATCACGCTTTCACTTCAAAAAGTATAATAGCTAGATGATCTACAGATATGAAGTTTTGGTGCCCAAGAATTTAAATAATTTCTGCAAGTATTGACATACATTACAGTATCCCTGCTGCAGAATGCGAGAATGTTGCCCTGTATGGAGCTGAAATATATCGGCGAGAATCATCAGGCACAATCAAGAGGCTTCTCTTCAATAAGTTTGATGCTGGGGAGATGAGTTCCTTGTTCAAGCGTGGCACTTTTGTTGATGCTGTCTTCTCCTTGGATTCTTATGACTATCAACAGAATGCAGGGATTAGATTGATCGCCAGAGGCTTGACCATTCATTGAGTAGAAATAATATGTTGGAAAATATAATTGTTAATTCCCAAGTCTTTTAAGTTTCATATGTTTGTAATGTTAATTCTTATTATCACTAGCAGAGTTAAATCTGTTGATATATACATAATTTTGTTTAATTTCGTTGATGAGTTTATAAAATTATAATGTGTTAGACATTGTTTGAGCAAAATTGTGTTTCATTTCTCGTGAAACTTCAACCATTTTAAGAATTTTGATATAATATCATGCTTTTTTTGGTTTTAACTTTTACTCTTTTTTTTTATATAACTCATCATAATTTTAACAAGTCACTATAAGTAGTAATCGAGTTTATATACATGTTAGTCACTATTAAATTATTATTATATATATATTAAAAATATAAGGACTAATATTGCAAGCAAATAAAAATTAAGAGACTTAAAACATTAAAATAAAAGTATATGAACTAATATCAAAGTGAGTTAATAAAGTTAAAAGTATAGTGACAAAAAATTATATTTTTTCTAACATGTTTTGACTGCTTGGCACATTCTAAATGATGAGTGAACAAATAATAAATTATTATCAACTTTTCAAGTTAAAAATATGTTGGTTATTGTTTGGCAAAATAAAAAAGGAGTGTGCCGCAAGGCGTGCCAGAGATGCGAGATATTAAAAGAATGAAAGAACCTAATTTATAATCAAACGTTAGAACCCGGGTTCCCTTATTACAGTTCACCCGAATGTGAGAATGTAAAATGAAAAAAATTAATATAGATGCAGAAAAGCATAGATACATTAATTAAAGAAAGAGATGGCAGGCTATGTTGACCATATAATAAAAAATAAAGATTAAAACTACATGATAAAAGGCAAAATAAAATAAAATAGCAGACACAGAGTATAAGACTTATAATTTGTTGATGCTGACGATGATTATTGAGAGAAGACTCCTCTATTTATAAATGATCTCGACTTAGTGCTCAAGCCCCATGATCACTAGTTTCCTTAAGTTTAAGAACTACTTCCTCCATCGTGGTTACTCATCATGGGTGAAGTGTGGATGACTTAATGGCTAAAACTTTGTAAATAGTTTCTTTTAATTATTTTTAAGCCAATTAAGTTGAGTTAAACCTGGGCATCCAAATTCACAATTTGGGTGCAAACAATGCCCCCGCACACAAATTGGCCTGAGCCTTCGTAGGCTAATTTTGTATAGATATTTCCAGTGACCCTACTTTCAAGCGTTGCGTGAGTAGTACGTCTTAAAGGACTGGCTTGTTCCTATTCTAATTGATGATTAATTTAGTACTTTACTTGAAGGACACTCTCATGGTTGAGGATTAGGGACCATATGGTCTAGCTTAAGTCTCAAGGTTTAGGACCACAAGAGCTGATTTTAGAATTGGCAAGTTTTTAGACTTTAAGAACTAATTTTGTAAGATCTAACTGCTACAGGGCCTTTATGGAGAGAGCCCTTTAGGAGAGAACTCTTGTGAAAATGACCCTTGCAAAATTCACCTTTTTAACTTTGGCCCTTGTGGCGGCGGCCTTTATGGCTGCGACCCTTGCACTTCCAGCCCCTGTAACTTTAGCCCCTGTGGCACTGGCCTCTCTATTGTTGGCCCTTATGGTTGCAGCCCCTATAGCATTGGCCCTAATGGCTTTAGCCCCTCTGGTGTTGCCTCTTGTGGCCAGTGGTTTCGTTGGCCCTTGTGGCTCCAGCCCTTCTGGTGCTAGCCCTAATGGCTCCACTGGACCTGTGGCTTTAGCCCTTATAGCTCTGGCCCTTGTGACTCCAGTCCCTCTAGTATTAATCCCAATGGCTTTGGGCTCTCTGGTGTTGGCCCTTGTGGCTTTAGCTCCAATAGCTCCGACCCCTCTAGCATTGTCCGCTGTGGCTTTGGCCCTAGTGGCTCTGTTGGCCCTTATGGCTTTGACCTCAATAGCTCTGCTGACCTTTGTGGCTCAGGCCCCTTGGTGCTGACCTAATGGCTCTAGCCCCTTTGGCTGAGCAAGCCTGCTATTGAATTAGACTCACCATTTATCATTTAAGAGATATTATAATGGTCCTTATTGTTAATCTAGTCAAAAGGCACATTGGGAGATTGCTCCCTGAGTCCATCTATTCTTTGAAGGTGCGAGCCAATTGGAGCTTGCTTGTGCGATGGTCTAGACAACATAGTAGAGAGGTTCCTTAGTCCATCCTTTAGAGTTTGCAACATAGCTCTTTGCCTCTCGTTAGTTCATGCTTCACGTTATGCGTATGCAGCCACGTTTTCTAAGTAATAAGAATTAGGTCTATTCTTTCCAACAACATATTAATTCTTATGTGTCTTAGGCACTTCGTTCACATGAGTCCTACTGAGTGTGCCAAAAATTGTTTGGCAAAATAAAAAAAGGGTGTGTCGCGAGGCATGCTAGAGACGCGAGGTCTCAAAAGGATGGAAAAACCTAACTTTCAATCAAACGTGAGGAGCCCAGGCTCCCTTACCAAAGTTTACCTGAATGTAAGAATATGAAGTGAAGAAAATTAATATAGATGCAGGAAAGCAAATATACATTAATTAAAAAAAAAGAGTGGTGGGCTATGTCGACCGGACAACGGAAAATAAAGACAAAAACTACATGATAAAGGGAAAAATAAAAGAAAAAAAGTAATAGATGCAAAGTTTGACACTTGTAGTTTATTGATACTGATGATGATTGTTGAGAGAGAGCTCCTCTATTTATAAACGATTCTGACTTGGTGCTCAAGCCTCATGATCGACAGTTTTCTTAAATTAGGAATCACTTCCTCCATTGTGATTATTCATTATGGGTGGAGTGTGGATGACTTAATAGTCAAAACTTCATAAATAGTTTCGTTTACTTATTTTAAAGCCAATTAAGTTGAGTTAAGTCTGAGCTTTCAAATTTACAATTTAGGTGTAAACAATTATTTTTTACCATCTCTACATATAAAATAAGAAAGTTTAGATTTTGAAGTTATGATATAAAGAACAAGTAATCAAAGAACGTGTATTTTGGTTTGGCTGTGGATATATATATGGAGCATATTGAAATGATTAAATCGCCACTCATATAACTAAATGCAATATAGCTTGAAACTAAACTATAACGGGTTGGAGATGACTCAATTGCAACATGTACAGTGAAGGAATCTTTCACTCAAATCATGCAATGCGGCTATGGGTCGCAAGCTATGGAGATAAGTATTACACAGAAATCAAGATCATGATAAAAGACAACAAATTGGGTGACGAAAATAATTAAATAGGAGGGGGCAAGAGTAGAGATTTTTAGGAGAATTTACAAATTTATTTAAAAAGTAAAAAAAGTAGTTTCTTTTTTCCCGGCCTATCAAGGGTATCCGCAAGTGACAGCCATTACATGGTGAGTGCGAGAAATTGGGGTTTTGATTAATATATGGCTGAATAATTTTGTGTGTGAATCATACATGGCCCTTCGCTGGATTGATTGATGAGAAGGCAAAGGATAGAGCATCATGGATGATATCCATTCAGTTAAACCAACCCAATGTCTCTTGGGTTCCTTTCCTTTCTCCGAGGAAAAACCCATTCGCCCTCATTCCATTCCTCGATTCAACCTCCTGGCTGGGTTTCCCCAAATATTTTACATTTTTTGTCAATGAATAATATTACAATTACAATTCAACACAAGTTGCGTTTGGTTAATTATCACTTCGGCTGGAGCCTAAATGTAATTGTAAATACGTGTGGGCCACCTTATTTTAAACCACGCATCATCGTCTTAGTCCAGTTTGGTCACGTTTTTTAATTCCCTAGGAGCACGTCAGGGACAATATTATTATTCGGATATTTTCGTGCCCCTTTTGATGCAAAGTCAAACCTAATAAAATGTACGGCACCGAGTCTTTGCATGATAACTAAATTAGAAGAGGTGTCGATTGGCATATTCTTAAATAAATGAGGAATATTCATAATAAAATAATAAATTTAATGATTTACACTCTTGCCAAAAAAAATAAAATAACGAATAGCTTTCCTTCTTCAAATTAAATAAAGAGGGCTTGAATTCTAAATTTCTGCCACACTCCATCCCATTCGCATCCTCCTACCTCAAATAAGATATTCCAAGTGGTTTAGTCTTTTTTTCTAAAATATTAAATTTAAATAATTTTTTTAAAAAAAATCTTCCTTAATTACTTTAAATGTTTTTTTTTGGTTTGAAAGTAGGTATCTTCTGCCATGGACCTAATTGTGAGCTTGTGCGAGCCCAAAAAGAAAGCCGACCTGAAGAAGCAATCTCAATTTCCAATTTTGAAAGCAGAGCCGTCTTGTTTAAATCTGGCCACACCCCCGCGTTTTTGTTTCACATGAGAGCATCATTCAACTGAGATATTCTTGTTGTTCTTCTTCCCTTCTTTCCGTTTCACCCTTGAAGCTCGAAGCTCGAAATTCTCGTCGACTTCGATGGGTCTCGCTGAAGATCGATCCGAAATTGTGTTCTTCGACGTCGAAACTACTGTCCCCACCCGACCCGGCCAGGGTTTTGCCATTCTGGAGTTTGGAGCCATCTTGGTTTGTCCCAAGAAGCTCACGGAGCTCAGCTCTTACTCCACCTTGGTCCGTCCCGCCAACCCTTCCCTCATCTCCCCCTTGTCCGAACGCTGCAACGGCATTACTCGCGATGCTGTTGCCTCGGCCCCTACTTTCGCTGAAATCGCCGATACGGTTTACGACCTTCTTCATGGTTTGTCCCTTCTCTTTGTTTCTTTGCTTTACACTTGGGAAAATGGAGCAAACGAAAGACGGGGGTGGCAAATTGCGCTTATAATTATGTTTTTTTGGTTTTTGTGAATTTTGTGCAGAACGGATTTGGGCGGGTCATAACATCTTAAGATTTGACTGTGTTCGCGTCAGAGATGCATTTAGTGAGATTAATCGGCCAGCACCGGAACCCAAGGGTTCTATTGACTCATTGGTTTTGTTGACTCAAAAGTTTGGAAGAAGAGCTGGTGACATGAAGGTACTACTGCTTTATTTTATGGCAGGTTATGTTTACCTTTGCCGGACGAACGTCTACGTCTAATAAAAACTTCAGCATATTGCATTTAGAGAATATATCTTGTCATTTAACTACGATTTTCTAGACTTGCCTGTGATCTACCTGATTCGTTTTAATTTTTTTAAAATGATCTCCTTTAAAAAAGTGCACTCTAATATTAATTTTTATAATGCATTCTTATGTTCACCGCAGATGGCCAGTCTTGCAACATATTTTGGGCTTGGACAACAGACACATAGGTATCTATACTAATCGATAAAATTTATGTTATGCCTTCTTGTAAGCCGGCTATAATAATTTCATTTTGCTTTTTTTTTTCTTTCCCTGCAACAAATCTTCAGGAGCTTAGATGATGTTCGTATGAATCTGGAAGTCCTCAAACACTGTGCAACTGTTCTATTCTTGGTAAAATTTTACTTCAAAGCATTTCATTATGCACCACCACACACTACTTGCTCCAGGAATATGAGCCATAAGTCATTAGCCCTTCCCTATTTTGCAAGCGATTCATCGCATTTTTTTCTAATATTTTTTTTAATTATGACTATGAGCATAGAACCATGATATATCAAATTGATGTCAGTCTGCAAATATCGTAATAATTCCTAAGACAATCTTACCGTTTAAGCAAGTGTCTTAACATGATGTCCTGTTATGATATGGTTGTGTTTCTCTTATTTGGGTTATTTGATAATGATGGAGACTTTGTGTTATGGGATAACAAGCCTCACATTAAATAGTATTAGATATTCAATAGTATAATTAAGTAGGGTGGTTCTTCCACCTTAACGGCTAACTTTTGAGACAGGATTTCCCATCACACTTAAGTGCCTATCAGGTAATTGGTAATATAACATATTTAGCAGATAGTGCTATTGAGTAATGAATTGAAATTTGACTCGTCAAATCTTGAGTTCTGATTCTAATTTATAATCCCTCTATTCATACAGGAATCAAGTCTTCCAGATGTATTTACAACAAATAGTTGGGTTTCTCCAAATGCTATTACAAGAAGTCGTAGTTTTGGAAAATCTTTACCAGATAGGGGCTCATCAAATATGAAAGTGGAATCCTTGTTATTGTCATCACCTATCATGAATCAATGCAAGGAGGGAAATGATCCAACACCTCCTATTGCAACGTGCAGCTCAGATGGCTCTGAATCAGATACAGTAGATGCTAATATAGTTCAACATCATTTTGACTTTGATCGCCTTCGTGATGAATTAAACAAAGAACTGATTCAACCGGATTTCATGGTGGATGAAAGGCCCATTCCAGAGACACCACAGATGTCTTCTTCAGCTGCTGTGCCTGAGGCTTGTAGCAGTGCTTTTGCTGTTTTAAAGCCTGATGAAATATTTATCTCTTGTCTCACAGCATCTCTTGTTCCATTATATCGTGGCAGTCAAAGGATACAGCTATTGCACAAAGGTTTCCCCTTTCAGCTTTGTTGTACTGATCTTAAAATACGGTTTGGAATAAACCCTAAGTTTAAGGATCATGCGGGTCGACCAAAGTTGAATTTTGTGGTCGATCCATCACAAAGCTTATGTAAGGTTCTTGAAGCTTGTGATGGTATTGCACAGAGGCTATCTTTGGAGTCTGGTAGCAGCTCTGGTTGGAGATCAGTTGTTACTAGAAAAGATGGCTTCTTCAATTATCCCACTGTGCGACTGCAGTAAGTTCGTACCCTATACTTATAAAATGCATGCACGCATAGTCTGATCAATATATATCATGCCTTCAACAAATATTATGGACAGCAAGCTAGTCTTTGGCTGGTTTTTCTGTCTTTTTACATGATTGACCAAGCTATTGGGTATGGGATTGTGAGATTTTAGAAGTTTCATCGGTTTAAATTATGAAGGTAGTTATAGGATCCATTTAAGAGTTGTTGAATATTACTATTAAGTGTTAAAAAAATCAATGCAAAGATTTTGCTCTGGATAGCATTTAGGAGCAGTTCATATTTTATGAGGTTCTACTACAACTTCAGTTGCGCTGTCTCAGGGAGGCTTTGACATTTCTGATTTCCCAATCTGTAATCCCTAATGTTTAAAATTTTTCTTTAGGACCTAGGCTTCTAAAACTTTTCGCACATACATTTTGTCAAAGGACTTAGAATGGCACCATGGCAATTGCAAATTCTGTAATCTGACATAGGTGTCATTCTGCCTCGTTTTGTTTTTGTCTTTGTACATTAATAACATTTTTACTTTGAACGAGAAAAAAAAGATAAAAACTTTAGTAGCCAGAAAATTTTAGGCAACTGATACCACACCATTGAATCCTACTATTGCATGAAAGAATTTAACGTCAAACTAATGAAAATTATCCTTCCCAAAAGAAAAAAGATTTCGACAGAAAATATCTAAATAATTAACTGCTAAACCTTTTGCTATAAGAAATTGAGCCTTTCGTAATTTTCCTTCCCTAGAATTTCACTTATTTTTGTAAATATTGAAATTACAGGATACCCACAGCAGTATGCGGCAACGTTGCCATATATGCAGCTGAAATATACCAGAAAGAATCATCAGGCACTGTTCAAAGGCTGCTCTTCAGTAAGTTTGATACTGAGGAACTTGGTTCCTTGTTCATGCCTGGGACATTTGTTGATGCCGTATTCTCCTTAGATCCATATGACTTTCAACAGAATGCAGGGATTAGATTGGTTGCAAAAAAATTGACCATCAATTGCAAGTAGAAGGAATATGTTATGACAAGGTGACACATGCCATGTTAGCAGGCAAGTAATAAATTATTATCAATTCTTACAATTAGGATGGATAGAATGAATATTGGTTAAGCTGTAAAGCTGATTCTATTGCAAGCTTCAATTTATTTGAAAACTTCCAAGTTTTCTGCTAACATGGAATTTCGATGTGTAAAGTATAACTTGTGTGACTCTGATTGTATCTGTAAATTACTTGTATGACCTTGAGAAAAATAAATTGAAATGAAGTGAGATGGTTATTCAATTCATGTTCAAGAGTTGGGACCTATGCTGTTCTTTTTCTAGCTTTCATGACTGCTGGCTCGATAGATGGGGCTCGCTCTTTATATATATTTCATCTGTTAAAAAATAAAAGTATTTTTTAAGGGGTTAAATGTTAAAAAATAGAAGATATTTTTAATATTTTAAGATGTAATAATTGTTTGTTTTTTTAAAAGTGTCCTTAATAAATAAATCACTTTATATTTATTTTAAAATAAAACACTCTATTAAATAAGGATAATTGTGAAAAAATAATGTTAGTTTGAAGATAAATAACTACTTGAGTAACGAGATTTGGTTAAAAATATTTTACATTTTTAAATTAAAGAATATATATATTTATATAGATCATTTTAATTAAGGGATGGCAAGGCTGCTTGTGTTCATGGACTGATCACTTGAGTTGAAATTATTGACACGCAAACTTTACTTCTTACGAGTTCAAGCTTCTAATCGTAAGAAAATATGTAAGTATTCACTCATAGGCCACGTGTGCTTCCTTCCCCCTTCCTCTTTTAAGTAATTTATAAAAGTAATATGCTAATTTGATTATGTACTTAGTCAAAATTACAGAAGCTCAATATCTTATATTATTAGATAAGCTAAACCTGACCGGTACTGGGATAGAACATTATTGTCACTGTCATTGGAACCTTAAAAGGGGGTAACAAGGGTCATGGGATAGAGTTGGATGGTGCTGAAACCTAGCAACTTGGTACTAATGGAAATATAAACCTAACAACTTGGTTGGCCATACCTTCTGTGTTTTGCTTGTGACCCAACCATTCTACATGGATGCAGTGCCCTTTTTCTTCTTTTTTATTGTATGTTTGGATAACTTGAAGGTTTCGCCAATTAACCAGACAAGTCTGGCATCCATCACAGTCGTTTTTTTTTTCCTGACCAAATTGCCGTCGTTTAAACAAATAATTAAAAGAAATAATTTCATTAAAGTCCCTTGAATGTGACATAATTTCAATTAAGTCCTAAAAAATTTTAAAATTTTATTGCAAGCCTAAAGCACTGAAATGAAATAAATTCTCTTACTTAAATTATCAAAATACTCTTCAATTATAATTAATATTATTGAAATAATAAGTCAAATTATAATTTTTACAAGTAACATTACTATAATAACAAGTTAAATTATGATTTTTTAAGTAATATTATTATAATAACAAGTTAAGTTACAACTTTTATAAGTAACATTAATAAAATAATAAAATAAATTATAATTTTTATAAGTAACATTGTTATAATAATCAGTCAATTTATAATTTTTACGAGTAATATTATGAGAATAACAAAAAATTATATTTATTTTATTAATATTACTTATAAAACTTATAATTTGACTTGTTATTCTATTAATATTATTTATAAAAACAGTAAGTTGACATATTATATTAGTAATGCTAATTATAATAAAAGGATATTTTGTATTCAAGTAAAAGAATTTATTTTTTTATAATTAATTTTTATCACTTCTCTTTTTAATATATTAAATGATGGGTATTTTAAATAATTTATATTTTTATTTTAAAAATATAAAGTTGTTAAATGTATTTAATGAGATTTATTTATATATAAAATTTTATTTAAAAGTAATTTATAATTTAAAATGAAGAGAATAATATTTATATTCTACACGGCATGGCACCACTCATGAAAAAAATTACTATATTTGAAAGAGAAAGGCACTTGGGACTGAAAAAGGTTAAAAAAAAAAAAGGACAGGTGTCTAAAATATAAACAGTTCCTCCTAAGGATGACCACTAAGTCTTTTTAAAGCAAATTTTCTTCCACCGTCTCTCTTATTTTTCATTTTCTTAGTTTCTACTTACTTTATCTTAAATTATAAAATATTTTTTTAAAAAAATTAATATCTTAAAATATAAGATATTTTAATAAAAATAAAATTTTATTAATAATATTTTTTAATATTATTTTTTTTATATATTTTCTCTTTTCAATATTTTTTTATTAATGAAGTATTAAAAAAAATATTTTTAAAAATTTATATTTTTATTTTAAAAAATAAAATTATAAAATATATTTAATGAGCTTTATTAATATATAAAATTTTATTTAAAAATATTTTATAATTTAAAATGAGTATTAGTTTTTGAGATTTTGGGACAATTCTAATTAATTCATAAAAAAGGATTAATGAAATGAATCAGGCGGTCGGTCCTATACCGTAATGCCTTACCATGCTTGGAAGGAAATCAGGAACAGTGGAAGATATTTTGACATAAAATAAAATAATTAGAAAATTTGTCATAGAAATTGAGGAGGCTTGAATATGGAAGATCTTGCAGCGACGTGGCCTCTTCTCTATCTCTACCAAACTATCCACACACTAACGCGCATCCACTCTCTCCACCTTTTCGATTGCACTTTTCTCTCTCTCTTCTTCTGGCCTTTCCACGTCATCATTCTCGCTATCCTACTCCGCGCGTTCACAGCGCCTCCCCCAAGCCTATCTCCATCCTTTGCTTTCATCCTTCCCCTTTTCCGGCGCACGTTAGTCTTCACCAGCATCCCATTTAGTCTTTGTTAGTTGCAATTTTTAACAAGCCAAAAGCTCAAAGCTTGAATTGGTTCTCTTCCACTCATTCCCGTTTTCTGCTTGTGTCGCCGGCCGGGGGCGGAAAAAGATCGAAGATTTTTAGCTCTGCTAATTTGCGCTGTTCCTTGTTATCCAAATCCGGATGGTTGATTCATCGGGACCAGTCTGTGTTATTATCTTGCCCGTTAGCACTTCGGTGTCAAATAGTGAATTTCTACATCTCGTGGCCGAACGTTAATGGGGAACGGTTGAAAAGAACATCTAAGCCTAGGTATATCTGCGAATAGGGAGCTTTGTGCGGATGAACTTTGATTCCATGATTCTGCAGAGCAGAGCTCATTCAATTTTTTGTACTAGACCTAATTGGGGCTGGGGGAACAATATTTTCTAGTATTGGTTAATTAAGGTTGTAGACTTGAAGATAATGAAATTAATGTGTGGCTGCGTTTGGTGTTCAGGAGGCTTCGTTTCGCCGTGGGGTTTTATGTTTTGAATTCTCCTGGTTGATGGGTTCTGAGGCTTGCTTTGAGAGTTTTCGGTGATTACTTATTAGTTTGTGTTATGGAGACTGAAGAAATTAATTTGAACAAAGAATCTATTGTTGGTGCTGGAAATAATAGCAAGAATGGTGATGGATTCATTGATAGAAGCAAAGTTAGGATTTTGTTATGTGACAACGATGCCAAGAGTTCGGAAGAAGTGTTTACGCTTCTCTTGAAGTGCTCATATCAGGGTAAGAGTCTATCTTATATGTATGTGGTATTCACTTTTTCCTTATTCAATTTTTCCTTGTGGTGTTTTATGTTGATTTTTTTGTAGAAGGAGCTGACTGAATACAGGATTTGAACTGGCAGTTGTTTTGGGAGGTCGATTTGTTTGAACAACTTTTTATCATGATATAAATTATTTGATATAGTTGCGGAAGTTAAAAAAAATTCTAACAAATCTGAAGAAATAAATCCGCTGAAAACTCTGCAAGCCGGGTAAAGTGTTAATTGGCTCTTGTCTTGGCCAAAAAGGACTAAATTCAAGTATAAGGGTACTTGCTGCGGCAACTTTTTAAAACATGAATAGTGGAGATTTTCCTCACAAGTTTATTAAAATCAGAATATAAGTTTATAACAATTTGGAGGGGCCCTTGAGTTTTCTCTTACTTCTACCTCCTTCCCTTAAACTTTTATCGGTCAAAATGCCTTCAGGGGTGGCAATCTTATAGAATGCATTCTGAATACCAGTGTGTTATGCTGTTCTAGTTTGGCTTCTCTGATTTAAAGGTTATGCAATTCACGACTCTACTGAATTATCTGGGAACTGTAATTTTTTATGCTTTACAGTTACTTCCGTAAGGTCTGCAAGACAGGTCATTGATGCATTGAACGCAGAGGGGCAAGATATTGACATCATACTCGCTGAAGTTGATCTCCCTATGAAGAAGGGTTTGAAGATGTTGAAGTATATTGCACGAGACAAGGAACTGTGCCGAATCCCTGTTATAAGTATGTTTGATTGTTAATAATACCAGCAAGACTGTATTAAAGGAAGATTTTATTCTGTTCCTCATTAATATTTCTGAATTTCTTTTGTTTGGATAAGTGATGTCGGCACAAGATGAGGTATCCGTCGTTGTTAAGTGCCTAAAACTCGGAGCAGCAGACTATCTAGTAAAGCCTTTACGGACTAATGAACTATTAAATTTGTGGACACACATGTGGAGAAGGAGGCGCATGGTTTGTATTGCATAATTCCATATTTATGGATGTTCACTTGTTTCATGTTTTTTGCATCATAATGTTTTTCCTCTCTATCTAATAAATTTTGGCAATTATGAAATGGCTGCTGAGGACCAACATTTTTTTCCCTCTTTTGACATCTAGTGCGTTTTTACTTAAATTTCATATTTTTCACTGCTGTGAAAGCCATGGTAGTGTTAAACTTAAACCTAGAAAGCCAAAGATTAAAACCTCGCTAGCATTAGAGGTTGAGTTAGGAGTGAATATTGTTTCATAAATAATTGAGAATTTGAGATGATATAACGCTATTTAAGTGAATACAACATATGTTTAGTATTTTTGGCAAGCTTTTGATTGGCTCTGTTGGTTCATAGAAGCAAATTTGTTTTGGTAACTTATGCTGTATGGCTAATTTTGTGTGGAGTTGTAGGTGGTGCTTAAGATTTTGCCACAGTTACTTCAAATCAAATTCTAGATACCCGCCTACATATCTTCTTTTGGCTGAAAGTAAATTGTTAGAGAGAAATAACTGTATTGAGAAGTATCCATCCACATCATTACTAAGGACGTTAAACTTGGCATTTTGACCTTGGATTTTCTACAATTTTTTACACAAGTTAAAAGGAAACCTTATGCCTGTTGCCCTTGAATAAAGATCATCAGTTCTAAATAATGCTGGTATATCGGAAGGATTTTACCTTGCTTTAACAGGAGACTTGATATGCAAACACGACTATTCATGGAGTATAGAATGTTAGGGTGGCCTCTCCTCTCTAACTCTAGCCTGATTCTGCTGTTTGAATTTGCACGTGCGTTTCTCTTTTACATACAAATTTTTCTCTGTAGTTCTCAATGCGGCTTAGATATTCTAAAATTGAGATTGAAATGTGTTTTTAAATCTATGCTGACAGCTTGGACTTGTAGAGAAGAACATCTTGAACTATGACTTCGACCTGGTTGTATCAGATCCTAGTGACGCTAATACAAACAGTACCACCCTGTTCTCAGATGATACAGATGACAAGTCCAAGAGAAGCACTAATCCTGAGATAGGAATGCCTATCCAACAGGAACATGAGGTGATTAGTACAGACAAATTTACATAGGTGATAAAGCATGAAATTAGTCTGTGAGGAGTTCAGCCTTTTAATCCCTGCTTGTGCTCCCCTTCCCCATTCCTTACTCCAAAGGTCTATGCCTCCTTTATAACTGAAAAGAAGAATGAAACTAAGTGGCAAGTTAACATACATCATGAAATGAGATTGTGCCCCTTGGTTACCTTGAAATTGAATTGATTATATGACGAAATGAAATCATTTGTTTCCTGTAAACTTTGGTTTACTTTGCAAGTTGTTATACCCTTCTTAACAGAAACTTTGAGGCTGACTAGTTTTCATATTTTCCTCCAAATGTTAAAGTGATGTTTTGGCCCAAATTAAGGGAACTTCTGCCTTTCCCCACTTTGTAGGTAAAGAGAGATCTTCTACCTTAATATCTAGTTACCAATCTCTTGCTAGAATACTTTTGAAATTAATATAAACCATAAGAAGTTTCCAATTTTATCAATGGCCTTATAAAATTAATCAATCTAATAATTAGATCCCTCAGATAAAGTAATACTCATGTCTGTAAAGGACATTCTAACCAATGGAGATTGCATTCTTATGAACCCTAAAGGTCAGAGGTTAGGCAAGAGATGTTAAGCAATTGCTGATAACTTGTAGCTCATTTTCAAAACAAGTCCTTTGCTGTGTCAGAAATAAATTATTGTTTATTTGGAGTTACCAAGTAATACTTTTAAAGGCCAGCTACCGTTATTTTAGATATGAGCTCACTGATAATTATAAAGTGACAAATAACTGCTGTACAAATAAGAAATAATATAACAAAATGGTATACGATAATTAATTTATTTGATTTCCCTTTTCAGTCAATTGTAGCTGTTGCCTCTGCTGCTGCAGTTGTTGAGGGGCCTCCAAATGCTCAAGCATCAGAATATCGTCCTGAAGTGCCTGGAATCAGTGATCGCCGAACTGGTGTGTGCTGAGACTATTAAAATTTTCCCATGTTTATGTATTACAATATTCTGCATAGTTAATATAGATGTTATATACATGATTATTTTCTAAAAATTTGTTGTTGAAGTACCAAAATGATGCAGAAAAGATTCTAGGGTGTTAACTTCTCCCAAAATATTTTTGGATTTTTCCACGAAAGGGACACAATTACTTATGATAGTTTACACCTCATACTTTGTTCTCGACAGAGGAGTTTGACTTCCCAAGCTCCGAAGTTTCTGTTTTTCATTCTAAAAGCAACGCGTTCTTGAGATTCAGTTTTGTTCAAGTGAATACTGATATGAGAACCCCTCTTTAGGTTTTTTTTTCACTCATTTTATCATATTTTTGCAGGACATTTTTCAGTTGGTCCCAAGAGGAGTGAACTTAAGATTGGGGAGTCATCAGCCTTCTTCACTTATGTCAAAGCAGCCACAATGAAGAGTAACTTCCAACCAGTTATTCATGTTGACCATAATGCTGCTACACATTTGAGCATGGAAGATGCACATCAAGCTTGCACTCAACAGGGGGTTAATGATCTTCAAATACATGAAAATGGAGAGACATGTGAAGGCCATTCACAGGATGACTTACCCAGCAGTAATAGCATCCCAGATTCTTTCTCCATTGAAAGGTCTTCTACTCCTCCTGCGTCAATGGAAAATTCACATCAAAAACACTTAATGGAAGAATCTTTACCTCAGGGCATGATCCATCCAAGAAATGGAACTCATAATTCTGAACTTGAAGTATCTGGCATGCCTGGCCAACATCATTATCCATATTATATTTCAGGGGTTGTTAATCCCATAATGATGCCGTCATCAGCACAATTGTACCAAAAGAATCTCCAGGACCTGCAAGCCCATGCTGGTCCAGCTATCATTGCACAATACAATCATCTTTCGCAATGCCCTCCTCATACAACTGGGATGACGTCCTTCCCATATTACCCAATGGGTATATGCTTACAACCTGGACAGGTGTCTACTGTTCATTCATGGCCATCATTTGGTAGTTCAACTTCATCTGAAGTCAAAATAAGTAAAGTTGATAGAAGAGAAGCGGCATTGATGAAGTTTAGACAGAAAAGGAAAGAACGCTGCTTTGATAAGAAAATTAGGTACGTCAATAGGAAACGACTTGCTGAAAGACGGCCACGGGTAAGAGGACAGTTTGTCAGAAAGTTGAATGGTGTAAATGTTGATCTTAATGGCCAACCCGCTTCCACTGACTATGATGAGGATGATGAAGAAGATGAAGAGGATCATGCAGCGCGAGATTCCTCGCCTGATGATGCGTGAGAATGTCCGTATGCTGCTTTGCGGGAGGATCTAGTATTTGGTTCCAGCATGGAGTCAGTCACGGACCTGCCTTTTTTCCATGCTTGATGAAGACTTGCCTCAGCATGATGATCATGGGCATACATGTGTTAGTGACGCTTATCCAATTTGCGGCCCCCATCATCTGAAGCCCAGACAAATTCTTGCTTGGTACTAACTCAAAATGCGTCCTACTTGAGCTCTTCGTTGTGCGGAATGTGGTTGAAAATATCGTGTTTGTGTTTAATTGAAACTATTAGAAGCTGTTGGTGCTTACTTATGTTTATGGAGAAATGTATGATACATAAAGAATTTTCCGAGAAATTAGTTTTGTTGTCCAAGAATTTACTGTCGAGAAGAAATTTAACAGCTATCCGAAGTCTTTTGGCTTCCCCTTCCTTGATGTCTCCTTGTGAAGTATCTTATGAAGTAAACTTGGAATGGTGAAACTCAAGGTTCAATGTTGTTGGATGGCTTCAGTGCTATAGTCTGATTTTATATAGATTTTTATACCGTTATGTATAGATCTATATAAATTTGATGGCATGCATGCTGTTAAATTATGATGGATACTCTTGTCAGTTTTATGCTTAGAAGGTAGAATTGTCGCAAAAAAATCATCGTATAATTCATAACTTCTGCCGCTGAGAATTATCGTTGAAATCTTCTCTAACGTCGTGGGTCAAAGTAGTCGAGCAAAAATATCATTTTTGGACAAAAAATTGAAATCTGGTGCACAAAGTGGGCGACTCGACATGAGAATTATTTCACATGCGCCTGAATTGAACGTAATGTCATATTTCAGAAGAAATACGGCAGCCTGAGATGACCAAAAGACAGCATGCTAGCGAGTCAGCTTGAAATATAGGATCAATAGAATTGCTAGGACCAGAGCTGTGAAAAAGGAGCCCACAATCCATTTATTCCTTTTCATTCTTTTCGACATTGATGACAAAATCTTCTTGCTTTTGCTGATGTTATCATCCACTCCATGGAGCTGCATAGATTAAAGGGGAAAAGAAAGAAATTATGTCATCATTGACAACCCAATTAGATCGCCCACATAATCCAGTTGAGTAGATGCCTTAGCATCAAATACTAAATTATTGCATCAGAAAGCTTATAGGTTACTAGGTGGAAAACTCCAAGATAGTCAGACTAACCGTCTGATTGGCATGGAGTAGAGATTGACGTTGATGATCCAGGTCTTGGAGGATAGAGACTCCAAGCTCCTCAGTCTCCAGCATTGCTTTCCTACTGGCCTTTATTCTCTCAGTGGACTGGTTTAACCTCTCAGTTGACATCAACAGTCTTCCTTTTTGATCATTTGATACCTGTTTCATGCCGAAGCGGTCCATAAGGATGCATACTGCATCAACAGTTGTAAGACAAAAGCGAAAATATTTTCTCCATCTATTCGCCCAAGGTTCAAATAGAAAATGCCCAAAGCATTACTGGCTGAGGTCCATAAACTGGCCTATTTGGCCAGAAGACAATTCGATGTTTCACTGCAAACAGGCACTTGTAGCAATAAAAATGATGAGCTAATCTTAATCTCAGATTCCCGCAGTTATGATTTTTACTGCCCAATAACCAATTTGGTCCCAAGGTAAGGAATAACCAGTTACACAAAAAGATCTGGTCAATACAGCCAAAACAACACCCGTAGCCCAAGTCCATTGGCAAGGATTCTTAAAACCACTGGTGACATATACACCACATCAACCTAAGCTCACAGTAAAAATAGTATGGCAACTGCACCTAACATATTAAAGCGATGGAGAAAAAGATACCATTAGCGCACCAGCATCTCCCGACTCTAGCAAGTCATCTCGTGCCGCCAGGTTGGCATTAATTGATGAGATTCTTTTAACTTCATTTTTCAAAGTGTTCAGATCAGTTTTATATTCCCTTAACTTGCCAAGCAACGTTGCCTTTATATTTGGCTGCAAACTCCTGGCCTCAAGGTCCATTTTCCGAATCTGAAGATATTCAAACAGGATTCATAAGGCAGTCAAATATTACAAGTAGAAGCAGAAGAAGAAGTCCTATATACCAATGTGTCAGCTTCATCTAGACCATCTTTGATGTCAGAAAGCTTCTGCTTCTTCTGCTCTGCAGACCAGTCAGTAGAAGGAACAAGGGTAAAATATGGGTTACATTTTGAACGAGCAACGACATAAGTAAAGAAAAAAGAAAATGCGCTTCAGTAGGTTAGGCAAGTTCCTGGAGCCTGCTACAAACTAGCAAAAACACTGTAGCTTCATAACATCAACCATACTAGTTCCAGAGTGCAAGACACTAACTTCAACAGAACAGTTGCAGAGGTTTAAGATTGTAATGCCAGGGAAATGCAATGCAACCAACAAAACCATTCTAAATCTTAAACTCCAGACAACTCTTCCTTAAAATGTTACTTTCTCTAGCAGTGTTTAGTGATCATATAAAACCATTCGGCCAACCTTGCGTTATCTCTGACGATTACCGTTCATCGTTTCTCAATTGGAGAACTCATGTCAAACCATTAAACTCGACAAAAATCATTTTAAAAAAATCATTAAACTTGACAAAAATCAAAAGAAACGAACCACAACAAGCAAATTAACAAAGAATGAGAGAAAGTCTGCATAAACCGCTTTATTACCTCCATCAAGGGCAGACGCTGCCGTGCATTTCCGGGAAAGATTAGCCGATAGCTCACAGTATTGACGCTCGTACCCTTCGAATACCTGACTCATTGTTCTTTATTCTCAACCACCTAAAACTTCCATTCAAATTGGACCAATCCCAATTAATTCGGAGGGTCATTTTACAAGGAGGAACAGAAAAACTGATAGGAAACCGTATATACATTTGTGAAGCCAAGCGCTTCCAGATGTGAACAATAAATAAATGAATCTAAAAGAAAATGTAGACTAATTTATGATCGAAGGTTCTTTGTAATATTCATGGACAAGCACATGGTGATATCCGCATGAGAGACAGGTAAAAGAACATACCGGATGTTAATCAGAGAATTGGAATTCAAAAAGTGAAATGCCGATAAGTGGTCGTGGCCGGAGACTGATCGGAGAGGAAAGGGGGCACACACCCGACCGATCTATAGCCCAAAATGCAAGGCGCGTAATAAAAAAGTACACCCAACTTCGCCGCTAATTCTAAAAGGACACCTTCATTTATCAATAAATCAATAAATAAATGTACTGGCTTTTTTAGAAATAAACACGTGTGTTTATACATTTTAAAAAAGATAAGTTTAAGAATAATGTGTGTCCGCAGTGATGAGGCCCCCGCGTGTCCCTTCATTTCAATCTAAATTAATCCCTATCATTCATTTAAATTAATTTTAAATATTTTAAATATTATATTTATTAAAATAAAAAATATAAAAAAATTTAACATTAAATATGGTCTGTTTAAAATATATTTAAATGATTAATTTATAAATTTTTAATGTTAAATTACGTCATGTGAATTATATTTAAATTATTTAGAGTTTATTTAGATAGTTAAATTATATAATTATAAAAATTTTTAATATTAAATTAAATTGTTAGATTAAATTTATACTAGCCAAATTAGTAGTAAAAATATTTATTAAAATTTTAAATTTTTTATTTTTTATATTAAAAACATAATATCAAAAATATTTAAAAATTAATTTAAATAAACAACAGGGATCAATTTGGATTGAAATGGAGGGTCAAGATTGTTCCTGACCCTGATGAGCACGGTGCTCATCATCAAATGCAAATCGAAATAATATTAAGTGATAGCTATATTTATTGCATGAAAATTAATTACTTCATGTTTTTTTTAAATTAATCTCTTAAAATATTTTACATTTTTTCAATTACACCCCCATCAAATATCTTACACAAATATTTTAGCAATGATGATTGAAATTCTAATATATTTTAAAAAAAGTAATAAATAAAGTACAATTATAACTGGAATAACAATTATAAAAACCATTTAATACTCTATGCTTTAAATTAAATAAGATTTTTAAAAAATATCCTGTATTATAGTAGTAATTATTAAAATTAATTTTAAAATTAAATAAATTGTATGTATTATATGAAGGGTAATTCAAATTAATGAGTTAGTGACTTGTGGGTCAGGACGTCGGTTAACACCTACTGAGTAAAGAAAGGAAGGGGTAAGGGGCAAGAGTCAGCCCCTTAAACTGAAAGAGGACATTATTGCAGCAAAGTCAAAAGCGAAGATAAACATACATAGGACATAGGATTTGCGGGTTGCAGCCTGTGGGAGCATTTTGGTCAGATTGGAACTTTTCTTGACGGCGTTGGGGCCTCATTGAGTCGGTAGTTATTGGCGGTTATGATGAAGCACGTGCCAGGGAGATGGGTGGTAATGAAGTGGGCCTAACGGGAAGCCTGAGTGTTGGGCTTACATGAAGTGGGCCACCTCAATATCACCCAGGGGCACATGTCATGTGTGCCACATGCGCACGTCAAAGACAGATCCCAGTTATTGCCGCCTTATATAATCCTCCTAATGCTCTCCCCACTTCACAATGGTTCTGCCTTCGTTATACGCTTGTCTCAGATATTGCCACCTGTCAACTCTGCAAGCTGAGCCGGACACTTGTGTTTGGCTAAACAGAAGGCAAGGAAGAGATTTGAATAAAGAGATTATAAAATTTGAGATAATCATGACGTTAAAACTTGATAAATAATACTACAATTTATTACACATTTTATGATTTTATTCCACAAAAGATGAAACTACTAATGCAAGAAGCGAAGGAAGGAGAGACGCGTTGAAAAGTCAAACGCGTAACTTGATTGAAGGCGAAGCCGAACGTGCTATGCATTGCAGTTGCAGTGCAATCAGCCAAGTGCACAACAGATCACGCGCAGCAGCTAGCAAGCTGTCTATTATTAAAACTGACACTGCCCCAGATTCATTCTCATATTCTCTTTCACAATTACCTTACGCACAGCTGGCCCTACCTTTTCTTTCTTATTCTAAGTGTCTCATTAATGTGTGTGTGTGTGTGTATACAGTAACAATACATTATCACATAAATGGGCTCTTTATGATGTCATTTTAACGAATAAATATTTCCTCAGGTCCAAAATATAAATAATTTTTTAAAAAATTTTATATACCAATAAAATTATTATTTTTATAAAAATATTTTTTTATTTTTTATCCTTAATTTTGATTATTAATACATTTCATGATGAGTAAAAAAATTTATAAAAAAATTTAGGTTGATAAATTTAAATAAAATAAAAAAATTTCATATACTATATTACTTATATTTTAAATTAAAATTAGCTAGAAAATCTGTCTCTATATAATTTTGAAATCTCCCAATGAACAGTGAATAAACAGTGACGCCCACCTTATCTGCTTTTTCCTGTTTTGTTTTATTCCCATGTGAGCTGAGCAGTCATATTTCTTTCTTTCTTTTTCATTTTTTTTGTTAACTTTTTGAGGTTGGTAGCCATCAGATCTACCATACCCATTCGAATTTTTATAAATATACATATATATATATATATATATTTGTTAATTTTTTAAATATTATATGGTAAAAAAAAAAGATAAAGAATTATATTGACCCAATACTAAAAGAGATACTTATAGAACTTACAAAAATTAAATTATAAATATAAAAAATATAATTAAGAATGAGTAAAATATTTTGACATTTTTTATTTTATCTTAATTAATGATACCTCCCTTCTATTTTTTAAAACCTATATGAACATTTTTTCTTAATATAGATAGTTATAAAATACAATCCTCTCTTCTATTTTCAAGATTTTATTTTTATCCACCTAACTATTAGTTGACTGTTAAATCACATGTGTTAGACTATAATGCCCCTATTTAAATATAAATATTTTCTACAGTTCATTTAAATTATCAAAAAATTAATTTTGTAACTTTTTAAAATTAAATATATAAATTGGCAAAAAAATATTCAAAGACACAATTTATGGATCCAATAAAAAAATAAAATAAAACAATTTTTAATAATCTGGGGTTGTTGAACTAACCTAAATAAATTTGAAGGTTACAGATGTCAATAGTCAAGCTTAGCCATAGATTTTGTATATATTTATATATTTTAAAATCAATATAAATTGAAGATCTAATGGAAATAAAAAATGTGAGATTTTAATAAACTTAATTTTTTCATAAAAATTGAAGTGGTGTAATTTAAAAAAGTTTTGTGTGGATCTACCTTTAGAAAAATGTGAGTGGGAGCCTACTGTAAAAAAAATAGATGTTAGATATGTAAAGAAATCACTAATGATGAAAAAGTGAGTGTGAAACCTATAATTTAATTAATAAAATAAAATTAGTAATTATTTTTAAAAAATTAATTTTTTGAAAATAGGTTAATAAATGATTTTGTTAAAAAATAAATATAATTGCAAGACTTGGTAAAAAAGTGGATATTTGATCTACCATTTAAAAATGTAGGCGTGGGACCAAGATTTATACTAGTTAAAAATTTAAACAATATTTAAAAAATATTGAGATTTGTATATTTTAAAATATCATGTAGGATTCATGAAAAAAAATTGACAATGAATATAAAATTTTTAATAAAATATATGTGTTAGATATACAAAGAAATTATCAATGGTAAAAAAAAATGATTGTGAGACCTATAATCTACATACCATCCATAGCAAAAATTTGATGTGGATACAAAATTTTTAATAAAAATAATATGTGTTAGATATGTAATAAATTTAAAGAAATATAAACACAAATTATATTAAATAATATATCTCTTCTTTCATTAATTTTTTTTTGAAATAAATGTTTGAAATATTATTTTAGTAAACCCACTTCCTTCATTAAAAAATATAAAGGAGTTATTTCCTTAGGTTTGGATGTTAAAAAGTATAAGATATTTTCAGGTTTAAATGTGTAATTATTGCTTTTTTTAAAAAAAGTACTCATAATAAATAAATTATTTTATATTTATTTTAAAGCTAAACACCCAATTAAATAATAAATATAGAAAGATAGTATTAGTTTAAAACTAAGTAACTACTTTGTTAAAAAATAAGATTAGATTAAAAATATCATATATTTTTTAAAAGATGGAATATGTATTTAATTTTTTTTAAAAAAATACTAAATAAATTAGTTTGTATGAATGATAAATTTAAAATATAATAAAATTTTAAAATAATATATCACAAATAGTATTTTAGTTTAACATATATGTAACTGTCAACTAATAATTGGATAGATAAAAATAAAAATTTAAAAGTAAAAAGAATATTTATATTTTATAACTTTTAACTATTGATTTTAAAAAGGATTCGCATAGATTTAAAAAAATATTTATAATTAAGATAAGATAAAGGAAAAAGTAATATATTTTATTTTAAATATATTAAAATAATTTTTTAATATTTATTTTCATTTTATTCTTAAAAATTAAAACATTATCGCACATTGCTCGGGGTATATTTGCATGGGGATGACATGCATTAGATAAAAACAATTTGTTATACGTTTATATGTGGACAACATGGTATCCTCCTATTAAAATTTTAATTTCATAGTTGCCAATCATAAGGATAATTTAGAAAACAAAAAAAATCATTCCTTAAATTTTAATTTACATGAAACAATACATTCTAAAATAGAATAAGTTATTATTTATATTCTCAATATGTATGAATATAAAAAATTTTAAAATAAAACATTCTTTATATTTTGATTTGCACAAATTAATAAAGTATAAAGTAAAATATATTGGCATTCCTTTTGTTTTGTTATAATTATAAATACTTTTTTTTTATTTTTAAGACCTATACTTTAATATCATTGTTAACACTATCAGGAATATTATTTTAAATATTCTAAAATATCTAGTTCATTATTTGTATTTATGATCAAAAATTTTAAATTATTACTTTATCCTTGTAATCTATTTATCTATCCTCTCAATTCCTAATTTTACTTTAAGGAGGCTAAAATAATTTTTTAATATTAATATTTGTTTTGTAAATATAGTTGTAGGACTTAATAAAAAAATGTACGTGTGATCTACAATGAAAATATATAAAGAATTTCACATTTACTTTTAAAAATTTTTTAAAAATTATAACTTTTAAAATGTTTTAAAAATTATAAATCATGTTGCTTGCAACAAAATGTCCCTGATGGTGCTGACACAATATTTTTTTGAAAAAAATGATTAATGATATATTTTTAAAATCCTATTTTATTATAATATATAATAGTATATTATATTTGTGATGAAATAAGTATTCCTTACATTAATGGGATAACTATATTAAATATATTTACACTAATTAATAAATAATAAAAATAAAAAAATAGTTTAAGTATTACAAAATTTCTTATATTTTATGTTAAAAATTATTTTTAAAATTTTTTCAACAATAGAACCAGGCGGACTATAAGATAATAAATTTTAGAGTTTAAATATAATTTTAAATTTTAACATATACATATATATAATACATTCAAGAATAAAATATTTTACCTAAATTTTTGATATGGACATCAAATTATAAAAGATATAAATTACAAACAAAATTCTTAGGTAAACTCATCGATATAATATTTTACTTTAATATTTAAAAACAGTATAATCTAACATTTGTTATTAATAAAAATTAACTTTGATCATATTTGATTACCAAAGGATCTTAAAAATTACAATGCAATATATTATTTTTTATTTTATTTTCTAATGTTATTAAAATATTCCTCTTATTTTTTTGTTGCCTCCAACTAGGATAAACTACTAGATTCTCGTGCATTACACAGGGCTAATATATACTCTCTCTATTTAAAAATATAAGATATTTTTAATTGAATCTCACCCCTCAATAAATTAATTACCTACTTTTAAACTATCTTTTTATATTTACTCCTATTAAACACTTTATAATAAATATAAAGTCATTTATCAATAAGAATACTTTTAAAAAAAGATAATGATTATATTTAAAAAAATAAAAATATTTTATATTTTTTAACATTTAATTTTTTTAAATATTTTATATTTTTAAATAAAAAATTAATTTCTCGTATTTTCAATGAAAGGAGTGTTAATTTAAAAATAGGAATGATGTCTCTGGTACATTGTTAACTTCACTAAAGTCATACCTACCCAAATACTCAGAATGGCCGTTGTCTTCTTGAGGCTTTTCAGTATCTCCTCTTTTCCTTACCTACCCTAGCAACCTTTCATATATATATTTTGGTTGTATACACTATCTCATCAAAACCATGCAAGAATTAGGACTTGTTTAAAATTATGTTTTAATTATTTTGAGAATTGACGTTTTATAAAATATATTTTAAAAAATAATATAAATAAGTATTTTTTAGTCTTGTTATTTTTCAAAATAATAATTCTAAAATATTTAAATTTTTTTTATTTTTTATTTTTCAAAAAAATATTTTATAAACTTTTTTAAAATTCGTTATTTTTTGTTTTTTAAAAAATAAAAACTATTTTTTAAATAGGTTGTCAAGAAGGGGAGGGATCAATAATATTGTCGTAGAATAGCATGCAAGTGGAGGTGATCAGATTGGAAGCCCTCAGCATCATCATGAATGATCAGACAGATGAACAATTCTAAATCCTCCAACACTGGGACAGTCGGCGGTGGACACATGTCGATCCCCTTTTCCACGATGCTTCGCTTCCGACACTCTAACTAAACCCTCCGTCACCGCCTCTGTTTCCCCTTCTCCCCTCCCTCCATTATCAAACTCCTCTGCACCCTCGCTACCTTCCTCTTCTAGGGTTCCCGTCCCTTTTCCTCTCTTCGCCCTCACCCTGTCCTCCCAACATTAGATGCACAGAGGACGTTCCTTCTGATTTTTTTTGGGCTGTTTGTTTCCAAACAAAATTTATTCATTGTGCTGCTGCCCATCCGCATAATCCTTGAAATTTGAGTTTAATTGTGCTCCTTAGCTGCTGAGAGTTATATCTTTGCCTTGTTTGACAGTCCGTGTTCATTATCGCTCACACAGGGGGATTGTGTGTGTGAGAGAGAAATGGGGCACGAGAATCTATCGTCTCAAAAGAGGGGCGGTGGAGGTGGATTGCCCACGTCCACCATCGCAAACGGACGAGGTCGTGGATTTTCCGGCTTACCGCGTGGCCGGCAGATCCACAAGACCTTCAACAACATCAAGATCACCATCATGTGTGGCTTCATTACCATCTTGGTCCTTCGCGGCACCATTGGGATTAATTTTGGTAGCTCCGACGCTGATGCTGTTAACCAGAACCTCATCGAGGAGACCAATCGGATCCTCGCTGAGATCAGGTCCGACAGTGATCCCTCTGATCCGGACGAACCTGTCGAGACCGAGCTGAATCCGAATATCACCTTCACCCTTGGGCCGAAAATATCAAATTGGGACGAGGAGCGGAAGGCTTGGCTGGATCAGAACCCCGAGTACCCCAATTATATCAAAGGTAAAGCTCGAATCCTGCTTCTCTCTGGTTCGCCGCCAAAACCTTGTGATAACCCAATTGGGGATCATTATTTGTTGAAGTCGATAAAGAACAAGATTGATTACTGTAGATTACATGGGATTGAAATCGTGTATAATATGGCTCATTTGGATAAGGAACTTGCTGGGTATTGGGCAAAACTGCCTATGATACGGCGGTTGATGTTGTCGCATCCGGAGGTGGAGTGGATTTGGTGGATGGATAGTGATGCTTTCTTTACCGATATGGTTTTTGATCTGCCATTGTCGAAGTATGACAAGTATAACTTGGTTCTTCACGGGTACCCTGATCTGTTATTCGAGCAAAAGTCTTGGATTGCAGTGAATACAGGTAGCTTCCTGTTTCGAAATTGCCAGTGGTCTTTGGATTTGCTTGATGACTGGGCTCCCATGGGTCCGAAGGGTCCCATTCGTGAAGAGGCAGGGAAAATATTGACCGCAAATCTGAAGGGAAGACCTGCATTTGAAGCAGATGATCAATCAGCCTTGATATATTTGTTACTTTCAAAGAAGGATCAGTGGATGGATAAGGTATTTCTCGAGAATTCTTACTATTTGCACGGTTACTGGGCTGGCTTGGTTGATCGATATGAAGAGATGGTTGAGAAGTATCATCCAGGTTTAGGTGATGAGAGGTGGCCGTTTGTGACACATTTTGTGGGTTGCAAGCCCTGTGGAAGCTATGGAGATTATCCAGTTGAGAGGTGCCTCAGCAGCATGGAGAGGGCTTTCAATTTTGCAGATAACCAGGTGCTTAAGCTCTATGGGTTCAGGCATCGTGGTCTGCTGAGCCCTAAGATCAGGAGAATCAGAAATGAGACAGTTACTCCATTGGAGTTTGTGGACCAGTTTGATATACGTAGACATGCTCAAGCTAGTGAATCCAGAAGCTAGAAGGAAAAACATGTTAAAGGGGATTTGGTGAAAGTTCACATGTAAGTTTACTTATTTTTTTGTCTTACTTCTTTGAGAAAGGCCAGGATAGAATTCATTCCTGTCATGTTTGAGTGATTAATCAGTAAGCAAATTATATTTACTGGTATCATGGATACTGAGATTCCTTTGTTTTCCCGTCTGGGGCATGGATTCATGAAATTATGACACTTTCATTTGAATTTTGTTGTGACTTGATATGAGCTGAGTACTGCTTTCCTTCTACATTAATGTTATATCTGAGAAGTACACCAAAAGGTGATGTTTCCACTAGAGAGCAAAGAGAATGTATTGTTTTGATGAAGCTGTCAATGTGCATGAATCAGTGAATACTTTTGACATCGGCCCTACCACTTGTGGACCGGACCCTGACAGGGATGTACTTTCACCGAGTTGACAAAAAAGTTGCAAGGGGCAGATAGGTTGCTTTAACTTTGAAGCATATTGCAATTGATGGATGTTTATCAACAAAAAAGATTACTTAGAATCCATTTGAAAACGTTTCAGTCAACACAATTCTGTGTTGTCATATACGCGGCAACATCTTTCAATTCCGAAAGAGTCTTGTTTAAAAGTATGGTTGGTGAAAATTACAGCAGCATGATATTTGGATAGCTTGCTTCAATTCAAATACTTGCTTCATTAATGAAAAGGAGATCTTGGAGGTATAACCGGTGGGTCATGGAAATGGATACTTCCCTTCGCATCATTGTCAAGCAAACTGCTAATACTTTTACTGTTTCACGGGAAATCTTAGATAAATGAGTCTCAACTCAAGGGGAAGAGTTACAGGAAAATTTACAGGCAAGTATGAATTTTTATTTTTCAATCCCTCTCGATGGAAGAGAGAATCTTGGCAGATTCCCGATTGAAGAGACAGTTTGATCTGGATTATTAAGTTTATTCAGTTTTAGTTGGCAAAGTTGTTGAGCATGTAGGAGTTCATCTTCAAGAATGGGCAACCTATTCTTCACGACCACACTTGGTAAAAGCACTAACCTGTAATAGATTTTATTATTTACGAATTACCTCATGGAACCAACAATCTAATGATTACAATGGCAAAGATTGTACAAAATTGAAGAGGATTATAATGAGTGAATTCCGGCACGATGGAGAGAAGACAGACAAAAGCATCAAAGATTATGGAGGGAGAGGATTATTTAAAGAGACAAGTGGTTTGACTGAGGATCATATACAGGTGAGAAAGAATCAGAGAGGCCAGAAAAGCTAAGGAATGAGATGCTGTTCTACGCAGCAAACAAAAGCACGGGGACCCAAACGGCCCGATCCCAGTCAACAGATTCCTTCGCCGTTAATTTTATCAGCAATTCGGCTGCCAACTAGGAACAAGACGATCATCGCACTTGGCTTCCGTACGATGCCGAATGCTTATTTTCGCTTTAATTACTTCACAAGACGCTTACACTTTACATCAACAATAAATATTGAATATAAGAATATTTAAGATATTTATTGAAATATTTTTCTCATCTCTCCCGTTCATTATTCTCTAGACTATCAAATGAGATGTTCTGCTCTGTTCTTGTGAGTTTTGGAAGCGCAATGGCTGCATCTGCCCATTGAAAAAATCTTGCAAAAATGTTATAAAAAGTTGGGGGAAGAAATTTCAAGACTAGATATACACGCTTGAATTAAGATAATTGTAGTACTCAAGCATTTAGTTAATCGCAAAAAGGCTTAGCTTGTTTTATTTGTTAATGGGATAAATAAGGCTGAAAACATTGCACTGGCAAGGAAAAAAAAGATTCAAAACGTTGCAATTGGAATTAAACGAGGATAGCATGGCAATGACTACTCATGCGTTTTGGCCAAACGACAATTAGAAGACAACAAAGATACGAGGGTTTAAAATATCAGGACCCTAATCAGCAATATATATGTATATATATATATATATATATGTATATATTAGGACCCTTTTGATACCTAGATTCTAGAAAGAGTGAATATAATACCCAAAAAAAAATTAACACTAAGAGAATCATTATATTTTTACTTAAGAAGCAAAAAAAAAAAAATCAGAATTGTTAGATGATAATTATAATATTATATTTAAAATCTTCAGAATGAACATGATTAATTAACTGCCACTTTCAAGTTTTTATTTTGTTTCAAAATAATTATCACTTTAAGAAAAAACTGCACAATTCTTTATTTTAAGAATAAAATTATTCATTATTTTGAAAAATAAAGATTTAAAAAACTGAATACAGTGTTCATTAAAGATTAGGCTCAAATAGTTGACTCGGGTGGAACACCAAATGTGTACAGATCTAAATCGAAAGTTGTGAAAATATTCGCGGCTGTTTTGGAGGGAAGGGGAAGATATAATCAGACTATTTGGTGACAGTAAACTTGTCGGATGGTGTTTGTCGGAGCTTGACTCTCGTCTCCTCCGTCGGTTGCCGTTCACAAGTCAAACCGAATCTAAGACGGCGTTCTTCTATTCTCTCTGTATCCTGCTCATCCTCTTCCTATTCTAATATTTTCTCATTCCTTCCTTTTCCCATGTACGTACTTCCCGTAAGTTTAATTTAAACGCCCTCCCCTTCCTTTCAACCACCTTTCCTTTACTCATTTTATTTAATCCGTATATAACAATTAGCAACGTTATTTTTATTATTATTATGGTTGCAATGCTTGTTTATGTCAATAATTTTTTTTTGGCCAAATATGTCAATAAATTAATAATATCGAAGTGCATCGACGTTTGACATTAATATTATTAATTTGATTCTTAAGGTAAACCCACAAGGCCACAACAAGTTCGTGGCCTCTAATTGTCAACTATAGAATGGGGTCAAGCTTCAAGGTGATTGGATGGGGGGAGAGAGAGATAGAGAGGGCTTGCGAGTGAAGGGAAGACGTAAATAGAAGTCCGTGTATGAAACGAAGGACGCAGAAGCGACCACGATACTCCTCCTATTTCCTCCTCTATGCCAAACGCTTCAATTTCTCAATCTTGCTTCTGAAAAGCATCGGACTACAGACTCTGCTACTTTCTGCTACCTATCATCCTATGGTGGGAGAATCGCCTTCTTCTTCAGCTGTGCTTGCTATGGACGGTCTTGATGACGTCGAGAACTACGTTTGGGTTAGTTTTTTTCCCTTCACTTGTTTGGTTGCTCGGAAAGTGTAGCTGATAGAATACATGGACGGGCATTCACGTTTTTGGGATTTTGGCTGTATTCGCTTGTAATTCTATTATTCTCTCTTACCATTCTGTTTTGGCTTTGGGGATGTTTTGTGAATTGTGATATTCAGTTGAAAGCAGCAACTTGGTATTGTTAGACGAAATGAATTTGAAAATGCGGATTTCTCCCTTCGCCTTTGAAAAGTCCTACTTCAACTGATCAAGTACCTGTTTGGGTTGCTGGATTTTCAGATCACTGGAAAATCAAAACAACCGCTTGAATACCATTAAAGGCTCGTTTCAATTTCAATTAAATATAATTAACTATAAAAAAAATAGGTTAATATGATTGATTTTGATTATAAGTGATTATATTATCTGTTTAGATATTATTTTTTTAAAATTAATTTTAACTGTATAAATTATTATGAAAGGTATTGCTTTTTAAAATTAAATTTAATGTAATTATATTTAATATTATTAAATTTGTTAAATTTTATTTATGAGGTGACATATATTATTTAATAATAAAATTAAATTTAACAGCCTCCTAAAATTAATTTTAAACATAATTTTAACTCAATAATTAATTATTCAATTTTTTGGCTGTTTGAGTAACTTTTATTAAAATCGATTGTTTTGCCCCAAAAATTGATTATATGATCTATCCAAACAGGCTGTACTCAGTTCTGATCGATGGCTGTGCTCAGATGTTTCCTTCTGTCTCTTTTAATTGCCTTTTTTTGTGTACTGTGTCTGGTTGCTGTGAAGAATATACGAAAAGACAAGTTCTCTTGTTAGCTTTCTTTCCCTTTTCCCTTCAACTGCTTTCTGACTGGTGAGAAGTCCGAGGACAAGAAGCGACAATGAGAAACGTAACTGTATTTTTCTGAGCTGTTTTTCTACCCAAGGGTTAATGGTTCTATAGGCATGCTGCTTCGAAATTAAAAGATTATCTTTGCTGATGTTTATTTAATGACTTATTTTTCTGATTCAAGAAGGTTTATTGCTGTGTCTCTGTTTCTTTTCCTTATGAAAATAGAAAATTGAGAGGATTCTCTGTTCACTGAGCAAGGAAAAAATCTTCTTTATTTTGCATAAGCTTTGATTTTGCTGTTCTGTCAGGAAAGATTGAGTCTTGAATGGTTCGTTTTTGTTGTCGTTAATGTGTCAAAAACGGTACTAGTATTTGTCATCTTGTCTGCTTGCTTATCAAATATTCAAAATGGATTTTTTAAATTTACATTTTCAACTAATTAGCATTTCTAACGAGAGCTTAACACAGTAATGTAGTATCTGGATTTTGCCTGGATTGCAGGCACATGAACAAGAAGGTTTGGCATGGGACACATACCATCATATTTTTGAACTTGTGCATAATGGCAACATGTCATTTCGGGAGAATCGGTTGGAAGAGGTGATATAAAATTTTAATTTCTGGTTATCAACGTTACTTTTGTTGCATTGTGCATGGTTCTTTCAAAATATAGTCTATTAACATATGGTGATTGAATGTCGTTGGCATTTTTTTCCCGCTGTGATCTTAATTGAAGTATTGTGTGATGATCTATAGTTGTGTGACATTGTTTCTGGTCTTCTTCTTTTCTTTTTTTTTTTTTTTGGCATTTCTGGCATGTTTTCTTACCATAATGTTTCACTTATCACAGTTAAGAGAATGCAGCTCTCATGCTCTACTAGTCTAATAATCTACTTGTGGAACATTAGGCATCTGTGATCAATGTTATGGCTAATATCTGAATCAACGATAGAATATCCTTCCTGTGGTGACATTTGAGATTAATAATACAGGCAATCAACTTTTACTCAAGAGCAAATAGCATCAAACCTGGTGATCCTGTTATCCTCCACAACCGATGTGCAGCTTATCTTAGGTTAAGCATGGTTGAACAATAATTGAAATTACTTATTAAAACTTGCCTTTTATCCTAATATTTTTCTTAAATTTTTTGAACTTTGGTGATCTCATGACAATCACAATATCTTTTAACCAGGATTAGCAGATTCTTAAAGGACAGATCTCCATCAGCTTCAGAATATAAACCATTGAGTGGGCTTGATCCTACAATACATGCTGAAGTATGTTCTTTGCATCATCATGTCATGCTCAAAACATAATCTTCTTTCTGAATCAGTTTGTGCTTAATAAATCAACTTTTTATAATAATTTCAGCTTGGTTTGAAGGATGCTGAGAAGCTTGTTGACCTACGTAGTAATTCAGTAAAATCATACCTCTTAAAGGCTAATGCGCTTTTTCTGGTGAGATTTCCTATATAGTGGTGTCAATTGTGCTCTTTGGGAACATTTTCTCCTTTATTTTATTTGTTGACATGTTCTCTATTGAGAAGTGTGTCGCTTGTGTAAGTGAGGGTCTTTAGCTACTTAAGTTACTCTTGGATGAATTGGAGTCGTAGAATTAGACATGAGTGCTATTTTGGTGATTTAGGAGTAATATCAGTAGGAGGAAACGGAGAAAATGCTTTAGTCATTGTTGGTAATTATAGTGAATAAAGTTGGTAGGTGCTAGCACCTTGTTAATTCTCAGTAAAGGGTAACAAAAAAGTGGTACAGTGAAAAATTATTTGATTCTAGTGACTGCATTTTTATCATGTAATATGATTTTGTTATTTTCTTTTGGTTTATTGTACTGTTACTTTATACAGAGTTTCCTACTTGACAACATCAATTAATTTTGAGGCAACATTTTGCTTCATAATGTGACTTTGAAGATGCAGAATCTGCAATGTACATTAGAAGATTGTATAACACCAGATGTCTCGAGAGACCTTTCTTGTGTAGTATCGTTACTGTTTAATGGTGCTAACAGATTAGTTCACCTTGTGTTTGGTTGTGGAATTTTGCTCACCGTTCTACTCCTTGCATTTTTTTGTCCAATTACTTTACGCTCTTGCTTCTGTTTCCTACTCTTTGCCATGATTGTGAAATTTGAATTTACCGGCACTTGACCATGTTTTATATTGGCAGTTAGAGAAATATGAAAAAGCCCGAGATGCAATTCTTTCAGGCCTTCAAGTCGATCCATTTAGGTACTATTTCTAGTCAGTTATCTCCCTTTTGTGAAGTTGTGAAGGTTCAGAATGTAGGACTTTTTGCTGTAGTCTTTTACTTCACTTTGTATCATCACATTCATCTATAAATGATTTTTCATTTCTTTTTGTGCCATGCAGTGAGTCCTTGCAAGCTGGACTTCGAAGTTTGGAGAAGGGATCTGCTAGTTTGATGGGCATGAATAGACATGAAGAACAGCCAGGCACGAGTACTCACGGACAACCAGAGCGCACTGATGACTTTGATTGCACTGTTTGCCTGAAGTTGTTATATGAACCTGTTACAACCCCTTGTGGACATTCTTTTTGCCATTCATGTCTATTTCAGTCAATGGATCATGGTTAGTGCTTACATTTTATTTTCCTTAGGAACCTGCATATTCTATATTTTATTGATTCTGGTTCTATTTGTCAGGCAACAGATGCCCATTGTGCAGGACAGTTCTTTTGATCAGTCCTAGAACGTGTTCCATCAGGTAGTTACTACCCTATGAGATTTTACAATTCACGACTTAAATACTTGTGTAATACAGCAAACTACAAGAAGATTTAGAATTAGTGTCTGCATTTTATTTGCCAGGGTAGTAGGATTAGATTCAATGGTTCAAACCTTGAACTATAATGTGTTGTAGTTTTATAGGCTTATATGTGCCAAATGCATGGCTGTAACAATTTTCTTTATTTCTTGAGCAACTTTTCTACACAAAAAATGTGATAATTAGAGCTCAAAATTGTAGAGAAAAAAATGTATGTTTTTGGAACCTATTTCGGTAGTTTAAAAGGCCCTTGAAACAGATAACCTTTTCCCCTGACAGGTATCTCATGCCATTTGCATATGTTACTGGATCATGAGCGCTCCTCTAGAAATTAGGTTTAATGTTGGCGCCAGTTAAAAGTTCTAATAGAAGTGATGCAATGTTCTTTTTTTTCTTAAAAAGAGAAAAAAGAAAACAATTATTTTCCTGTGGATTATTTCCAGTGTGACATTGAAGAACATCATACAAAAGAACTTTCCGGAAGAGTATGCCAAAAGGAAGCAAGAGCATGACAGTTTGACAAACTTTGGCGTGGATTTGATTCCTCTTTTTGTCATGGATGTTGTCATGCCATGTCAAAAATTTCCACTCAATATATTTGAACCTCGATATAGACTTATGGTAAGTTGGTCAATAGCTTCTAAATGTAAACAATTTAAAATTTTCAATATACCTGAGATTTGTAAGTTGCTGATTACTTTATTGTAACTTCTCTGTGAAAAACAGTAGGGTCATTTTTATGTAGGAAGGTCATTTAGAAGCTCCAACTAGATGCTAGATAGATAGGGACACATGCCAAATATTGGTGAGTAGGTGTTGTAATCATCATTCAGGAGGCAATACATTTGATTATGATACTGAGAAATTGAACACGCATGTACACGTATGTGCTGAGGGAAATAATTACTAATAATAATGTCCTAGAAGATGTGTATATATGAATAGGTTGTGTTTATGTTGTGATATCCCAATCGTTATCATATTTCTGATTTCAGTATATACCCTTTTCTTTTTTCAAAAAACAGGTCAGAAGAATAATGGAAGGGAACCATAGGATGGGAATGGTAGATTAGTGTTACTGGTCCTTTTCTTTCACTTTTCCTGCTTAAGGCATACTGGACTGACCAAGTCGCTCTGTTACTTTGTTTGCTTTGTCTATCATGCAGGCTATAATTGATTCTACAACAGGTTCCTTAGCTGAGTATGCTTGTGAAGTGGAAATTACAGAGTAAGTGCTTGTCATCGTTTGCCACAGAAAAATACTCTGCATACAGGTCCTTACTGAAAATCCCTCCTCGTGTATTTTTTCATGTTTCTAATGATGGATTTTTTTGATTGTGTAGGTGTGAACCACTTCCAGATGGACGTTTCTATATAGAGGTGAATATATAATTTGTGATTTCTTTATGTATTTGTGTTGACTGAGCTATAAATCTTTATTCATTTTGTGGAGAAGTCTGGCAGTAATGTGCGTCTTGCTTTCAAGTCAACTTGCTAGAACGATATTTCTATGTTTTCATAGACTGCTTTATAATTTGGCTCTCCTAATTTGGTGTCAATAGTCCTAGGAAACTTCTGATGCCTATAAGAAATTGTGTGTGTCAAGTTTTTCTAATATAATCCCATGTGCTTTAAAAAAAAAAAAAAAATCAACCGTGCAGATTGAAAGTTGCAGGAGATTCCGCATCATCCGATCACAGGATCAAGATGGGTAAATTATCTTAACACGTCATCTTCTTGATCCGGCTGCTTATTTTTAAGGCATGTGGCTTTATTCCTTCCAAATGATTTGTGCAGGTATCGTGTTGCAGAAGTTGAATGGATACATGACATCATGCCTCCAGAAGGAAGTAGAGAGAGACAGTCTGTAAGCTCACTGCTAATTATTCACCAACTTTATATTATACTAAATTAAAATATGAAATGGGGAACTTTTCAACTGAGCTGAGTTCCAAAAACTCTTTAAATTACTCAATACTTTTGCCGAAGTGTTAAGTTAAGCCACAGCTAAGTCTGAGTGCCCTGAATTGGATGCATCGTTGTAAAAAGTTTCCATCCTTGTGACTTTATTTCTGTGTTGTTGCAGTTACAGGAATTGACATATGATGCAGCTGAAACTGCTCGATCATGGATAAGAAGAGCCAAAGAAGCAGCAAGAGCTAAACAAGGTAACATGTTGGAATTTTAGTTCGATGACACAACAAAAACATACACACACTTGCACACACTCTTGCAGGGTTTGCAGTATTTAACCAGAGAATCTCAAGCAGATCATAGAAGACTCGAGAGAATCCAGTCTGTTGAATTGACGATGCCCAGTCAGAGAGATCCAGAGCGCTTCAGTTTTTGGGTGTGCACTAATTCTTGTTAACTATTCATACCTTGGGTCCATCACTTGAAAATACAATTTTTATTGCTTCCATTCTTGAAAACTCCATAGTTTAATGTGGGCTTGCATTGTGCTGCAGCTTGCTTCCTTGTCAAAGTTGAGGCCTCAAGAAAGATTAGATCTCATGGGCCTAAGAAATACCGGAGAGGTAGTGACTCATTCTTTATATAACATTAAAAGGAATATATCAGAAACTCAGAAATGGGGCAGAGGAATATCTGTAATATTCTTATATAGGCCATGGGTTAAACTTGTTTTTACTCTTTAGTTTCAAACTATCTTAAGGGAGCTTTATCTGTTCTTCATTGAACATATCCTTAACAACAACAACAACAACAACAACAAGCCTTTATCCCACTAGATGGGGTGAGCTACATGGATTGCAAGACGCCATTGTGCTTTATCATTTATCAAGCTTTTAGGAATATTCATTGAACGTATCCTTAATCCAGCTTTTTTTTTTTGGATAAATTGGAATGTAAATTCCTCTTCATGTTTGAAAACATGTGTCTTGTTTCTTTGTATGTAGAGGGTTAGGCGTGGACTGAATTATCTGGGAGCAGAGGAACAACGCTGCAGAATTCAGTAAGACAAGCAGCGGCAATCTACCATTTTTTTACAACAAATGTGCATCTCATATATTGAACCAAGTCTAATTAATATTTGGGCTGGTTAGAGTTTTTATATTACATATAATTATATATAGATTTTGTATGTTGGTGTCAAATTCATATACAAGTCATTCAATTAATATTCCATTTTTGGCCTCATAAATGGCAGTCCTGACCTCTTGTAAGAACAGCATGGGGCTGAGCCTAGATTTTTCAATTTATTATTTATGTACAAAATGTTTTCCATTACTTTTATTCATGTATCATTCTTGTCATTGTCAGTGTCAGAAATTAACGGAGGAAAGTGCCAAATATCATTTAAAATTTGAAAAAAAAATAACGAAATCAATAATCTAGTACAGCGGAAAACAGTTAAAATTGGGAGAGTGCAAAAGCATAAAATATAAACGATAAAAAAAAAAATTCCAATCTTTACAAAGTGTTCATTCATTAAAAAGGTAAAATTTAAATATTATTAAATTATAGCTATTTACAGATCCTAACCGCTATTAAATTCTGAAATTTAACATGTAAATAATGAAGTTTAACTTATAAATATGATTAAAGAAATAATTATTTTTTTCGTTTAGGACTTGATTGTAATTTTCCTATACTATTATATTTCAATAAGTTAATGATTAAGGTAATTGTTAAATGCCAAACTGGATTAAAAGGTCAGAAACACATGATTAGGCCATTTGGTTGAAGCAGGAATGGTAAAAGATAGATGGAGACGAGAGTCAATAAACTACTAATTGGAATGATGATAAATTAATCCCCAGAAGAATTAGTTTTTTTTAATTATTATTATGCGCTCATACCCACCCACATCAAGAAAAAACACAACACGACAACGTCAGACTTCAGTTTGGTGCTCTGCTTCTATTTTTAAGAATTTTAGTCACCTAAGATAATCACCTAAGATAATCATGAAATGGAATTTCAACCCAACTAAATTAATGACATCTTCATACTTTTTTCTTACACTTTTAGAAGTCTGATACCTTCCCTTTGTTTTGACATTTTTTTCAATTTAGTGATCATGCAATGTCTTAATCAAGCTTCATATAAATGATATAATTCCGTGGTTCATTCACAGAAAAGTTATGTATGCCTACTTAATTAGTCTTAGTTGAATCATTTGCTTATATTTAAACCTATTTTCATTTTTCAGCAGCTTTGCCAACAGTTTTGTTGCTATTGTACCTCTTCAAAACTTTATTTTTTAGAGTAATTGTCTTGGTAACAAATGCTCCTTATAGTATAAAGAAATATATAAAAAGGATAATTTCAAATAAGAACTAGGAATGTAACTTAATTACTAGTGGGTTCTAAAAAATTCTGAAACTTCAGTTTGAAAAATAATTTTAACTGTAAAAAGATTAAAATACCCTTTATTTGTTATACGAAATCAATAGTTGTTAATTTTTTTACTTCACTTATTAATCTACTAATATTAGTTGCAAATTATATGAGTTGATATGTCAATAATTATGTAAGACTTGACATTAATTGTTTAATTATAAGCAGCAACATAAGTTGTTAAATTACTAACTTTACTTATTAATTTACTAATATTAATTATAAATTACTGGCAAGTCTTATAATTCACAATTGATGTTAGTAAATTAATAAATAAAATTAGCAATTTAATAATTAATGTTACTGCTTGTTTGACAAACGGATGTAATTTACAAGTGAAATTGATAAGTTAACAAATAAAGTAAAAAAATTAACAACTAAAAGTGATTCTACATAATAATTGAAGAATATTTTGATCTTTTCATAATTGAAATTATTTTTACTTTTATCCCCTTACCTGAATTGAATTTTTTTTTAAACTCACTAATAATTAAATTACATTCACAACCCTTATTTAAAATTCTTCTTATATAAAATGACTATAAAAATGAGTTTCATTCATACTTTGATTACTCCGCTTCTGTTATATCACATTCTCTTTCATTATATTATAAAGAATCCCACAATTTTTGGTTCTCACATATTTTTAGTATAATAGTTAAGAGAAATTCAATAATTATTAAGGTCAATTTAGAGGCCAAAATCAACTTTTGAGAGATCTGATCCGAACCGAAACTTGACTTCTTTGGCAAAACTTTAAAATCACAATTTAAAAAGGCTAGGTAACTAATTAAGTTACCGTCTTGTTTGGCAAAATTTCAATATCACATTTTCAAAAGCCTAGGCAGCTAGTTAATTTGTAGATGGTGCATTTCTAGCAACGTTTGTTAGGGTTTCTTTTAATGAACCCAAATAAAGCGACAAAAAATATAAAAATAAAAAATAAATTGTATGCCAAAATGCTGCAAGCATCAAAATTTCTAAACCACAAGTGTAATATTGAAAGAGTACTTTGTTACCCTTTGGAGTATACATTTTTCCACTAAACAAAACATTCCATTTCTTGTACAATATGGACTTATCACAAATAATGTATTTTGGTTTGTGATTGGTATAATTGTTATATAGCTAAAAAAAATTTTCGTGGTTGGATTAAAAATGGTAGAGTGATGGTAAAAATAGAAACTTTTATTTGCATACATTGTTTATTTTTACCATTTTATATTTAGCATGCCCTATAATTAGGCATATGATCAGCCTATAATCTATTTCAGACTAATTTAGTAAGAGAAGCAATCACAAAAATGGTTCATAAAGCTTGGGGAGTTCCAAACTTATTGTCTATATTGACAAGTAATAAATCTCCAAGTCAATGTATGATGAGTCACCTAATTACGGTTAATTTTCAGGTAGAATGTCATTAAATACACGTTGACATCTCACCAAGGGAAGAAAATAGGACTAAATTAGTATCACATCCTGTTATGTTTATTTAAAAAACAAACAAACATAAATTCCTTCTATATTACCTTCTATATTATAATATATGCAAGCCTAATTAAGATAAGGCCTCATCCATTTGGAGAATCGTCTGGATGATTATTTTTTTGGCCAACAATATTCTGAATAATAAAAGAAGTTCAAAGCTGTTTTGGTCATCAACTAATTAAATGATGCTACATCACCATAAGCATTATTCTTTTTTTCTTTAAATATAAGGAAATCATATTTTTCTGGCCAAGAAAGAAAGAAATTATAGTTATATGTTAATGTTTCTTCAATTTTGGCCACGAATTTTTTATAAATGAAATTCTGAATACTTGTTTAAAGGAAAGAAACGGATCGATTTGTTATGAATTCAAGATGGAACAGCTATCTGCCCATGTAGTGGCATAACATTATAATACGTCATTAATAATTCATAATGTGTGATAAGCATGTGACTTGATGTGAAATTGAAGGTTAGGATTTGTGATAATCATATAATAATGGCGTCACTTTAATTTAATAATTCTTGATGGTATAAGAAGGTAACGTCCCATTCTTTACATATACGCTATAAATATAATACACGTAGTATTTACTTATTATTATTAAAATATATCTTGCAAGCTAAGACACATTCAGTTAGCATGTGAAAAGTACCAAAACTAAGGTCTTGGTCCTACCTTAAAGGGGCACGCATCACAAATTATTATTCCTTAAATTCTTCTTTATTATAATTATACCATGAATGCCTTGAATTAATTTCTAATTTCCTTCACTGTCAAGGTGTAATTTTCCCTTATTAAATTCCTTTATCTTTTTTTATTTTTAAAACAAAGATAAAGCGAAAATGTCACTTGAGTTTGAAGGATAATAATAGTGCCAACATTGAAGTCTTGATCTTTTGGGAATGATTTTGAATTATATTACTTGGACTTGGAAAAGGACTGTATCAGTAATTATAAGCTTCTAAATGATGTGCATTTTAAGCAATCTGTACACAGACCCAACCTTCCATCATCAACCCAAGGATAATAAAACCCTCTCTTACCAAATTAATCTAAATGAATCACATAATATCATTATCTCTGACAAGAAACAAATGGATTTTTTTTTAAAAAATTCAGTTTATAAAATAAAGATAATATTAAACTAATTATGAAAAAAAAAAATCAACGACCATCGTTACTTTTATTATGTGATTAAGATACTCTTATGTGACAGAAAAAGACTATAATAAACATAGGAAGAGAAGGGTGCCATCGTAATAGCATTAATGTGCCGAATTTCATCAAAACATCATAATTAAATATGCTTGGACAAGAATAATATTAAAATAAATAACTTCTGTGAAGTCCTCATATTATACCTTGTTTAAATTGAACTCAAGTATGCGTAAATATAAAAAAAAATATTTTTTAATAGTTATCCTCGATTGAGGTGCTAATATTTGAATATGACATCTATAGTTACAACAAAAAATTAATATAGGCAGAGAAATTTCACCTCTCTTTCATTTCTCTTTTTTATTTTAGACTTTAAAAAAAAAAACTTCACTTCAATTAACATAACTTCCAAACATGGTGTCTGCTTTGTTAATTATAATATGTTAAACAAAAATCTGATGAAAAAGAAAAAAAGGAAAACCCACCTCAGGAAGTCGTTAGTTTCTTGTAGTTGGCCAATCCATTCATTCTGAACACCAAACCCTTAAAATCTCAAACCTAACATCTCCACAAAGAAAAAGCCAAACCCATTAAAGGGAACTTGCAAACAACAGGAAACTACATCACTTCCTTCACTTCTCTCTTATACACCATTTCCTCAAACCAAACAAGCCACCCTGTTCATCTTCCTGCAAAATTTTAAGATCAATCTCCAATGGAAGCTTCAGGCAAGATTCTCAGGAGATCCGTTCATGGCTTCCTGCAAAATTACCATTACTTCACTTCAACCTCAGCTTTTCTTGCTTTCCCTTTCTCTGCTTCAGTCCTCCTCTTACAAGCTTTGATCTCCTCTTCTTCTGTATCTCTTCTTCCTCAAATTTATAATCGTTTGAGGATTCTCTTTGAAGCTGCAGGCTTTCCTTCCTCCTCACAACTGCTCACAATTCTCAACCTTAAGGTCTCTCAGACCATCATCTCCTCCATCTTCACCCTCCCTTTTACCCTCACCTTCTTCCTCTTTGCCAAAGCTTCTGTAATTCAAGCTCTGAATCATCATAAGCTTGCTGTTGAACCTTCATTTTCTTCTATAGCATCCCTTTACATGCCAATCCTCAACACGTACGTTTTCAACTCATTCTTGATTATCTCGGCAAATGCTTCGGCTTTCTGTCTTCTATTTTTGGCCTTTGGATTTGTTGAAGGTCTAGGATTTTCGCCTTCTCCAAGTTTCCTCCTTTGTCTCTCAGCTTCTGGGGTGGTTCTGTTTTCTGTGATTCTTGCAAATGTTCTTGTGATATGCAATTTAGCATTGGCTGTGTCGGGCATGGAGGGACACGGTGGGTATTTAACGATTCTAAAAGCTTGTGTTTTGATAAGGGGAAGGACATCGATGGCTTTGTTTTTGGCTCTTCCTGTGAATGTGGCTTTGGCTGCCATTGAAGCTCTGTTTCAGTTCAGAGTTGTGAGGGCATATCATCATGATGGAAAGACGGGGCCTTTTATGGCCTTAGAGGGAATTTTCATTGCTTACTTGTATTCCATCTTCATTGTTCTTGATACAATTATTAGCTTCATGTTTTACAAAAGCTGCATGATAGAGTCCTGGATGGTTGATCGTGAAGGCAAGGAAGATAAGAGCTTCGAGCAAATACCGTAAGGTAGCAAAATGTTGGTTCTATTCAAAGATTTTCTTCAGTCAAAGTTTCATACAGAAGGAACTAGGCATTATTTTTTTAAAAAAATTATAGCAGAATATTTGTGAAGTTTTATTCATGTTGCTCGCAGGGCATGAAGCAACTTTGGGGGCATAAAAACAGGGGAATCAGTTAAAAAAAAAAAAAATCCCTCCAGGGAAGCAGTGTCTAGAGATTAGTTCACCATTTGATGTCATTTCCTTATATTTTCTTTGTTTCATTAGTTTTGGTTTACTTTGTAAATTGGCAATCTATTACAATGTGAATGATGCATAAAGCTTCGGTTAATTTGGCCGTTTTAATCTAGTCTTTTGGAAAGTGTATTTCGAAAGATGCAATAAATACAATGTAGACAAACTTTTTTTAATTGGGTTATTTATTTTAGTAGCATTACATAAAAGTTTCCTTAGAAGGCCTAAACCGATCATTGTTGAGGCCTTCCTTGATGGTATTTATAAATCTGAATCCACGGGATTAGAGTAAAAAAAAAAAACATTTAAAACAGTTATTAACTGTAGACTGAAAATTGAGTGAGTTATTACAAATTGCTGAAGAAGTTATTTTTAGTACAACGCTGCTGCACTAGATTTTCCTATTTGAGACAGCATTTTATACTCGAGAATACCTACAATGTCTAGATGAATCACAGAATCAGTCAAGTTTTCCAGTTCAGAATGGAAAAATAAAGGAAATTTCCCCCTAAACAATAAAAATGGGAGAGACTGCAGGTAAATTTTGCACCATTAATTGAATGGAACAAGAAAATAACCTTTTACAGCTTTGATTAATACGTATGGGTGAGAATATAAATAAAACTGGCATTTCTAATTGAGCCAGCTCTTCACTTGTATTACAGTTACAAATACAAATTACAGTGCCTAATTTCTAAGTCCTGCTGACCTGTCTGTCTGTCTGTCACCTATACAACATCTCCATGATGGTGTGTCCTATCTATGGAAGCAAAAGAAACTAATTTCTATGTTAACAGAGAAAGAAATCCGTTATCCTGGCGAAGAAAGAAAGATAGGTTAGAGCTTTGTACAGTGCAATACGAGAAATGCTCAATGCTACAAAACTTCTTTAGATGATGACGATGATGCAGCAGCGGCCTTAGCCTTCTCTTCAGCCTCTTTCTCAGCTCTCTTCTTCTCCAACTCTGCTTGTTTTATGTTCTCTTCGTGTGCTTTCCGAAACAACCGTATGAAGTTCAATAGAGTAGCAGTTACTGTAATCGTCAAGCAACAAACTCTCTCAGGCAATTGAACTAACCGGTAGAAACACACTATCACTTAAGATGAAATGACATTATCAGTTATCAGTCTTTAAAATTGAATGCATATTACACAAAAGATCTAATTTGAGATATCTAATTGAATGTATTTTAACATAAACATAGTCCAACTTGCTTGCCTTGTTCAAATGGGTAACGAGCAGGGTCCTCATTGAAATATCTTGCAAGATCATCTGCATTTTTACCCTGTTCAAACACAATGCGCGCGCGCGCGCATATCATTTATTTCTCTCTATATCTGTGTATCGTAATATGAAGCCTGACTATTTTAAAACAAAGAGTCGTATAACATCCAAGAATATTACCGCCGCAGAATATAGGGCTGTTACAGATGCCTCCTCTAACTCAGCACCTTCAATAAAATCTCTCAGTGTCTATAAAGAACACAAAAGCAGTGAATGCACTGAAAATTAACAAGATAACAGAACATGTGCACTAGAAACAAGTTGACCAATTTATCTCTTTCTTACGGCATTAAATAAAAAAACAAATTTAAATTCTTTCTTATGGCATTAAACAAAAGGGAAAACACACATTTCTGAAACTTTCAGATGCAGGGCCATCGTTTTCAGATGCAGCAAGCTCCTGTTTAACTTTTCGTAATCCCTTGTTAATTGCCGCCATCTCTTCTGCCAATGCTTTCAATTGGATCTGTATGCAACCAGCAGCTCAATTTCCAATCAATAAATGGCGAATAAATAGGGAAACACACTTTCTTACAGAATCATAAAATGTAATCAAACACATTCATGGTCAAAACTTTCTTCTATAAAATCTCGTACGACACCATTGTATTATACCATTTATATATTTTTTAATTTTCAATCAAAAAACAAAATAAGGAAAAAAAGATAAAAACATTCAAGGGCGAAGCATCACCTTACTAGCAACTTCCATGCTAACAAGGTCCAAGTGAAAATCAAGGAGTGCAGGAGACTTTTCAGCCAAGACCTGCAGCCATATAAATTTAAAAAAAAAAAATTATAATCCTGACAGTATCAAATGGTTTTGTATTGTTTTTTCAAATTCAAAATTTGGAGAGAAACAGAGAAAATCCATTTCCTTATACCTTACATAGATAATGCATTAGTGTCATCCTACCACTAGAAGCGCGAGTCTCAGTGAGCTTTAAAAGACTATCCAACTTGAATCCAACAGCAGATCCTGCAGTCGATACAAACATTTAATTCTTACTGTTAAGTGTTGACCCAGGAAATAACCTATATACTAGGAAATACCAACCCCTAGCTGTTCCTTGATTCAGAGTATTCCCCAAATATAGAATTTTCTGCATAATATTCTTCAGTTTGTCAGAGTTTCGGACCTATTTACCAAGAACAACAAGGATGAGGTAACGAAAGCAAAGAACATAATTAAATCGTTGCTTTGTAAGTAAAGTACCTCTTCACAGGCAGTGTTCACAGTGTTTAAACTTTTCTTAAATTCTACAATCTGCATAAAGAGGAAAGTATATAACATCGCAATAAAGAACACCAGATCTCAGCCCACGAAATAAAAAAAAATTCATGTATATTACAGATACAGCCAAACCTGATGATTAAACTGAATCTTGAAAGAAAAGACTCCTAATTTTGCTTCCACCCGTGGAACTTTCATATGCTCCAAAAAATACTGGAAGAAAACTAAATAAGAATATATATATATATATAAAACTCAAATAGGCTCTTGGATTAACAGGCAAAATAAGAGGAAAACTACATAATTTAATCACACCCTTATATTATGACTAATAGAGCTCACTTACAGACCTGTTCACACCTTCCCAAATTCTCGTAGTCACCAGTATATCCCTAAATAATTGAAACCCGGATAAATTGGGATTACAAAAACGAAAATCCTCAATTAATTGCAAAAGAAAAATATAAGAAATAGATAGAATTTTATTAAGCCTTACCTTCAAAAGTTCCATCTCCTCTTTGGTGGGACAGTACTTAGATAGACTTTCAACCTGATCAACATCTAATACTGTATCATCCAAAGTTAGAATTGCAGCCTGGGAATATCCATTTTGACACATCAGACAATATTTAGATTAAATATTAGAGATGGAGATTTCAGAAGTTTTATGCAGATAAAAAAGATCAAGGCAAGAATCATCCAAAATACAAATTCAAAATGAGTATATCCATCATAAAAATGCTTCTTGTATTAGAATATTTCCATTCATATAAACTTCATATAGCTTGCATAATCCAAACCCAAATTGCATGAGTATCACTTATAAAATTTAATCATAACATAAGAATCAAGACATTTCGGAGCATCAGCTTACCATCATTTCAGAAAGTGGCATCTTAATCTTTGTGAGCATAATTTCAACATTATTGGCCCTCTTCAGTTCAATCTATAATTAAAAAATACACAAATTATTTCCCAGATATTGAGGAAGTAGTCAAAAGAAAATTAAGTCAAACAGTTCTGAATAAATATAGGTATTAAGCAAGACATCCAAAAAGCAATAAAAAAGACTTTTCATTAGAATTACTTATAACATATAGGTGGTGTATTTCAAAATCAAACTCAAGAATATTGGTATGGAAGAATACCAAATGGACTTTGTCAGATTTAGATCCAACAGATTTACAACGCCCGACAGACTTATCAGCCGTTTTTGGAACAATTGCAGAGAAAAGGGTCTCTATCTCTGAAACATCAAATTCTGGTGCACTAAAACAGAACATAATGCCAGTAATTACAAAAGGGAAGGATGTTAATATCAGTAATGAAAGTGCATAATCATATTAAACTGAAATGATTCAAATGAACATGTACAGTGGAAGTTAAATAAAATTACACTTGAGTCTGTCCACATTTCTGTAATTCCTCCCATAAACTTCCTTGCAATGCCTTTGACACTTTACCCCAATATAAAGGCTTTAAAGAGGACCGTCGAGGAGTTGATCCAGAAAGATGTGAAAGACCACGCCCTCTCCCACTTAGACCACCTCCAGGTGGTGGAGGTGTACCCCTTGGAGGACCAGGAGGAGTGGGTGCACCGGGAGCCTGTGCTTTAGGAGGAGGAGGTGGTGGGGGGCCTTGTCTACTATTAGGAAGTGGGGGTGGAGGTGGGCCTTTCCCACTTACTGAAGGTTGAGGCAAAGAAGGGCCTTGTTTGCTTACTGGAGGTGGAGGAGGGCCTTGTCGGCCTAGAGGAGGCGGGGGTAGAGGAGGACCTGGTCCACTTGGAAGAGGTGGAGGTGGAGGAGGGCCTTGTCGACCTAGAGGAAGAGGAGCCGGAGGCAGCGGATAACCTTGTCCACTTAAGGGAGGCAAAGGTGGAGGTGGAGGAGGGCCTTGTTTACTTGGAAAAGGTGAAAGAGGAGGTAGGCTTTGTCCGCCTAAAGAAGGTAAAGGAGGGCTTAGTTTAACTAAAGGAGGTAAAGGTGGAGGACCTTGTTCACTTGGAGAAAGAAGGGGTGAAGGAGGGCCATGGTCACTTAGAGAAGGAGGAGGTGGAGGTAGAGGTGGAGGACAGCCTTGTTCACTTAGAGGAGGAGGTAGTGAAGGTATGAAAAGGACTTGTTCATTATGAGATAGAGAAAGGGGAAGAGGGCCTTCTTTGCTAGAAGGAGGGGGAGGAAGGCTTTTTTTACTAAGAGGAGGTGGAGGTACGGATGTACCTTGTTTATTAAGAGGCAAAAGTAAAGGTGAGCCTTGTCTACTAAGAGGAGGTGGAGGTGGGGGTGGGGGTGGGGGTAGACCTTGTTTATTTAGAGGGAAAAATGGATACAAAACTTGTCTACTAAGATGAGGTAGAGGTACAGGTAGGCTTTTGATATTGTGAGAAGATGGAGGTGTAGGTAGGCTTTTGATATTAGGAGAAGGTGAAGGTGGCTGTAGATCTTTAACAATAGAAAGCGGTGGAGGTTGAGATGGTAGTGGTGGGTCTCTACAAGGAGGTAAGTCTGGTAAGGCTAAAATTGGATGAGTTAGTGGTGGAATGACTTTACATGAAGAAGGTGATAATGGTAAAAGTAAGGGCAGTGGTAGAGGTGGAGGTGGAGCTAACAGCAGTGTCTTGTGAAATGATAAAGGCAAGGGAGATGAAACTCCAAGCATTAAAGGTGGTTGTTGTTGAGGGGCTTCATGTGGGGTGGGTGAAGGGGATGCTACTCTTAACAAGGTTAGTTGTGAAGGCAATAATAAAGCATTACTAAACTGACGTGGAAGTGGAGAAGTAAAAGCTTTATAGGAAGTCAAACGAGGTAGAATATCATTGGAAGGAGGTGAAGGTAGGGTTGACAAAAGGGGTAGTAAAGCATCACTTGAAGAAGGTGAAGGTGGGGTTGATGAAAGGGGTGGCAAAGCATCCTTCAAAGGCTTAAGTAGTGGTGATAGAACGTTGCTTGAAGAAGGTAAAGGTAAGGTTGGAAAAGGTATTGAAGGAGATGAAGGTTGAGGTGGTAATGGAGCATTACTTGAAGCCGGTAGAGGTGAAGATGGTGGTAGAGCATTACTAACATGACGTGGGGGTAGAGACGAAAAAGTTGTATAAGAGGCCAAATTAGGTAAAGTTGGTGGTGATGAAGGAGGGGTTGGAGTTGGAAAAGCTTTATAAGAAGCCCAACGAGATGAAAGTAAAGACTTACTTAAGGAATGTGGAGGTGGAGGTGGAGGTGGTGGTGGAGGTGGAGCTTGTAGAGATCTACATGAATTAGGAATGTGAAGTAATGCTATATGTGATGCATTTAAGAGTGATGGTGGTAAGGATGGAGCTTTAAGTATGGAAGAAGTAAGAGGGGGAGGAGGGGGAGCTTGTACTGTTGAAAGTTTTGATGGTAATGTTTCACTTTCAAGCAGGGGTGGAACAACTAGAAAAGGTGGGCCATCATTACCCTTTCCATCAACAACAATAGATGAATAAACAGCCTCTTGTCGATGTGGAGGAGATGAGAAACCCCATATAGTTTTCCATGATGGTAAAGATGGAAGAGGTGGTGGAGGTGGAGGACATGAAGGGGAAGTCACATGTGATATATCCATCTCAATGTATTCTCCACTTGATGATGATAAATTTGTTGCTGGTAGCAGTAGTTGAATAGATGCATTTGCAGCCAAAGAGGAAGATGGCAATAATAAGGGAGATGGAGGGGGTGCATCCTCTTCTAATGATAAGGATTTAAAAACCTGTAAAGAAGAGTTTTTAACATGAAATGAAGGTAGTAGTGGAGGCAGGGGAAGAGGAATTGCTGGACCTTGGTTTGAGTTCATTTCTAATGCTTCAGTTGCTAATCGAAGGCATGCCTCTTCAATTGAAGGTAACAAGCATTCTGTGTCCATTTCCACCAGACGATCTGAAGATCTTGAAGTGGCCAGCTTATGAACCTTTAGTTTATTTGATGATGAGCGATTTATGCAGTCTAAAGATCTTTGCTTCCGAATTTTCTGTTTATTTTTCATGTTGGCATCTGCACTTTTCTCCTTTCGAGAGTTAGAATTTGCAAGAGCAATATTTAATCTCGGATACAAGACATGCATTGAATTTGCATAATAAGTTTTGCTAGAGGGAATCCACCTAGTTATTGCATTTGGTTTTGCTATTTTTGCTTGTCCACCTTGTTCTTGTAATTTAATCTTTTGCTTTCCTGCTAATGTATTTCCTATTAACTTTGAGTTTGGTAGCAGTTGTTTTCTTGCAGTAGGTGGAAGTAACTTGTCAGCTTTCTGTCTGGAAAGATCATTTTTTTGCTGCCCTGCCTTGGAATCTAATTTAATTTCTATTGCTTGGTTATCTTCCTCATATTTGTTTCCTGCATCTGCATATTGTCCATGCAAATCCGTAGTGACTTCCTTTGCTTCAACATTATGCATTATACCAGTACAATTTACCATAGAAGTTGACTTAATTTGTCCATCATCTACAACAATATCTTTCACTGCATAAGGATCTGAATCTAAGCTCCCATCAGCCTTGTACTTCACATCATCAACAACAATATCTTTTATCGCTTGAATAACATAATCTGTCCTTCCATCTTGTTTATGAATCCCATCATTTGATGAGCAATCCTGGAAAGTATAAGGATCCAAATTCTCTTTCCATACCGTTTTATGATTTCTACCATCAACTGGATTGTCATGAACCACAGGAGAATCATATTCCCCCTTACCTTCCCGCGCATCAACTACATTGCTAAAGATCTCCTCCACCTCATAGAATTCCTCAGGTGATGCATACCCTGCCTTATTTGGATCCTCAGCATCATCAATTGTGGTTATATCAGGTATAACAGCATCATTGTCCAAAAAAAGTACCTGGCAGATATTTTTTTGTGTTTGTTTAGTTTGCAAAATAACAACGAGGAGGAGGAGGAGGAAGTTACCTCTGCTTTAAAATCCTTAGGGAAATTATCCTTTGCATCCCATGGAATATCAAGTTCTTCACGATTGAGCATCAAAATATTTGACCGTACAAAGGATGTATGAAACATAACTCTAAACATAATCCCCTCATGAATGAGATCGTCATACAAATGTATGCACTCAAGAACAGTATCCCCTTGAACCCGACAATGGATGTCTAATTTCACGAGCAAACATTCTGCCTGCACTTCAAAATTTCTTGAGAGAAATCTATCAATATTGGTTAAATTTTCCAATTTAGTAGTATCAAATAAAATAGTGTAAGATTATACATCACCTGTTGGTAGTGACGAACATATTTTTCTGTCTTTATTGGAAAGAGAAGCTTAGAACCATTTGCATTGGAAGGTGTTGAAGAAGGATCCTGACCATAAACACGTACAAAAGGGCGACAACCTTTACCATCATCAAATAAGGGAAGGTCTCTGAGAATTAGACAATCCAAATGCAAGGGTGTGTCTGATGGAGGCCACCTAAAACCCAAATTTCTCATGGAAATATATTGAAGATATCTCAACTGAGAAGGTTGTGGGTTTATAGTAGATAAAAAGTAAAGAAGCTCTCTAGGAGCTTGCTTGTATACCATTTCAAGAGTCTTCTGCTCACCATTGTATTGTTTTCGGTACAAAAGAAGACTTGCTAGCATAAATGCAAGCACTGGCCAGCCACCCCTTTCACAATGCATCAAAAGCACATTTCTTTGCCCCACCACAGACAACCAGCTTTCACTTGATCGAAGGAAGTGATGAATCACCTCTAATGGCAAAAGTGGACAGCTCTCAAATTCCTGAGGGTATTCCATCACTGTCATGCCATACTCTGTTAGTATGTCTGAAATCTTAGTGCGCCCATCTCCTTCTTTGAAGTTAAACACAGTGAAGGAAGCATCTGGAAAGTAATCTTGTAGCTGAGCTACAATCCCCCCCATATAATCCTTATACTCATCTTCATCCAACGCATCCGTTGAGAAGCAGCAATCAAAAACTGCAAAAAGTCAAATATACTTTAAAATAGGTGCGTGCGTGTGTCTAAAATTATAAAGTTAACCCATACACTATGTTAAAAGCTAACAACAAAAAGAGATTCTCCCTCAACTTACAACAACGTGAAAAACAAAATCAATACTAATCTAAATTAAATACAACCTTGCGTAACCAAGCTTGAAGCAGAACAGATACAACTAGAAGAAAGACAAGCTAATTAATACATGAATTTAGATATTAAAAGTCCACAAGTCAATAAATCACCATATGTTAGTGCCTGGAACATGAATTAGATCAAATAAACTCGCAGTCTTGTAAACTTCATGTAAAAGGTGGAAAATATGGCAAAAAGCAATAGCTCAAATATTATTCCTACTGAGAACTTTGATATTTCAGTTTGAACAAGTCTCTATGCATTTTGTGCATAGAGAAGCTAATGAATGTGCCATTATATATTAGCTTGCATAGCCCATAGTTTTTATAATGATTTCATCTCCTTTGGTAGTCCTCTACCTTGTTGCTAGGTCTGGAATGATGATAGGCGGGTATTTTGCATCCTAGGATTTCTTAAAAGGCCTTGTAAAGTGTGAACGCTGTTATATTCAAATACAAACACACATTGCTTCCTATTTTGTAGTTGGTAATTCCTTCATGAACATTTCTTGGTTCAAGACACTGCAAATACATGCAAGAGTTAGAACTGTAGCATAGACGTGTGGGGTCGAAACACAATTCTAACCAAAAAATGTATGTCCACCCAGTACCAAACATCCAACAAGCTACAAATTAGGAAGTCCAATAGCTACATACAAAAGGGTGATCCAAGAAGCAATAGCTCAAATGCTTCCTTTTCTGGAGTTGGTAATTCATTTATAAGTGTTTTCTTAAAAATAAAATAAAATAAGTGCAGGTTAGAAAAAGTAACAAGAGACGAAAGGGGAAAAAAATGGAATATAAGCATACCATAGACTCTATCAGAGATCTCCAAAAGTCGATCTGGGGGCTTCCGGTAAAAGAACCTTCTGAACAGCGCCATTAGATGGCGCTGTTTCTACCCCAATCGAATCCACGCCGATAATTCAGTTGACCACTAATATCAAAGTTTTTGTGTATTGAATAATCCAAACAATTTGGATCATGCGATTGCCAAATTTGATCAAAGACCAATACAATCCAGCTGAATCCAAGGATCATCAATGAAACAAACAACAGAAAAAGTGAAATTCAAGAAGGGCAAGCTATCTAGTTGGCAATCCAATGGAAAGATGAAAAATGAAGATAAGAAATTAAGATGAAAACAAATAGTAAAGGCAATTGAATTCCAAAAATGGAATCAGGAAGGTTCGCAGAATAAGGAATTGAAGTGAAGTAAGAGTATCGGTGCGAAAAGGGAATTGCAAGGAACAAATAATAAATGTTCGAGAAACAGAATGAAAATGAAATAAAATGGGACGTGGATTTGGCATGAGAGAGAGAGAGAGAGAAAGAAGCGCAATCGACTGAAAGGAGAATTAATACTCAACAAAGTTAAACCTGACTCTCTCTCAGAGTCTCGAGCTCTGTCGATGTCGCTTTTCCTCTGCAGCGATGAGAAATTTGTGCAGGCCAAGGCGAACCGGGGACGGAGGCACAGACCTACGTGATTCGCTACGTGCCAAACACCATGCAAAAATTCTTCTTTTTAAAAATAAAATAAAAAAAATATTATATTATATTTTTTTGCATAATGAATTCATAATTAATTATTAATTAATATTAATAATGATAAATTTATTATGGTGGTTACTAATTACTGTCACTAATACTATAATATAATGCTTGTTCTGTACCATTGGTTGACCATGCAACTCTTCTAAAATGCTACAGCTACGGCACTAATGCTTCAATGATCCAAAAAGCTCTAAAGCAGTTGCTTGTTATGAAAGAAGTAAAATTAATACTCTCGTTGATTAACTATTATCTAGACTTCCTGAAGTTTTTTTTAAAAAAAAAAACATATCCATTTAAACAAATAGTTAAAGTTATTATTACTGAGTTTTAGATTTCTTTTTTAATCCACTATCCCTCCTTAGTGCAAGTAAAGTTGTAGACTAGGGAAAACATAATATTTGATATTTATAGTTTTATCGTATTTTATTTTTAATTCATATATTTATTTTTTTAATATTTTTAGTCTCTATAATTTTAAAAAGATTAATTAATCTTTATTTTTTAAGTTTTCATAGTTTTTATTTTTTTAGTGATTTTAGTGTCTATAGATATTGAAAACATTAAAAAATTATAAAAATTAAAAACAAAATCTGATGAAATTATAAGAATTAAATATTATATTTTTCTCACAGATTATCCAAAAACAAAGTTATGTAAAAAATTTATCATCCAGCTAAAGAAAAATATGTCAATATTTCTAGTAAACTAAATTAATCGTTTAATAATCGCGCTGTTTGCCGCATATATTGGCAAAGCAGACAAGCTCTTGGGGTCGCCCCTTTGGTAAGACTTCTTGATGAAAATGATGATATTAATATTAATTAGACTTAATCTCATGCCATGCATAAATATGTTGCCTATTTAGTTCAATAAAGATAGGGGAAAAGGAAAAATGTGAAGAAAAAAATTAATGGAACTTCAATGACTTATAAATATTTTCCTACTTAAATTTTATTGTATTTCGAATTCAATTAAGTAAGAAATTATATTTCTTGAGCTGATAAACTATATTATATTTTATGCTATTTTTTAAAAAGTAAGGCAAGCATGAATATTTTGGCATAGTAATGATACTGTAATTTATATGCACTTGATAAAAAATATATTTGGTAAAAAAATTGTTAATATTTGTAAGAGAGTGAAAAAAATAAATGTGGGCTATCGTTAAGAAATGTTTGTTAGTACCGAAGAAGTGACTAGTGAGACATTATTATTATTATTATTATTATTATTATTATTTATGAAAAGATGGACTAATGAAAAGTGATTCGTCTACACTACGAAAGTTTGCAATAATTCTAAAATGATTGACCCATTGGGGAGTAAAGAGTTTTGAGTCCTAAGAAACATTAAATGAAATAGAAGCAAAATAGTTGGCAAACATATAAATATCTTGCTTCAGTGAAAGAAAAGAGTGATGATTCAGAATAATGCAATGAAATAACTTCCATATATAATAATCCCTCCATTTTAAATTATAAGACACTTTGAGTAGATTAAGGTTTCATTAAATGTACTAATTTTAATATTTTTTTCTCTCTCTGTAATTAATTTTTATCTCCTCTCCTTTAAATATATTAAATGATAGATATTTTTAAAAATTTATATTTTTATTTTGAAAATATAATATTGTTAAGTGTATTTAATAAGTTTATTAATATGTAAGATTTTATCTAAAAATATCTTATAATTTAAAACGGATAGAGTATTTAAATGTAAGATGGTATTGATTGAAGGCTCCATTTAAAGATACTTCTTTGATTCATGTTAGCACATCTTAAAAGCAACGAAGATTAAAGCAATTTGGCTCAATGCAATTAGATTGTTTCTATAGAAAGCTTCATAAGAACATAAAGCAAGACAATAAGTGTTACAACCCTATTTGATTTTTTTTTTTTTTGGTCCTTATACTCTAAAGTAGGCAAGGATTTGTCAAAGGAGGTGAGAATTTGTCAAAGGAAATCTATTCCACATCATTATAAAATCACAAACTTTTGAAGCATTATTATCCTTTTTGTCCAAAGCAAACCTCCAAAAGATAAAAACACAATTGTTGAAATTCCTTAATCACTTCCCTTGGATGATGACAAATAAACAATTTTGTGAAATGCAAGATTTTTTTTTTTGCCAAACTAGATTAAGGAAGATAATAAGACTTCAGAGCTGCAAATCCAAACCATCATTAGACAACCTATTAAGAGTTGTCTGCGTTTCGAATAGTGAAGTGAGAGAAAAGGGATTTCATAATTGGAGTTTTGAATAAGAGGGTCTTTTCATTTTTCATAAGCCAAGTAGAAAAATCAGTAGCCACTATATGAAAAGAATGAATAGACAAAGCACCACACCAGATTGATTCCAATAATAGCTCCCCAAGATGGGTTAATGATTCTAATTCCACGCAACCAAGCAAGAATGAACGTGATGATGTCTAAGAATATCTCCAATTGGAAGTGCAGGGTGTAATAAGATAGGAGCACAACTCGTACAAATATCAGGCAAGGAGTTCAAGTTTGGAGGGCTTTACTTGTTCCGGCGACCAAGAATCCATACCGCCTTTTCCTCTTGTGATTCCATCATGAGGCACACTTTGCTTTAAATGGTCCTTAGACCCTTCAACCACAACAATAACTTCCTTCATCTGGAAAAGAGTCCCTTCTCTCTTCTGATCTTTCATCTGTGAAACACAGAAGAAATGAGCAAAACGGCGAGCGAGGAAGACGAAGAGGGGTGTGTTTAAGAAGCGATAGAGAGGGAAAGAGAAGGTGATATTCATAGCTGCGTTAGCGAAGCTTTCAAGGGTGTGAAAGGACGTTGTTGTTAAATGTAAGATAATTTTTCAGTACAGATGTGATCCAGAGGAACAAGCAAGGGTGAACCCCCAGATGACTTTCGTCCGGAAGTGTGAGAGCAAGCGATGCAATGACGCGACACGATGGATGCCGCCTACGCGCGAAATTCATATTTGGTTCGTGTACTGTGATAATTGATACATGCGCACTGGCTCACTACTTCTTTTTTTTTTTTTTTTTTTTTTGGGTAAAAGAGTGGCACACTGTTCATGCACTGTTAATCGGTCATCTATCTAATCATGAGAGACATATTGACGATTGATGATGGTATTAAAAATCCCTTGTAACTATAGGAGGTTTGTGTTTCTTTCTTTCTTTCTTTCTTTCTTTCTTTCTTTTTTTTTTTGAGTAATGGAAGTTTATGTTGTTAAGCAACATGGTGAAAGAATTAAAAACTGACAGTAATAACTTTAAGGTTTCTTATGCGTCCATAAGGTCTTGACCTTTTAAATAATTGAAATTAAATTTTGTAGATCTATAAATTTTGCAAACAATGGCCCTTGAATATAATTTTCCCAGGTCCGTATCAGACTCCTCTGAAGCCCAAAAGGCAAAAACAGAGGGAAACTAAAGAGGGCTTTGACTATCCTCAAGCCAATTACCACATATTAATATATACATCACCTGATAAGACCTGAAGAAGATGGTAAAGGCAAAGAGGTGGACTTCAGATCATACAGAAACGAATTTGTCTATAATCGATCAAAAATAGGAACCTGTGGTTAAAAAAAAAAAATCTATCATTTCTTCGTTTGCCTGGCCTACATCAGACCTCTATAAACTGAAGTCTGAATGAGTTATGTCCCTAAAAGATTTCAGTTTCCCAGCTCCCAGATAACAAATATTCTGCTGGATACTGTCAATATGATTCTTCCTTCTTAGTTATTTTTGTTGCTAGAAGCAGCATGCTTGGGGAAGTCTTCTTGTTTTATGATCTTGATCTGATGCTCGAGTTCAACTTCAACTACCTTCCTGATCAATAACTTGAAGTAATTAGTCTTCCAATTTCTTCTCATGCTTCTTACCTGCAATATAAGATAAAAAACTTCTAATGATTCAATTTGGCCTATGATCTCATTCTCCTAAATATCATGTCTTCAAGACTAACTTAGGAACCACATGAAAGATAGACCAATTGCTTCTTCTAGTGCTTAATACCTTTCTGAAACCAAGATCTTCGCACCGTACGGCGAATTTGACGCTCATGTCTTTCTAAGAGCTCGTCAACCGCATGCATTTGAGATAGCAGGGGTCCTGAAAATTCCACCTTCTCTCCAGAATCCTGATAAAGCAACCAAAGTAATGGATAAAATAAATGAACAGGCAAGGACAGAGCAAACTGAATAGTTTATCTCCTTACATAAGGATTTGAATCAACAAGGGGGAAATGAAGTCATGTAAACAAATTACTGCTGAAACTTGGAAGTGTGAGCAGTTTCAAGTTTCCATGTAATTACTCTGACACTAAATTGAATATCAAACTTACCATTTTACTTCTCCTGGATGCTGAATATTCTCTATGATAAAGGGCGACAGATAGCTCTTGTGAGTGGTATTCATCAGAAGCATCAAATGAGTCTGGGCGATCAAACTTGCTCCACTGGTTCAACATTGCAAGCTTAGAGATTTCACGCATGTCATGGCCCTTTGAGTTGGAGCGTCCGCCACAAAATTCCTTGTTTTCCTGGTTTCTGGAGTCAAAGTTGTTTCTTGAATGTAGTGAAGAATGTTCTGAGGAATTCAAAATATGCCCCCGTGAAATAGATCGACAATGAGATCGTCTTGAAGCATCGTCTTTTCGTCTTTTTGCCCATGCAAAGCCACTTGATGTTGAAACTTGTAACATGGGAATATCTCCGTGAGATGCATTTTTAATATGGGAAGCATCTTCTGCTTTATCAGTCGATGGCTTTGGCGCCTCCTCATCTGTGTTGGTGTTCTCTTTGAGGATGCAGGAAGTTCTACATTTGACTGCTTGAGAATTTCGAGTTTGATTAACCAAACTCTGTAAGAAGTGATTAAGCTTAGTTAGCATGCGCATGATATCAAAACATAATGAAGCAAGAAAAAGTAGAGCAGAACAGACCTCCGCTGGGGCTAATTTACTGAATCCTGGTGGCTTTCTTGATGGTTTTCTTGTTTCAGGTCCACGAGCTCTTCTACCAATCTTTTTTCTGAAAATTCACCACAATATGTTTTCATTAAATGATCACACCTATGCAGTCTCATGAAAGAAATCGTGCAAATCAAGATTTTGACTAATGGATCCCATTCTGTCAGAAGTCTTTCACCGCAACTTCTCAAATCCAGAAAATGCATATTTCAACAAACCAAGCCCTTCCCCAAGTTGAAATGAAACTTAAGAACATGTTAGTCTCCCTTGTAACTGGAATTACTCCTCTAATAAGTTCATGTTATTTTCGTGAGTACAAACATGAATCTGTTTTCTGATAGTTCAGCACAATATGCTTTCATGAAGAGACCATGCATAAATAAAACTAAGGAAATGGAAATTTTACAAATCAAGATGCATTCAATTCTTCTGAAATGTTCGTGACAACATTTTAAATTCACATTTCAAACCAAAAAGCTGCCTTCCCAACGAGAACTAAAAACGCAGAATATATCTGTCTCCCCTAAAAATTAATATCAAAATTCTCTTCATTTCAAAAAGCCAGAACTGATATATAATTCTAACGCCATAAACTATGATCAGTTTTATTAAAATGCAACTCAAGCATGGTGATAGATTCAACCCAATGAAATGCATTAGCAGAAATTTTTTGGGATTGAAATACCATATAAATGGGAATTCAGAGCTAGAGACACCTGTGTACATGATGTGACACTCTAAATTTTCCTTTTCCTATGATTGTGCTCAGAACATACATTGAAGACGAGAGCTCACCTTCTTGACTCCTCCCAGAGTTTTGCATCAATCTCCTTGCTAGGCGAGTATACAGGCAAGCTTGATGGATCACATGCATATGGCTTTGTCTTGAAATACTGGAAGTGACAATGCATCAGAAGTTTAGGAGAGTATGAACTCATATTTCTATTATTCAGCATAAAATTTGTGTATGCATGATAAATGAATTAGTACAACAGATACGATAACTCATAATGCAAAGAGTGTCAACAAATTTAAATTGGAAAAGGCATAGAAGATTCTGTACTTTGCAATAAGCATGATATCAATACAGTAAGATTTTCATGCAGATTGAGAATCTCATATTAATCACTTGAGGGAAAAAAAAAACACCGTTCAAGAATTTCCAACAATTTGCATTTAACGGTGATGTATTAACCTACCTCTGATGAAAGAGCACATGAAGCAGTGCCACGCTTGTATGATTCTATGGAAAGAAGGGTTTGCAGAAGATTCACAGTGGTCACAGGAAAATCTTTAAAGGTCTCTTGGAGGCAACTATTGTATGTCTGCTGCGGCCTGAACAAAGTTGCATGAGGAAGCTTGGTCTTTTTCCAGTATTCATCAGGTGGGGAGCCACAAAGTTTGAAAATTTTGTGCAATTGCTCCACCTGCATCCATACCAAATACGAATCCAAATAAGTTTTAAAAGAAAGGCTGAAACACAACGTCAGAGAAGCCATTTGTAATTGATCCATTTATTAACCATAAGCATTAACATCCATGTGAGCTTAAAGAAGTGATTTTGATATTAAATCATTGGGCCTTGAATATACAACCAAGCATGCCATTCTTTACGTTCTAAAGTTTCATTCCATGTTCTATTATATCCATATCATTACATAAGATTGGTACCTAGTTATAAGCAACTGAATAAGCAAGCATCAATCTAGAATGGTCCTATGGAAAGATTCCCATGAAGCTTCAAGCTATAGATCAAGATATTGAAATATGTATGAATAGCATTCTCTAAGGGATTTGTGCTCTGTAATTTATGAAGGAAAAAATAAAGTAAAAAATTTTAATAGATCGTTACCTCTGTTCTCCCCTGAAGAATTGGTTTTCTAACTAGAAGTTCTGCAAATACACAGCCAATGCTCCATAGATCTACAGAAGGACCATAATCTGTTGAGCCCAGCAAAAGTTCAGGAGGACGGTACCACAAAGTGACAACACGACTGGTGAGGGGCTGCTTGTTCCCAGAAACAGAGAATTTTGCCAATCCAAAATCAGCAACCTTTAGTATCCCTTCATTGTTCACCAGAAGATTTGATCCTTTGATATCTCGATGCATTACACCACGTGAATGACAATGATCAAGTCCAGACAACAGCTGTTTCATGTAGCACTTAATCTGTGCAACAAAATGACCACATCTATTATCTCCGAAAAAGGAAATTCTATTACCAACAAAAATAAACACGTCCATTAGACAAAGCATTGCATAAGAACAATGTTATTCCCTTTGTTTGTCTGATATGTTTGAGTTATGATACCCTCCTTTTTTTCTTTTAGCACTGGCTAACATTGAACTACACCACTATGGTCACAAAAGGCACTTGATTCTTTGCTACTACATCAGAAAGAAGAAAACATGCAGTAGTATAGTAACCAAATCTTCTATTCTATCTTTATTTTTTTATTTGGTCTCCGAACACCTTGAGATTCTCAAGTAGTTTTCACATTAGAAAAGCATACCTGTGATTCACTAAATTTGATATCAGGACTGGACAGGAGCCCTGTGATATCATGTTCCATGTACTCGAATACAAGGTATATGCTAGATGACAATTTGGAAGTAATCAAACCCTCCAATTTTATGATGTTTGGATGATCAAGCCTTCTCAGAATCATTATTTCTCGTGCCATAAACCTCACACTTTCCGGTTCAAAAATGTCAAACCGCACCTTCTTCAGTGCTACTATCTTCCCTGTCTCAAGTTCCTTCGCTCGGAACACACTGCTGTATGTACCCTGCCCAATCTGTTCATGCAGTTTGCATACAAAAACTATCAGAATCATGAATAGGAGTAGAAAAGCCAGAGATTTATACACAATTTAGATTAGAAGACCAATCAAGTACTGCATCAAAAAATAAAATCAAAATAGTATTTAATAACGAAAAATTCAAATATTCATCCTTCGTGTTTGCATAAGGCAACAGTTTCTTGTGGAAATGTGGAGTGAAAATGTTTCTTTCGATGTCAAAAGCTAAAACAGAAAAGCCAATGATAGGAAATCAGGAATCTATCTACTGCACAATTGCACAGGAACTGCCGAACTTTACCAGGAAATAGCAGAGGCTATTGGAAAAAGAAAAGATTCACTCAAGCAAAGCTTGTTAAGTTTAATCTTGACGATCATCGGATACAGGAACTCGGGGATACAGTTTCACCAATGAAGTACAGATTCTTAAACAATGGAATCATTTCATTACCCGCAAGCATCCCGCACGCAGCACACTTCAAATTTTATTTCGTTTCGGAGGGACACTCCGTATAGCATATGAGTTCAGTGTGTACAATGTGCATATTAATTTTTTCACTTCGTAATGCAATCACAATGCAGTTTCAGTGGTAGGACATGCATAACAACCTTCTCGAGCTTCTCAAACGCATCAGCTCGGAGGGGGACCCAACCGTGAATGGCTTCGCTGGCGACGGCAGTAAGCCACGCAGGCCAACCGGCTGCGACTTGCTCTCCCTCCACATACTTTTGCAGATTCCCCAATCTGAAACTCAAAGACTCATCACATACCCATTTTGAACTCTCTCTGTCAGACTCGCCCACTGACTCACTCTTCTTCTTCTTCTTCTTCTTCTTCTTACCATCCAAGTCCCCCAAGCTCCTTTCCGAATGTCCCAAGCTCGCATTGCCCGGAAACAGATCGGAGTGATCGACCGCCGGCGTCACCGACACCGTCTGCCTCGAATTGACACAACCCATCCAGATACTTCAAGGGGTCATTTGGAGATCGCAGGGCAAGAAAAAGAGACAGCGAGGAAATGGGATTTTGTATAATAAAACCATCATTGCTTTCTTTCTTTGTTTCTTTCTCTCGCTTTCTCAACTTTCCCTTCACCCAATGCGGCAATCGCGGGAGACTGCTGGTGCGGGATATTAATGAGTCTCGCAAGAACAGAACAGCGAAATCAACGGAAAGATAATAACGAGATTTTGGCTCGCGAACTTTAATCTCCCTGCCTTTACTTTGTAAAATGCATGTCACGCCATTGCTATGTGTTAAGGAGGGAAACTGCATGGCAATGGGCTTCGCCCCGGGCACGTGAAGTTGTGTGATATATCATATAATCGGTGTCTGCTTCCTCACTTCGAGTGGTTTTTCAACTTCGTCCTGCTCAAGGTATTTTAGACAAAATTATATATCTGAATAAAATTTATTAAATATATTTTATAAATTTTATTTTTTAAAAAAATAATAAAATATTTAAAAATGTCTTTAATTTTATACTCCATTTTAAAAATATTAAAAAGCACATATAATAGCAAAAAAATATTTATAAAAATATTTATAAAATTTTATTTTTATTAAAGTGTCTTATATTTTATAATATTAAATTTTTTTCTTCATGACAAATAATATGTAAGAAAATTTTGGAATTGAGAATAAATATATATATATATAATTTTTTAGTCCCTATTTTTACTCAATTCAAATTTTGAACTTCACTTATAATAACAGCTTGATTTTATAATTTGTTTACTCAAAATAATTCAGTTTTTTAACTCGACACTCTCTAAAATTTTTTAACCACTTAACTTAATACATTATAAAAATTAAGTTGTAATGATTTAAAATTTAAAAATTAAATAGATGAAAATTAAATTTGAGAACTAATGCATATGTCTATAGAGAGAGAGAGTATGAATTTAAAATTATTGACATGAGAAACCGTGCATGACTTGTCTTTGGATTTAAAATTTGAAGATGCTTTCTTTTTTTAAAAAAAAAAAATGAAGATGCTTGTGTGAAGTTCATAGAGAAATGAGAAAGGGAAAGGGGAAAGGGGAAAAATTGGAGTAGAGTAGAGAGTAGGGAAAAAAGAAAAAGAGATAAAGAAACCAAAAAAAAACAAAAACAAAACAAAACAAGAGAAGGCAGAAACGGTGAAAGCTGCATAGTGGTGCAGTGTTTACACTTTACAGTGTCTGCGTCTGACATCGTTACTTTTACTTTGGGGTCAATGATGGCCCACGCATGATGATTGGGTCCAATTGTGAGGGGACTGAAGAATGATGAAATACATTTTGGAGTTGTTGAATTGACTACCCGTAGAGCTTTCTCTTCCGTAAAGAGGACGCTTCGGGCAGCAGACTGACTGGGTATTCAATGAAATGCCTACTCATTAAGCTTCCCTCTCACTCCATTCGTCTCGGATCCAATCCAATTTTGGGCCACTGCTGGTGATTTGGATGGATTGAAGTTATTGGAATCGAGCTCAATTCAAATTAAATTTATTTAAATTAATTTAAAATATTTTACCTTTTTAAAAACACATATAATTAAATTTGGTGTTATTTTTTTTAGCCTAATTTTAGCTGAGTTGTTGAGTTTGGTCAAAATTATCAATCTATATACACATAAAGCAGAAAATTCTTATGGTCAAATTTATTCGAGTTAGGATTAAAGTATCATACATTCTTAAGAAAGCTCATATAACTAAACCTATCCATAACTTTTTTTTGAACAAGTTTTGCTTGACTTGTAAGGCTTAATCTGAATTATTGACTCTAATTTTGGCAAACTCATTCAACCAATAAATTGTTAATTTAATACTATCTTAGCTAATGTAACAAAATATTTTGTTTATAATTAATTTTATCACCATTTAATTATAATTTGATCATTAATTTTAAATCAGTCAATGTTTTAACTGATTTAATGATATTTTGGTTTTCAATATACTCTCTCACCTTTGTTTTATTTATAACATCAAGGACTCGCGATTTGCGTCTTAAATTCCAACACCTGATCACTTGACAATGACCAGAAAGTAAACCCGATAATAAATACTTGTATGGAAATTTAGTAATGATGAAACACGTTGTATTATAAATGAGTTTTATTGTAAGTGTACATTTCCTCAGGATTTGTTGAGCTCCGTTTGGAATGATAAACTGAAAAATAAAAATTATACTTAAAATTGAACTAAAAAATATCAATGGAAGATTCCCTCCTCCTCCCCCACCAATAGAAGCCATAATTGCTGCTTCTCAGATCTAACCATGGCGTATCGGAGACCATGAGGGCACTTGATTGTAATGATGCCCAAAAAGATACAAGCATCAATCCCACATCGATCCCACACTTGATTAAATAATATAATAAATTAATAAGATCTGGGATAAAATTCGGTGATCCATGCCCTGTGTTTCGAGAATGTTATATTTCTTTATGCACGACATAATAATCATCCGTTCGTGAATCAATATTTCATTTATTCTAATTGATTCATTGATATAATTTTAATTAATATATTATAATTATTTATTATTTATATTTGAAGCAATGCAAAATATAATTAATTAACGAGAGGTTTTATGTTATTCAAATATGCGTCAGTAGTTGAGGAAAGGTTTTGATTTCTTCTCCATTGCTGCCGCTTTCTTTCTAAGTTCAGTTTTGCGCTGTGCAAATTAAATCACATGTTTCAGATTTCATAGTTCCTTTTTTTTTTTCGTCGTTACTAATCGTTATTTTTAAAAAATGTATATATAGTTAGAAGATTAAGGGCATGTTTGTTTTTAATTTTTTTAAAAAAAATTTGTTTTTGAAAAAAAAAATTGAAAAACCTGTTTATTATCAATTCAATTATTTCTAAAACTGTCTTTTTTAAAACAAAAAATAGAAACATTCCTAAATTGTTTTCAATTTATTTTTCTTATTTTTAAAATACACTACATTTGATTATTGAAAATTATAGTTGTCTTAACTAATTTCTATCATAAATCACCATTATTAATATCCTATAATCATTACTATCAGTTTATCTTTTTCATTCGAAAAGTTATTTTAAATTAACATAATCAAACAAGTTTTTATTTTGTTTTGTTTTGAAAAATAATTTTAAAAATTATATTGCAAAATAGTATTCAAACAAATGAAAAAGAAACTAAACAATCCTAATTTTCTTGGGTTTGTATTTGTTATAAAATTTTATGTAATGGCACTGCCATTTCAATAGGAGCAGAAAATTAAAAATCGACAGAGAAAGCAAGAAAGTTGTTTTGTTTTGTTTCAAGGGACAAAAATGCTACCAGTTAGAGTCACTAACTTCTGTATTTTTTGTCGCAACTCATGTCAACCTGAGTCAGTCACTTTTTTATTTTATTTCAAGTGATTCTGTTAGAAAATGTTAGGTTATGAGAGACAATACTAAGAATGAGACGTATTAGTGTTTGGTTTTAGTTTTTATAATTGTTATCTATTTTAAAAAAATTTAAAAAAAAACTCATTTGATTCAGAGTTTTCGATTTATTTGTTTCGAAAATGGTTCTTATTTTTTATTTTTAAAAAAAAATGAAAACATCTCAACAAATTATTTTATTTTTTTATTTTTCAAATACATTACATTTAATTATTAAAAAATATAATTAACTTGATCAATTTATATTACAAACTGCCTTCAATCATCATTATCAACATATTTTTTTAATTTCAAAATCGTTTAAAAACTATCATAACCAAACGAAATTTCATTTTGTTTTGTTTTTTAAAAAAAAATATGAAAGCTCTATTACAAAACAGTTTTTAAAAACAAAAAATAAGAATAAAAACTAAAGAAGCTTTTGATTTTTTTCCCCCCTCCATTTTAATCTTACCCTTAAAATTAAAAGGCACCACCACGTTGGATGCGCAGCAATATATAGGTAATTATGTATTTTTGGGGGAACCAGAATTGTGGATGAATTCCATAGTACCGATTTATTTTATTCACGAGTTGCATAGAGAAGAATTACATACAAGTGGGATTAATTATTCCTATATTTACTGACAACTAAACTTTGAAAAATGACAACTAAGCTCAGTTGTCATTTGACTGTGGAGTAAATAATTGTACTGAGTGAAATCTTACAATAATTCTCCCTTGAATAAATCTAGTTTGAATGCCAAAAAAAAACTCAAAGAAGAATTGCCTTCAATTAGAAATGGACCCAGCAATACTTAAATTTAAGCAAATAATTATATCAAGAAATTTACTTACAACTAATAAATAATGACTCAATAGACATTTTTCATATAGGTAACCCCCTTTCGCATTCAGTTTCTGGGCTCTCACATTGATGACACTCGCATAAAAGCTGCAACTTACTGAAATCCAAATTATCGTCACCGCCACAGGTAACAGTAAGCTCGGCAAAATTACACTTACACCGTCAACAAAAGGTGTTAACGTGAATTTCCACCAACGAGTGGCAACATGTAGGTTCCGACATTCATTAAATCTACATTTTTTCATGCTATGGCCTATCGGCTCTCAATTTATTCACTTAGTGCTACTTACATGGACATTCCTTACAAATCCATCCACATAAAATTATTCATAGATTAATCAATACTATTACGTATATATCAACCGCATTTTAACTCGTTGACAGATGATCGAGTTCTGTGAACAGGATTAGCACTCCCATCTTTTGTTACGAGAGTTTAGTCGATGTACCCATGATCATGAAGGCCAATTTCTTCAGGATTTTAGAAGTAAGAGCTGTTATATAGTTTGTCACCAGATCCATAAATTAACACTTGCAGCACTAGAGTACATCAGCCCAGCTTCGAAAAAGACAGAAGGCTATAAAGGGGGGGGGGGCCTTAAAAAAACTATCTTTACTTGAATGGAAATAACAAACCGCGAATAATCAATTCTTTGGCCCAATATCCTTCAGGGCACAAATCTGCTCCTCCCCCATTGCAGACATGACAGTAACAACAAGGTCCTTGCCCTCAGCAAATCCATCCTTTATCTGCAGAGCAGGATACATGATATAACCATTAGGGGGGAACAATTAAAAAACGAAAAATATATATGACGCGCCAGTATTTTCAAATTTTACGAAGAAACCGGCTTACAGTTACAGACCGTATATAAAAGAAGGGCGAGAAGGGGAAAAAAATAGGGCAACTAGGCTGAATTTCACAGAACCTGTGCGAGCAGATTTTCATCTGTAGGAAGCCTCAGGTCATCCTTGGTGTTCCCATTTTCAGTCAGCAGACTGACCTATAACATCATTTAACAGCAGAAGCCGAAAGCACATTCAGAAAACAAGCACTATAGTTGTGCAACTCAAGAACTGCTAGCAGAAATATCAACTTACAAATCCATCCTCAGAAATGTCAATCAGCTGGTAGTCAGTACGATTTACATGGGGAACCTGAAAAGGAAGATTATTATTATTATTATATAGAAGACAATCTTGTTAAATTAACAAGGTAGAATTGAGAAAATAAAACAATTTTATGTCCGTACATCACAGTTGTGGGAAGAGGGCACAATATCTTCCAGCTTCTTGGCAGTGAAAATATCAATCCCAACAAAGTGGCACTTAGCATGACCATGCTTACCAGTCTTAGAAGTCGATACTTCAACAACCTGCCACAAAGAATAAATTGAATCTATGGAGCAAAGACTTCCATTTAAACATCTATATACAGCAAAACACAACCCCAGAAGCAATGTGCCGTGTCAAGAAATTAAGGCATAAACACCTAGGTACCCCCGAACTCAAACAAGCAGCAGTGCTCAGGAAGTAAAATAACAGAGTTAGATACTCAGCTTTTAGAAATTAAAAGAAAAATGCATTGCATAACCACTTCAAATTACTTGGATAGTGGCAATAACTTTGCTATATGTGGGAGCAATAAATTGATGCATGAATCTTCAAGGAAAAATAAAATCACGCATGCAAATAGAAAGAAATGGAACCCGCCTTTTTGTTGGCTGTATGTCCTTGCAAATATAATCGTACTATTTAAGACGCTAGATTTTTAAAAGAAAAAAAAGGCTCCAGTCCACGGGGCAGCAGATTCCACTTCACATGAGAAGCAGGGCATCACCACCGCTAAATAAAAGAATTTATCAGAGAACAAATCAGGAGACAAGGATAGGCGCCCAGCCTAATCTACCTCCAAATGAAATATAAGGCCTTAAATGCTAAAGGATCTAAATCTAATCTAAATTATGCATTAACTTATAAATACAAGGGATAGAATTAGGTCACATCACCCAACGCATGCTTAAAGACACCAAAAAAATACGGTGATCAGGACCAGATCAAACATCAATCAGAAAAGGAAAACAACAGTGCCTAAACCTAATGAATGTTGAAAGAACATTGCTTCCCAAAAGGAAGCGTTAAAAAAATCTAAATCAGATTATTCAAGCTTCAGAGAAGTGGATGACCAACATCAATCATAATAATAACACTCCTTCAAAAACAGCCAGTATGGATTGCTTATATTAAAATCTGCCTCTAATTAAACCGTATTTATTCCATCAGATATTTCAATGTAAAAATCCGTAACTACGTGCTTATATCAATTCTCCCCAGCAATTTCCCGAAAAAAATGGAACAAAAACAGAAAGGAAAATAAGAGATTGAAGGAGGAAGAAGAAGAAGAAAAGGACCTTGCAGGGGCGGTTCTTGATAACGATGTATCCGTTCTTGCGGATGGTACCAGCCTGCTGAGGATAAGTCTTGGAGGCTCCAGCATCAGCCTTGGACTCAAAGTGGTGCTCCTCGTCCGACATAGTTCAACTCGTTCTCTAGCTCAGTTCTCACCGATTCAACACACTGGACTGTAGAACCAGTTAAAACGGCAGAGTCGACGAATGAAGACGACGAAAATTGGAGTGCTCCACATAGATTTATATATATCTGAACCTATCTAGGGTTTCATTCTTCGTCAGGGCACAAATCGCATTTTCTTGTTGCGGGTCCAGAATCATTTCTGACCGTTAGATTTAACACTGCTCCATCGTTAGATCTCCGATTGTCGAAAGTCAACAAGCAGCCGCGTCAATTGGACGCTAGTGCCTGAGAAGCCTGGGCCCAAAAAAAGATATTCTTACTAGTGATGATAAAAGATACTGTTCAAGTAACCGAAACAATTTTTAAAATGCCCAAAAAAAAAATTTAGTTGTGGTGAGTTTTTCTTGCCTGTAGAACTTTGTATTCTTTTTAAATACATGGGTATATTATGGAATTTAATAAAACTTTAATGCCAAAACATTTTTAGTTGACTCCGTCAAATTCAAATATTGTCATAACTCCCAAAGGCTTTTTTGTATTTACATGAACTTAAATTCAAGATTTTATATTTAAACAATCATAGCTCAAGTAATGTTTTGATTGACATAAAAAGAACGTGAATAAATAAATCATTATTGGAACGAGGCTAATTCAAATGTTTTGCTAGTTCATTTGTCATGAAAGTTTTATATTAAGATTAATTGAAGATAAATTTCATCTCCAAAAAAAAAAACTGACAATATAACGCTGAAAAAAGGCACATTAAAATGAGGAGAAACTTTCATTGAAAAAGGTGCAGGGGTTTAATATTTGATTGTATCTTAAATAGGACTTCCGTAAAAAAATAATTGTGACCAATAAAAAATGATCACAAGTTAGACTAGAATTTATTGAAACTATCACTAATGTGAGGGCTATATATATTCAATATTCTCTTCTTTATTTCTTAACTAAAATTCTGCCCGTGTGTTGTATCGTATAGAGATTCATATTTGCTCAAATGATTACCAAACAATAATTTGATTTCTACAATTATCTACCATGAATGATTTAAAGAACATAAATCTTATGAGGTTGATGTTTTTGTGAAATTCGCATTCGTATATAGAAGGCGCAAAGACTAACTCTTGCAGGCACTCAAAGACTTGAACATGTTTCATGACTTAAGTTAAATGACGACGTACGAAGTCCAACGATGTGCCCGATATTGACAATTATATTTGACCAGCATAAGTTATTTATACTTACTCGAATTTTTGTGAACGTTCTAAATTGGTGACTATGTTCAACAATAATCACGTCTTGTTTGGTTTGATAGCTTTGGAAGGATCCCCGGGGGGGGGGGGAAGAGAGGATGGAGTTAGAAACAAAGAGAATATTATTATATTGAGAGTCCTACTCTCGGATCATGACAGAATTCACAGCATAGTGATTCCCAAAACTCAGCACGTCAACTTCAAAATCAGTGACCATTCCTTAGAAAGTTTATATTTTCTCTTCATTGATCTAATTCTGTCTTAGTTCTGCCCCTTTTTTCCCTGCCATGGTCCTCCCCAGAAATCACAGGCATGTGTTTATCTTCTCTGATATTTGAACTCATAATATTGAAGGTTATTGCTTCATGTAAATTTGGATTTTAACATCACTTTCTGCTATTTTTTTCATGTGGTATAGATTATTGCCTGGACAATCTGGGATCTTAAGCTTCTTGGGATTCTGCTAGAAACATAACTTCTTTCAGCGAAAGTATGGGTGAAATTGATACTAAGCCGATTGAACCAGTCCGAACTGCACTCTCCTTGTTTGAAGATAAAGGTGATCAAAAGAACTATCAGCCTACGAGGATTAAGGTAAGATCAGTTTGAAATAGAATAGGCATTTGGATTCAATGTCAGACAGACAAAATCCCTGAATTGATCCACATGAATGGGTCTGATGTCATGTTTTTTTTTTTCCCTGTCTTGTCCTTGCTTCATAGCATGATTATGAAAAGGAGATGGAGGACTTGTCTAAGGAATTGGCCAACTACAAGGTTAAATTAGAAGCAAAACACGCCGCTCATATGCAAGCACTTTTTAAGCTGGAACAGCGTCAAAAGATGACTTATGAATTGTCTACCTTACTGAAGAATTCTGATGCTGAAAGAAACAAATACATGAATGAATGTGTAGAGAGCAGAGCACGCATTGATGAACTTGAGTCCAAGGTGAAAGAGATGACTGAACAGAACTTGAAAAATGCTAACATCCATGAGCAGCTTCTGCAAGTTTTGAGTGAACTGAAGGCTACACAGAAGGAGCTTCTGAGCAGAGAAACTGAACTTGTTGAGGCAAGAGATTCAGAACTGCAAGCGCTGGAAAAGGCAGAAGAGTTAGAAAATGCTTGTCAGCTTGAGAAGTTGAAGAAGAAAGAACTGCTACACCAAGTGAATGAGCTCAATGAAGCAATTCACAGGTCAAAGCTTGCTGCCACTGAAGCAGAGAAAGAGAAGCTAGGTATGCTGTCTGATAGAGACCAAACAATTGAGTTAGCTTCAAAAGCATTTGCTCAAGCGCAAAAACAGGCGGAAGATTTGAAAAATCAATTAGAAATGCTGAAGGGTTTAGAAAATGAGCGTGCACCAAGGTCTGTACTGGTTGATGAAGCAATTGTTTCAGCAGATGAATCTGCCACGAGTGCCATTAAAGAAGACTCAAACCAGCTTCACACTGACATGGATGAGTTTCAAAAGGAGCTGCATCAGTTAAAACAAGAACATCACAATGCAAAGGAGGAAATAAAGGCCTTGAATATTATTGTCCAATCGCTCAAGGATGAGTTACAGAACGCAAAAGCAGAGGCAAACATTCTAAAGGAGAGAGACATTAAAGCACAGGTGGATAACGCTCTCCTGATGTCCCAGCTTCAAGAAGTGAGGTCAATATTCTTAAACCCAGATGACAAGAAGGACCCTATTTCAACCCCATTGAAAGAGCATAAATCCTTGGTCAGACAAGCTGAGAAGACAAAACAAGTTCAAGATTCAGAAGTAGCATTTCTGAAGAAGGAACTGGGGGCTGCAACAGCAAAGATTGGAGAGCTAAGGGCTCGTGCAGAGCAGGCTCTAAGCCGAGCTGAGTTGGCGGAGAGAGCCAAAGAAGCATTGGAGGATGCATTAAGGAGACAAAAAGAACAAAGGCATAGAAGGAAAGCTTCTGTAAATGCCATTCAGGAGGGATCAACACCTAAACAAGACACTCAATCCTCATCAGATGGGACTCCAAAAAAATATTACCCGCTGGGAAAGGTTCTCAACATGAAGTTCTAGAAGTCCTGTGTTCGTATGTTTGCTTGTTACTTTGCTGAATGGAGTGCCACAAAACTTGAGACGGAGTAGAAATGAATAGCAAACCTCCCCCCCCCCCCCCAAATAAATAATCAGTCACTTGCAATTATATAAGATGCTTTGTGTGACAGATATGAATAAAATTATACGAAGAAACCTCATAAACGTCTGAGAGTTTAGGTTTTGTGAGAGTTTTTCTCTCGACAAAGGGAAGTATGACTGTGAATGGCACTTGGGGTTTGGACTGTTCATCCATTAACCACAATCACTTCTTGATAATGATTTCGTGCCCGCTTCAGCCCATGAAGGCCAATGGGTTTTAGAGCAAGCTTACCTTCTTTTGATTTTGAGGGACAAAAACAGAGGAGCTTGGACCTTGAGAAGAGTATTGATGATGAGCATGTAGTTGAGGCCCTGTAATTTGTATTAATGGTTGTTAAAAATTATGGGAAAATAGAGTCAAGTTATAAAATTATCATTAGCGGTTTTTTTTTTTTTTTTTGCGACTATCTGGACATTTGATTCTATCGGGTCAGGTTTAATTATTGCTATGCTCGAATTGATGTAACCTTCCTAAATTTTTTTGTCCATAAAACTCAAATTCATGATCTTATTTAAAAGTATCGAGTCTTTTACACTACATAAAATCACTAACTTATTAAAATTACAGCTTAGTTTCAAATTTATAATAGTATTTTTATTCCAAGACTAGATAGTAAAAATTTAAATTTAAAATTATTAGTAAAGTGCCAGGGATTGGCAGTTAAAAGCTATTTTTTATAATCTTTGAAAATATATTTTAAAATTTTTAAAATATCATCAATCTATGCTGTAGATTGTGGAGTGTCGTTTTTTTCTCGTTTATGCTAAGAGTTAGCGTCCATTTTTTGCTTGTTTATGCTAACAAAGACTAAAATACGTGAACTTTTTTCGATAGAAAAAACGTTAATACTTGTTTATTTCCTTTTCCTGGGGGTAAGTCATCTTACTTTCATAAAGAATCTTTCCTCAGTGCATATATACAGAGAGTGATCACAACTCAAACCAAACAACTATTCCTCTCATCCTTTTTCCCCTGGAAGGCTTTATTTATCTTGTTGAATTTTCTTTTAAGAAAATTGTTGTAAAATCCCACAAAAGCCGTTTAATTAAAGTCTTGTGGAATATGCAAATAGCTTTAAAGTCTCTTGGTTCTTTGCCGTAAATAATTTTTCTTATCCAATTACGAAATTGCCCTTCATCTTGAGAAAACAAAATGAATGCAAAAACTCCCTTTACTTTGGCAGGGCTGTGTAAAAACCAAATCAAACCATACTAAGTTCATGCCTAACTCGAGGTGTAGTCTAAAATATTTTTTAACTAGACATTTTCATTTATGTTCTAGTCCAATTTGATGATATGTCGATGCTGGATTAGTTTACCAAACTAGGTGTTTAAAAAAAAAAAAAAAGAAAGAGTTAAAAAGAAAAGCTATAAAAGAACTCAACCAAGAATCATATCTAATAAGATTAAAGAGAATCAGCAGCCACATTTAATAAGATCTCCAAAGAAATTTCCGTAATCGGTCTTTACATAAGAGAAGGAAACTAATAAATAAATACAATTCACTTATCTATAATTTCATTCTTCAACGAAATTTCCTCTAAGAAAAATATAATTCAAGCACCAGATTCAAAAGAGTAATAATAATCAAAAGCAAATTATACATTAGTAATCCTAGATCTACTCTTTCAAATGCAGAACCTGTCCAAAGACAAAAAAAACATCGAAGGAGACAAAGTTGTTAATAGAAAGTCAAGAACCCGAAAGCCAACAGCAAGAAGCAAGCAGGTTTGGATTTCAATGGTGATAAAAATCACGAACAAGTTACAGGCTTTGGCGGCAAGGAAGAGAAAAGCAATCTATAAGATGAGATTCTTTCATGAAAATGAAGCAATGCCACGAAGATGGAGGATGTTGAGGGAGAAGCTAACCAAAGATGAGGGTGAGAGAGAACAGAGCTACAGAGGACGCGGAAGAGAAAGGTGAAGGCGGAGATAGAACAAGGCTTCATTTTTCCCCCCAGATCAGGGGCAACTTAGTAATTGAGCAACAAAAGTTATTTACAGCAAGGGATTTGCGGACTTTAAGGTTATCAGTGCATTAGTGAGACTTTAGAGTAATTAGACAGTTTTTATGAAACTTCATAGTACTTCTCCCTCTGCTTTTTCTTTGTCTGTCACGGTTGAGATTTTTTTTTTTTTTGGGCAACAAAAAATTGATCACAAAATTATTTTTGAGCACACAACAAACGTAGAAGTTTAAAGATATTCATTTATGTAAATCACTGAAAATCTTCTTCATAGTTCCTTAAGGAGCACGATCATGATTAGGCTGAGCAAGTCAAAGACACGCCAGTTTGATTCTTCCCGCTTCTTTTTTTTATTTTTATCCATTGGTCTTTGATTCCCATTCAATGAAAACAAAATCAAAGTAGCGTCAGTTTTTTCTATTAAAAAAAAAAAAAAGTAGTGTCGTTCTCACTAATAAAGGGTAAATGGGTGGCATGTGTTTTGCATTGTTCGCGAAAAGCTGCTTGGCTGGTCAAGTTTTTTCACTCTTTAGACTAATCCACTCGTCTTTGTCTTCTCTTTAAGTCATTCATCCATGTTCCCAATTTCCCATATTTCACTTCACTGTTTATATATGGACTCCGTCCCAAATTTCATATATTCCTGAAAGAAAAAAAAAAAGGAATAGAAGACCTCAAGTCAATATTTGCTTCCATGTTCAAAGATATCCTTGGATTCTGCTTGAATTCAGTTCTCCTTCATTGATGTCTATTAGTTGTTAATTCTGGTTACCTGTTAGTCTAAGCCTATATAAAGGGATAAGGATTAGGTATTTTAGTAAGAAAGTTTAATCCTAACTAAGAGAATGAGATTAATTTGATCCTCACTTCATGTTAGTCTCTAAGCATGTTTGGGATCTATTCAACACTTGAGTGAGTTGATTGAATTGCAGTCCTTCAAGTGAAGGAATGTTGCATTGTTTGTAATTATCATTTGAATTAATTATGAAGAATTTTTTTTTTCACAATCAATATTCTCAACATCGTTCATTTTCATTCTTTCTTTTTTTTATTTAGTGTATTCAACGTTCTAACACTCCTTAATTTAAAAAAAAAATTATGTGCATTTTCTTAACAAACTAACCTTAACGCGGCAGTATAGTCGCGTCTCGCATGTTTGTGTGCTCAACTGCTTGTGCACTTTTTTTTTCCATCAATGTGATTATGCACTTAAAGGTATTGCCTTTGTTATATAAACCATTCGGTAGATAATATTATTGAATAACTCAAATAAGGAATAAATGAAGTTCTTTTTATTCAAAAAAAATTATATTCATATAGTTTGGATTTAAGGGTGTGTTTGGTTTGAAAAGAGAGGAAAAAAGAGTTTTAATATTACTTTATTTGGTTTTGTTGGAGGGAAGAGTTGGGGTTTTTAATGATTCTTTGTTTGATTTAAAAGAAAATTGGAGAAAGATAATAACTAATTTATTATTATATCTTTATAGATTAATTTAAAATTTTTTAAATTGTTCCTTAGAGAAAATAATTTTACATCTCAATTTAAATTGCATAATTGATTAAAAATTCACTCTCATTCTATTATATTGTCAATATAAAAATAAAAAATTAAATAAATAAATATAATGATAATAATTTTTATAAAAAATAATTTCCTTAATTATATAATAAAATAGGATGAATTGTAATTTTTTTAAAAAAAATTTAATGAGGTCGATCGAGATCTAAGAGTGAAGCATGATCTGATATGAAGAAGATTTTTTTTTTAGCTATGGATATACTTAAAATATTAAAAAATAGATAAAAATAAAATAATTAAAAAAATTAGCTCCTCTTCAAAAAAAAAAATTCAATTTAGAGGTGAGTAATGTGAAGAGAGGAGAGTAGTTATTTTGGCTCTCCTCGTCTCCAAGATTTATTAATCAAATCCCCTTCCTTTCAAAACTTCCCAGCTAAATACACTCTGAGATCATGTTCAAAAAGTACCGAATACCTCATCAATTAACTTAATCAGTGACCCTTGATAATACATTTATCCCTGTGCCATTACTGATTACGTTAATGTTTTTTGTTTTCATTTTATTGAAAAAACTTATTAATTTAAGATATTTATTTTCAATTAAATTAAAATACTAATTATGTTATCATAATTTCTTGTCATTAATGTTATTAACATATTAAAATTTATTCATCTTAATTTAATTGAATAAAAATATATTAATTATATAAGACCAATAAGTAGCCGAGTCTTGCAATTTTTTTTTCATTTTTCTTATTTAAAGTTTAGATTTAAAATTTCGTTGAGATAATACTAACTACCTCATAATTCAACTTAACTGTAGTTGATAATTAGTTTATGCTTAATCAACATTCAGGTTGAAATGTGAATTGAAATTGATGCTTTGAGAGAATATGAACGAATTAAAATGCATGTGGGAATTTGACGTGACAGTAAGACGATGGAGATGGGTCGGAAGAGATTAGAGGGCAATGGAAAAAAGGAGGGTGGTGTTGGCAGATTTTGTTTTCAGAAGGAGCGTCAAAGTCAATAATAAATTATTAATTATTAATATTAAAAAAACAACAAACACCACGTGCGAGGGAATAAAAGATGTGTTGCAATAAATGGCGTTTGAAATTGTGGGGACTCAAATGTCCAATTCCGTGTGCACGTGGGTGGGTTTGGTAACATCCCAAGCTCCAAGCCACTTCCACATGGATCGTCCGCGTAATCATTTATCAAGCCGTCACCCAATTCATCCCATTCTGTTACAAGATCTTGGCTCCGTTTGATTTTTTCGTTTTTTTAAGTGAAAATATTAATTTTTTTAAATATCTATTTGATAAGTTTTATAATGTTTATTTAAACTTGTAAAAAATATTCCGAATTGAAAAAAATTAATTTTTTAATTTGTTTTTTAATCAAAAGAGTTAGCATTAACAGCCCAAAGTTACAAGAGTAAGTACTAATGGTCTAAAGTTATAAGAGTGCGATCAAACTTGCAATCTCCCATTTTCATGTAAACTTGCACGTCGCAGAACTATAAGATCATTAATAGTTTCTAATTATCTGGAAAAACTACTTTAAATAGGCTTTTGAAAAAGCAAAATCTAATAAGGCATATGAGAAAAAATGCAATGAGAATGATAATATACCTGAAAATATTATAAAACTTTAACATAATTAAATATAAAATCTTTTTTTATGAAATAACAAATTGATCACTAAATTATAGGTCCAAAAATATCTAAGACTTCAACCTTATTTTTCATGTAATATTTCTCCTTTAACTTTTAAAAATAGTATAATTTAACTCTATGGTTAACAAAAATTAAATTTAATTGTTAATTAACCCAAAAAAATATTGAAAATGACGTCAAAATTACAAAAAAAAAGGACTAAA